TAGCTTTCAGGATTAATCATGTTGCTGTCTTTTGAATTTTATTTTACTTACTGAAAATATGGAGTTAATGCCATCTGCTTCATGAAGATGTCATTCATTGGGTTTAAATCAAAACCTTAACTTACTATATAATACCTAAATTATGCGTTAGTGTTCCCTAGGGTTTTGTTGTGTTTTCTTCTTCTCTACATTTTAATTATTCAGTATATGAGGTCCACATATACTGTTTCCTTAATATAGTACAACTTTCTTGAGCTTCAGACCCACCTTGCAGGAAATACTCATTTAGATGTCTCTGTAGGCAGTGTCACATTCATCGTGGCTAAACCTAACTCATTTCTTCTCTACCAACCCAAACATGCTGTTGCTTTTCTAAAATTTATTATAGTTACCATGATCTTTTATACAATTGTGTGGGGTTGAAAATCTTGGAGTATTTAGTTTTTCAGTTTTCATATTTGTTGAGTAATCAAGTTGTATTGATAGCAACTCTTTAGTGTCTCTAGAATTTGCCTATCTCTGTTTTCTTAAGGACCTTCATGTCCTCCCCTTGCTATAGAAAAGCTTATTTACTAACTTATTCTCTCCCTTTAGTGTCTTTCTCCTACATACTGAAATCCATCCTTTGATTTGATACCAGATTCACTTTTCGAAACAGATACTATGTGATTCTTGCCTCAGAAACTTTTTTTAAAAGTCTGGCTTAGGCTCTGACTAACGTGGCTCAGTTGGTTGAGCTTTGTCCCACAGAGCAAAAGGTTGCTGGTTTGATTCCCTGTCAAGGCACATGCCTGGGCTGCTGGCCTGGTCCCCGGCTGGGGCATGTACAAGAGGCAACCAATCAGTGTTTCTCTCTCACAATGATGTTACTCTCCCTCTCTTTCTCCCTCCCTTCTCTGCTCTCTAAAAATGAATATTTTTTTTTTAAATCTAGGTTAGTCTTATTCTAAGTCATGCAAACACCTGGACTAAAAAGATACAAAAACACTAACATTACACATCAGTATTTTCTGGAATAATATTTCAGAAAGATCCCATCAGCAAACTTTTTATTTTTATTTTTTATTGTGGTAAGATAACACAACATTCATCACTGCAACAATTGTTTTTTAAGATTTCATTTATTTAGAGAGAGCAGAAGAGAGGTAGAAAGGGAGGGAAAAAAACATCAATGTTATGGCTGCCTCTCGCATACCCCTTACTGAGGACCTGGCCTGCAATCCAGGCATGTGCCGTAACTGGGAATCAAAGCAACGGCCCTTTCGTTTACAAGCCAGCACTCAGTCCACTGAGCCACACCAGCCAGGGCTCATTGCAACAGTTTTTAAGGTGTACAGTTATACTTCATGTAAGTAGAGTAATACAGTGTTTGTTTTTTTATGACTGGCTTGTGTCACTTAGCATAATGTCCTCAAGGTTCACCCATTTTGTAGCATATATCAGAATTTCCTTCCTTTCAAAGGCTGAATATTCCATTGTATGTATATACCACATTTTGCATATCCATTCATCTGTTGATGGGCACTTGGGTTGCTTCCACAGTTTATCTATTGTGAACAATGCTGCTATGAACATAGGTATTCAGATGTCTCTTTGAGACCCCGATTTCATTTCCTTTGGGTTTATACCCAAGGTGGAGTTGCTGTATCATATAGTAATTTCTATTTTTAAGTTTTTGAGGAAATAGCACCCTGTTTTTCTTAGCAGCTGTACCATTTCACATTCCCAGCAACAGTAGACAAGACCTCTACATTCTCCAGATTCTTGTCAACAACTGTCACTTTCTGGGTATTTGTTTGTTTATTTGTTTGTTTATTTGTTTATATAGTCCACCTCTTAGTGAGTGTGATGTGATATCTCTCATTTGGTTTTGATTTGTACTTTCCTAGTGATTAGTGATGTTGGGTGTCTTTTCATGTGCTTACCTGGTCATTTGTACAGCTTTGCAGAAATGTCTATTTGAGTCCTTTGCCATTTTTGAATTGGGTTGCTTTGGTTTTTTGTTACTGAGTTTAGGAGTTGTTTTTTTGTTATTGAGTTTAGGAGGTTTTTTTGTTATTGAGTTTTAGGAGTAATTCAGGGTATTAATTCCTTATGAACTTTTGTTGCTGTCCAGTCCCAACAAAATGAAGTCCAAGAACTCTGGCCTGGCATTTAGAATCTACCTTCCACCTATCTCTAGTACCTTGAAACCGATATCTTCTTGAACTACTTTCTTCTCTGAACAAGTTGTCTTAAACATCCAGTGGAGATTATATATAATCATTCAAAAGGCAACCTAGAAAACAATGGCAACTGCAGCTTATTAAGAGCCTGCTAACTCATTTTTCTCATTTTATAGATTAATAAAGCATAGCAAGTAACTCAGCAGGTTTTCCAAAGTCATTGCCAATAAACATAGAACCTGGATTGGAACCCAGATATTTCTAATTTCAAATGCCATTCTCTTAGCCACATCTCTAAACTTGTATGTTTATTTGAGGTAGTAATATTGAGTCCAATATCATAAGAACTTAGAAGAAATGTAATTAAGCCAGTTTAAGAGTTTTGTTTGGCTCTTTATACTCTGGGTTTCATTTATACTTGCAACCTCAACCTTCATGATTTCCTTCCAAAAATCTGATGCTACACTTTCAAATTGTTGAACTATAATTAATATTTTTTAATTAGGAAGTGAGATTTTTAAATTAATGTAATTTTTAACAGTTCTCTGCATTTTAGTATGTTTGGAAAAAGGGTTGGAAGCTTACCTGTGAAATTTATCTCTAATTTTATAATACATGTCATTGAAAAGTCAGGATTTACCTAAATTTGCTTTGAAATTCTTATAATACCTTTGCTTTAGTAAATGAGAGTGATTTTATGAAAAAACAGAGGGTTTTCATTGTTTATCTTGAAAATAACCAGCAGAAGAAAAAGTTGAAAATATACTATTTTCCATTTTTAATGAAAGCTAGAGGTATCTCTCATCCTTGAGCTAAAAATTGGATGAGAAGGAATGAATGACCTAGGAAAAATATCAAACCCTACAGCCTAAGGTTTCCTACATTGTACTGATGAAAAGCAACTTGTTTGGTCTATAAAACCCTAGGAAGACTCAGGAATAGATGCACTAGTACTACAGAATATAGGAGCAAGTCAGAGGCCATAAACCAAGAGATTATTTTAAAAATCTGAATAAGGAATAAAGATTTCATGGTCCTGCATTACAGGATACAGAAAATGTATTGTCTTATTAAAGCAGTGGAATTCCAGACATAGGGTGGGGCAAGGATGAGATGGTAAACTACAGGTGGGGATCAAGTGAAAGTTGTACTGCTGAACAGTAGGATGTCAAGCCTGTTTCCTATACTTAGCTTCAGACTTTTGGATTCTATGCTTAGATCTCCCTGGCAGGGTTGAGGGATCCTTTCCAGGGAGGTTCAACTACTTCAGAAAATGACCAGAAAGGCCCTGCTGATATTTGAGTACTTCAGCAAAAATTTCAGTTGGTCATTACCCTGAAGTCCCCCCAGTGGACAAGCCCAGCTTGAACACACAGTTTTCAATTAGCTTGTTCTCTTTAACTTGTTAAACGTGAACTAAACATTAACGGCCAAGAATTGTTAGCCATTTTAGGAACGTTTCCAATGTAAAAGAAAGACATAGGAGGAAAAAAAGGAAACTCAGAAAATTGACAAGGTAGGAAACAAAAACACTTTGAGGAAATGGTAATTAACAACCTCAGACAGATATTGTCTAGTTAAAATGACATCAAAAAAAGCACGGATGCTATAAGAAAAAAGGAGAGGGAGGTGAGAAAGTTCTTGGAATTAAAAGTATGATAAGCAGAAATAAAAGAATTGGAAAAAACAGTTCAGGAACTCTCCAGGATATAGAACAAAAGACAAAGTACAAGAGAAAAGGGAAAAGTAGAAGTTAATGTAAGTTTCAGTATCTAACCTAGTAGGAGTTCCAGAAAGAAAATAGAATTAGAGAACATCACTAGAATATACTAACAAAGGAAATAAAACATAAATTTCCCAGAGCTAAACTACATACATCAGTCACTAGATTGCCACCAAACTTCTATATGAAAAATAATCTAAAACTAAAAAGTAAGTAAAAAGCTTTCTGAGCATCAAAATAATTTTCACAAAGCAAAGTACTTTGAAATCTGTTGCTCCTTTTAGAATCATTGCATATAATTTTAATAGTAGTGACAAATTGATTTCCAGGATTATAGGTGCCTGGAGAGGGACAGATGACTTAGGCAGGCTAATTGTTGCCAAGAGTAAGTGATAGCTCATCGTAAGAAAAGAGAGAGATAGCTATTAAACTCCAGCATGGGCATTGAGAAAGATGGTCCTGTGCCATGTGGAGATAAAGATTCCAGGACAGCTTTATAGTCCTTTGGAGTGGTTGCATGGGACAGCTTAGATATGTTGACATTGACCCAGCCACTCTAGTTGCAGCCATTTAATGTCATGGAGTTTTCAGATTTAGCCATTTTGCTTTTTGTTGTCATGTTTTATGGGAAACATCAAATTGCATCCCTGAATCTGACCAATTCTGATACATACCCAAATGACAGAAATGAAGGATGAGGTATGGAGTAAGTAAGGTAAGATAAGGTGAGAATTTAGATCACTTTGGACATGTACTATATAGAGTGGTATGTATCTTCTATAGTTCCCCAACTCAGAAAGAGCTATCATGTTGGTTCTCTCGAGAGTTCACTTTTAATTTATGTTTTTTCCTTAAATTCTTTGCTCTCCTCCCTTCACTCCTACTTCAACACAAGTTACATTTGTCAAATGCATTCATCTCTACTTGATAAAGAGCTAATGTATGCTATAATGAAATTTCGGTCTGCTTTTCATTTGAGAACCTAAAGGATGAACACCTGATTTATAAATTTGATTAAGTTTACTTTATTTAATTGGGTATATATTAGTCACAGAGTAAATGATAATTCAATTTCTTTCTCTTTAATCCTGTATATTTGCCATTTTTTTTAGAGGAAGTCCACAAATGAAGGGGACACCCCATTTTAAGGAAGAACAGTGTGCTCCAGCATTAAATTTAGAGATGAGAAAAATACTGGATTTGCAAGCACCCATTATGAGGTACAGTACTTTGGTTAAATACAGTATTTTGTAAGAACAGTAGGCAATGTAGTTGATTAAACATGACCAGTAAGAAAGTTGATTTCATTTCTTTTCATTGAGGATAACATTTTTAGCCCTAGAAATGCTTGATTAACCCTTATGAAAAATGTGAAAATTTACAGATGGTACATTATTATATTTAAATTATTGTAATAAAGCCCATAAATTAGGTATACCATCCATATGTTATTTTAGAAATTTATATTTTTGGTAAGATCTAGAATTGTTTGAATGATATGACGTAGTACATGTTACTTAAAAAAGATACTAATGGAAATCACACAAGTTGAGAAAAAGGGAAAGTGCCTTTTTTTCTATAGCCTTCATAAGTTTGGGGAAGTATACGTACATTTGGAAGAAAGATGAGTTTTCTGATCCAAGTGTGAATAAAGGTTTTGTGATAAGAAGGCCAGAGTACCAAAATACCAAAAATTATTTTACATCCATTGGTAGGAAAAAAAACAAAAACAAATGACTTTACCTTTAATTTAGCTTTATTTCCTTAATTGCTTCCCATTTGACATTTTAGTTCTCTGCTGTGTGGGTCTTGTCAAAATTGTATTTTTTAACAAAGTTCTTATTACAGTATTTTTGGTTTTTTTTTTAAACAGTTCTTTTTAACTAAATTGAGGATTAAAGTTGGGCCCCCAAGAACCTTTAGCTGTTATTGGGCGTAGTCATGTACAATAATGAAATTTTAATGGTAATATTCCAACATTCTATGCATCAAAACAGCTAGCAGTTCTTACCTCTGTTGTTCAGACTTGCTATAAGAAAATGATGAGAGAAATGGTAAAAGTAGTATTCTAACTCAAAATGTATTTTATTAGGCGTCATTAAGACCTCCCTGTCAAAATATCTGCAGGTAAACTTATGAAAGAAAACATTGATAAATCCAATTATATAATTTAAAAAAATCTGCCTGGGTGGAAAACAAAAAAAACAACACACGCAACATTAGTAAGACCGAAAGAAAACACAAACTAAAAAAAAACGCACATATACTTATAGTATCACAAAAAGCCAATTTCCATAATACACATTCTCTATAACAAGAAGACACAATAGAACAAATGGACAAAGAATAGTAAGCCATAAGCCATTTGTTATTTTAATATTCCAGTTAATATATCACTTTACAGATTGCAAACAGGACATTAAATAAGTGTCTGATAGTTACGAACAGTTAGGTAACATACTATCTTGGGCAGGGAGTAGGGAAATGAGAACTTTATACATTGGTGGTGGTAATATAAAATGATACCATATCTATGGAAGTCAGTTAAGCAGTATCTACCCAAGTTACAAATGTTTGTGGCCTTTGCCCGGCGTTTCTATTTCCGGGATTTAATCTTGCAAATATAATAATACATGTTGGAAATGACATACTTACAGGGTTTTTTTATTATATATTGCTTACAGTAGTAAAAGGTTGAAAACCACCTAAATATATCTCAGTAGGGAGCTGGTTAAATAAATTTTCTTATCTATACAGTGGGAATAGTATGCATCTATAAAAACAATTAGGGTATTCTTTGCTGGAGAAAACTTCCCAAATATGTTGTTGGGCAAAAAAAGCAGGTGTCCTCTATACAATAATGCTAATACTTGCTTTTAGGAGCTGGTAGAGTTAGACTATGTCTTGTTCTGGAAGAATACATAAGAAGCTGGGCATGAGAATTGAGTGGCTGGGGGACAGTTTTGGGAAAAAGGCTTTTTACTATGAATACTTAACTAAATATTGAACTACGTGGACATCGTATATGAATATATTGAACTATAAGAATGTAATACCTATGTTTTTATTTCTTCCGATTCACAGTTGTAATAAAAGGCTTCTTTTAACTATTTCGTTGGACTGTAGTACAGATACTGGAACATATTAAATGAAATTGTATGCAAGTGGATGGCTGTTGTCTTGCCTGGCTTAATCTACCTTTTAATATATGAGAATTCTCCTCAAAAAAAAAGAATGCTTTTTGTTTTTGCTTGTTTAAATGAGATCAGGTTTACAAAATATTAAATAAAGTATTTATCACCTTGGTCAAAAGACATTCTTTACTTCAGATTTTATTTAAGTTTATAGATTCTTTTCAATAATGTAACTTGTTGCATAAGGAATGTTGAATGTCTGTGCCTACCAAACTAGGTGGAACTGTGCGAGCATGGTGTTCTACCTCCACCTGGTGGTAAGAACTATGTGGTTCATGGAAATGGGATAAAAAGAGCCTTTAAACAAGGAATCCCTGCCATCTTGTACAAGTTTAACTTGTCAAGTGCTACTTTTTAACCTACAAATTTGGGTGATTGGAAGTCTCTAAGGTTTCTCTCAAAACTTCAGTAAAATAATTGCATTTTACTGATAAAGTACCTGTAACACATACTTAACTGGATATTAGAGATTTTCTATATAGTTTTGAACTGAGTGAGAACATGTGAAACTTGGGCTTTATAAGCTACTATTTTCCCTGTCACTATGAAGTCATGTAGTTAGGGAAAATGCTTATACTGTTGCTTATAGGCATAAGCTGGCAAGAGTCTCATAATTTTTGATTGAAAAAGAGACTAGGATTAATGTTAAGCATCTGAACTTTGCTGTTAGAAAGGTAAAGTACTAACAACATAATAAATACTAATAAATACCATATTTTATTCCATATCTTGCTCCATCTGAGGCACTTAGGAAAGTCCAATTTAGTATATAGTATGTAATATTAGTTAAGTATTAAATATATTTGCGTATTTGAGAATTGATAATTATGAATTATATATATGCATATATTTTTTAAAAAAAACAACCCTCTGGAATACCAGATAGCCGTTGTAAAGCCCATGAGGTCAATGACTGGAGAGGCTCCTGAGATGTTCAGAGTATTTTTATGTGATTTTTCCATGTACTTATACCTTGGGGTAATTCTCAAAATATTTAAAAGCCAGTACAGTATTAAAGCATGTGGGATATTTATTATTGGTACAGGGTCCTGATATCCCCTGATGCCAAGAACTAATCCTGTAGTGGTTAGATCTTTGTGAGGGAGGGAATCAGTGGTGGGCAGGCACTTCAGTGGCTGGGAACAAGGCCTATTTACTAACTTTTATGGAAATATTTGGTATGTTAACAACTGACATCGGCCTTTGTTTTTTGTTTTTTCTTTTTATTGATTTGAGAGAGAAATATCAATTTGTTGTTCCACTTATGCATTCAGTGGTTGTTTCTTGTATGCAGCCCTGACTAGGGATCGAACCCACAACCTTGGTGTATCGGGATGATGTTCTAATCAACTGAGCTAGCTACCTGCCAAGGCACAACCTTTGTTTTAATGAGTTTGTTTAGTTTCAGTTACGTGAGGATGTTGTATCTATCTTTTCCTATGGATTTTTTTATAATTACTATCACAGGTATTTTAATTCAGGATTGTCTAGGTATCTGTTTATGTTGCTCAATTTTTCTCTTGACTCTGGGTCACATTTTCTTGTTTACTCACATGTGCGTTCATATTTTGTCACAGCATTGTGGGTGATAATGTTGTAGAGATTCTAATTCTGTTAACTTTGTTAGAAGAGTTTCTCCTAGTAGGGAGTTAAAATACTGCAGGGTAACCTTGTCATATGCCATAATTCTAGGAAGATAGGATCTGGAGAGAGAGAGAAAATATTGTTTGAAAAAAACCTAGGCTGACACCTGCTTAATGAAAATCACCTGTAAAATAATGACTGCTCTATTCACTTTTCTCTCTTGACATATAGTAGCAGATCTAAAACATTAAGTTTTTGTATTCCGCCCACCACATGCCATATATAAATTATATCACAAAAATACAAATTTGAGATGAAAGAATATATAATACTTTAAAAGGTGAACTTTAAAACTGGGAATCTTAATTGATTACAAATGCTTTGATGTTCAAGATACAGATCTGGGTCAGAGGACATGTTATTCTATTTTTCAGTATTTTTATAGTTTGGAAGTAAATTATTGTCTCAGATCTTTGGGGAATGAGTCATTAAACTCAACTTTCCAAAGAAGTCAAGGTTTAATTAAAGAATTAAGACATTAAAAAACATTTTACTATTATGGATTTAATTATTAATGACACTCTTTTTCAGTATGAAAAGAAATTTAATAGTGTATATTAGAATATATATTATAGATGTAACATTTTATCATTTTTTCTATATTTGAATTCTTTATAACATTTTGATACTCTTGGTTACTATTTTTTTAATATGTTGTATTGATTATGCTATCACAGTTGTCCCAGTTTTTCCCCTTTTCCCCCCTCTACTTGGTACCCACATTCCTTTCAAAAGTCTCCCTCCCCTTAGTTCATGTCCATGGGTCATGCATGTAAGTTCTTTGGCTTCTCCATTTCCTATACTGTTCTTAACATTCCACCATCTATTTTGTACCTGCCAATTTGTACTACCTAACCCCTGCACCTTTTTCCCCATTTTCCCTCTTCCCCCTCCCAACTGGTAACCCTGCAGATGATCTCCATATCTGTGTTTCTGTTTCTGTTCTGCTCATTTGCTTAATTTGTTTTGTAGATTCAGTTGTTGATAGTTGTGGTTTATTGCTACTTTAGTGTTCATAGTTTTGATCTTCTTCTTTTTCCTATATAATTCCCTTTAACATTTCATATAACAAGGGCATAGTGACGAAGAACTCCTTTAGTTTTACTTGTCTGGGAAGCACTTTATCTGCCTTTTAATATTAAATGATAGCTTTGCTGGATAGAGTACTCTAGGTTATAGGTCCATGTTTTTCATCACTTTGAATACTTTTTGCCAGTCTCTTCTAGCCTGCAGAGTTTCTTTTGAGAAATCAGCTTACAGTCTTATGGGCACTCCTTTGTAGGTAGCTGTCTGCTTTTCTCTTGCTACTTTTAGGATTCTCTCTTTATCTTTAACCTTTGGCATTTTAATTATGATGTGTCTTGGGGTGGTCCTCTTTGGGTCCAATTTGTTTGGGATTCTGTGCTTCCTGGACTTGTATGTCTATTTTTTTCACCAAATTAGGGAAGGTTTCTTTCATTATTTGTTCAAATAAGTTTTCAATTTCTTGTTCTTCCTTTCCTCCTTCTGGCACCCTTATGATTCAGATGTTGGTACATTTGAAGATGTCCTAGAGGCTCCTTAGCCTATCCTTGCTTTTTGAGTTTGTTTGTTTTTTTTTTTTTAATTTTTTTTTCTTGCTTTTCTGATTGAATTTTTTCTTCCTTATGTTCCAAATCATTGATTTGATTCTCAGCTTCACCCTCTCCACTGTTGGTTCCCTGAAGATTTTTCTTTATTTCACACTTACTGCAGCCTTCATTTCTGCCTGGGTCTTTTTTATGCTGTTGAACCCAATGAGTTCCTTGAGCATCCTAATAAGCAGTGTTTTTAACTCTGCCTTTGATAGGTTGCGTATCTCCGTATCATTTAGTTCTTTTTCTGGAGTTTTGATCTGTTCTTTCATTTGGGCCATATTTCTTTGTCTCTTCATTTGGGCATCTTCCCTGTGTTTGTTTCTGTGTATTAGGTAGAGCTGCTTTGACTCCCTGTCTTAGTAGCATGGCTTATTGTAGAAAAGAGCACCTGTAAGCTGTATGGGGCAGAGCCTTACGTAATTGCCAGGGTGGTGCAACCCGTGTCACCACTGTGTGGCTCTGTGAGGGGGAGGTCTCAGAGAGGGAACAATACCTCTGCCTGGCCTCTGGAGTTTTGTCCAGGAGGACGCTCTCTTGGTATTCGCCCTCTTGCCAATCACTTCAATTTCTCCCTGTATGCCACTGGTGCTCTTCTAGCTGTTGCCCTGGTGCTGAATTCCAGAGGGAGCAAGTCTGCGTACATCCTAAGTCTGTTGCAGGCCTTTTAAGAGGAGTCTCCTGAGAGTCCCAACGTTTCTTGCCCTGTTCCAACCCCCACTGGTTTTTGCAGCCAGAAGTTATGGGGACTTATCTTTCCGGTGCTGGAACCCTGGAGTGGGTTGTATGCTCTGGTTCTGAAATCCCTCACTCCCGAGGTATCCCACCCAATTTTTATCCACCACACATGGATGTGGGACCGCCCATTCCACATCTCTGGGCCTCTCCACTTCTCCGCATGCCTCTGCCCCTCTTACGCCTCTGAATGAATGTGGCTTCTTTAAATCCTTGGTTGTTGGACTTCCATACAGCTTGATTTTTGACAGTTCTGGGTGATTTTTTTGTAGCCTAGTTGTAATTTTTGCTATAGTTGTGTGAGGCGGCGAGGCGTGTTTACCTACGCCTCCCTCTTGATCAAAATTCTTGAGTACTGTTTCTTAAGTCCATCTATCCCCTTGGCTTTTATGATGCCAGTTTTCACTGTTTTTTCCCCTGTCCTCTTTTTCTTTCTCTCTGCCAGTACTTTTGCAGTCTTATTTATGGATTTCTCATTCTCCCCTTTTTCCTTCCTCCCCCAGTCATTTACTGTCAAATATAACTAGCGCTACCCTCGGGACTGGGCATAAAAGAGTAAATCAAGTAGGCATTTATTTGCCGTTAGTTAAGCAAATGTTAAATACCTTTTCAAATATCTGTAAGTGCTGAGATCATACTGTGTAAATACTTTTCAATACTTAAATCAACTGAGAGGTTTTCTGAAGGGAGAAACTTATTTTATTCACCTTGGAATGTCCAACAGAGAGTAGAACACCTGCCACAGAGCATGGGCTTAATAAATGTTCAGTGAATGAACAATGTGAGACTCATGATACCCTAGAAGTACAGTGGTCTAGGACTTTACTCTTCAGTACAGTAGCCACTAATCAAGTAAAGTTACTTAAATTTAAATTAGTTAAAAGTAAAGAAAATTTAAAATTCAGTCCTTCTGTCATATTTCAAGGGTACAGTTAATTACCATGTATGGCTTCTGGCTACTATGTATTTTTAGCACTGGTGAAAGTTCCGTTGGATGGGGCTAGATGATGTGACTCTACGGCTCCAGATTGTCATCCTTTCACTAGTTGTTCCTTTTATGGTTTCTCTGCCTCTTTTTTTGTCAGCTATCACTCATCCTTCCATCTTCTAATTTGTTTCAGCATTTCTATTTTTTAACTTAATTAATCAAGTTTGTGACTATGGCTCCCCATAGTTTTCCATTTCTTCCAGAATTTCTGATTCTAGATTGACTTATATACAGGTAAAGCTACTATATAGCTAAATTATAAATAAATGACAGTTTTATAAGTGGTATCATTATCTTCTCTGAATGAACATACTTAGTCTAGAACAATTATATTCATACTCATTGCTTTCCCAATATGTTCTCTTAAAAGGTAACTAATAATAAATTGCTTACTTCTCTACAGTTTGCAGTCTGTGCTGGAAGATCTCCTGGTTGCTACTTCTGATGGACTTCTTCATCTTATTCACTGGGAAGGAATGACAAATGGAAGGAAAGCTATTAATCTTTGCACAGTACCCTTTTCAGTAGATCTGCAGTCATCTAGAGGTAGTTATACTTTCTGCATGGGTAGAACTAGATGCTTAATATTTAATATAGTTAGATATTTTCTGTGTATGAACATTGATTTTTCTCCTTTGGAATTAATTATGCAAGGAAGGTATGTGCACATGTGTGTGTGTCTCAGGAAGGAATAGTTTCATTGTTTAGTGGGGTTTTTTTTTAAGATTTTATTTCTTTATTCCTAGAGAGGGGAAAGGACAGAGAAAGAGGAGAGAAACATCAGTGTGAGGTTGCCTCTCGTATGCCCCCCCACTGGGGACCCTTTGGTTCGCAGGCCAGCACTGAGCCACACCAGCCAGAGCTATTTAAGTGTTCCTAGGTCATTGTTTTTTCTTTTTCTTTTTTTTTAAATTTTTATTCATTGAGTTTACAGAGAGAGAGACAGAAACATTAGTAATGTGTTCCATCTATTCATTGCATTGCAACCAAGCATTCATTGGTTGATGCTTGTATGTACCTTGACCTAGGATCAAACCTGCAGCCTTGGCTTATTGGGACAGTGTTCTAACCAACTGAACTACCTGGCCAGGGCAGGTCATTATTTTTCCCTTTTAACTATCCTTACAGGGTTTGTAAGCAAAAATGAGAGGGAATTATTTGCTATATTTATATTCATATTTCATGTACTTACTTTTTCATCAGCAGGTTCATTCCTGGGCTTTGCAAATGTGCACATCAGAGACATGGAATACTGTGCCACACTTGATGGGTTTGCTGTGGTGTTTAACGATGGCAAAGTTGGATTTATTACACCAGTGTCCAGTAGATTTACTGCAGAGGTATGACTTACTTACTTTGAATATTTATTTTCTTTATTGTACATTGATTTAGTCTGTGTTACTAAATCTCTCCCCCATTTTTAATTTCATGTTTGTAGGTATTAACTAATTTTTAATATCAAAACTATACATATAAATAGTATAAGTAGGCTAGTAGTTCTGAGACATACTGAAGAAAAATAGTTCCAGCCCTCCTTCCTGCTCTCTTCACATCCAGTTTCTGTTCTTGTAGGCAACTACATTTTATTCCTTTATTGTTTATTTTACTATTTATCTTCACTATTCTGTGTATTCCCTTTAATTTTTAGTTTTCAGGCTGTGTTCATATACCTCTCACTGTGGCAAATGACCATGTACTTCCTTCTTCCCTATTTCTACCACATACTTCCCAATACAGCTATTGTGGTTTTGATTAGAGTACTGTTCATTGTTTATATTGTTATTGCTTTGTACACTTATATTAGTACCTGTTCCATGTAAGATGTTATGATTACTTTTCTTTTCCTGCAGATTTTCCCTCCCACTTGGAATTAATAGTTGTTTGTTCTTTACATTTACTTAGTTTCTATGTATTTACTAACTCAACCCCGAGCTGTCTGCTGGTTGTGTAAATTTCCTCTCAATTCTTTCAAACTCATAGGTGTTCTAGCCATTTCGTCTTCTTGAAGTTCTGGCCTGCTCCAGCCTGGACTGCTTGCTCATTATATATGCCTTTAACAGTTATATTTTGGGGAGTTTTCATCATCACCTGGAGGATTTCCTTTACTCCTTTATTTGTGTGTGATCATTTTGCTCTTAATAGTTAATTCATATATGATTAGTTGATTTAATGGACTTGGTTGCTGTGATAGAGACCCAAAATAAAATTCTGGACTCATTGATAAACTCTGTGGGGTTTTGCTTACTATGACCTTCACTATATGGTGAGCTAATTGGATTATTTCCTTTCCTTCCATTTCTCCAAAGTTTATTTGAGGAGAGTCCTGCAGTCTTTTCCAGAAAAGACACACGTGGCTGACCCAATATTATAGTATTTGAGTTAGGGAAGAGTTGGACTAGAGGGCCCACATTCAGAATGTAAACTTTTACTTATTTCAGTTTTCATTGTGGTCCAGAGGGTTATTTTACCCACTGGAGGGTTATTTTTTGTTTGTTTGTTTCTTGTTTCTTGGTTTTTTTCTCTGAAGAAAAAGCTCTAGTTTTCTGTTAGATGGAGGTAGGATGTTCTTTTAAAGCTCAAATTGGGGAAGTACTCCCAGAAGACCCAGCTCCTGCTTAAACAGGTTTTGAACCAATTCTCCTTACAGTTCAGCCTTTCAGACATATCTGAATTCCCAGGCCTTTTGTGTGCCCTATAGTATAAGTATAGCTGATTCTACTGCTCATCCTTGTACTTCCCAGCTTCTAGAATTTTCTGATACTACCTCATCTCTCATTCTTTGTCTTTGCCAGTTTATGCTTTTTGAAAAAAATCTTTTCTGTTGTAAACACTGGGGTTTTAAGAGTCAGAAAAGCTAAATGTTCATGTTCAGTCTGCTGTTTTTAACTAGAAGGGGTTTAAGTTTCTTTTTTAAGGGTATTTTTTTTCTATGTGGTAATACCAACTTTAGTAAGGTACTGAATATTACATTTGTAATAATATGTCAATATGTAAGTAAGAATAAAAGCAAGCTTTTGAAGAACCTAATTTTTTTATAAGGTACAGATATATTTGAAATTATGTTTGAGATTTAAATGTTTTTACTGAAAAAAACATTAGAGGTGAAAAAGTGATTGACTCTTTTCTGACTATCAGTTTTTATTAGTATTTGGTTAAAGAATTTCTCCAGTCAATTAAGGGTTTAAAAATAATGGAAAGTAGGTGGGCATTATTAAATGTTATAAATAGAAAATATAAATTACAAGGAAATAATACATATGTTATTATTGGTAGTTAGGAAACACACTAGTAGTATCTTTAGACATTATTTAAGTACTTTGTAAAAATTCTGTTTGGCATCGTTTAATATATTTAACAGATAAATTAAAATGTCAGATTATGCCATTCCTCTGCTTAGAACCCGTCAGTAGGAGTGTATAATTGGGACAAAACCTGCTGAGTACAACTAGAAAAGCTGAAGAAAAAATATTTTAAAAATGTGCTTAAAGGTTTTGGAGAGCTAATTAGTTGGTAAAGAATCACCAGTCTAGGGGATGCCAGAGGCCCAGTGAGCTCAGCCTAGTGTCTGGGGCTACAGTGAGCATGAACAAGCAAGGCTGTATGCAACGGCATGGATGGATCTCACAAACATTGGGTGAAAGCAGCTGGACGCAAAAGGATATGTGCGATGATTCTATTTTATGTAAATTTAAAGGAAAAATAAATCATAGGCAGTTCTAAATTAGAATTTGTATGGAAGCATCTTTAAGTGGTAATGGTTTAAAGGAAAAGAAGGAATTGATTGCCATATAAGTTTGGATGTTTGTTACTTTTGTGAGACACTGTTGGGGGACTTTTGAGTACTGTTAGTTCTTGGCCTGAGTGGTGATTCTACAAGTGTTTATTACTTTGTGATGTTATTAAGATGTACATTTTTGTTTTGTGTATTTTTCTCTAATGTATTATAATTCATAAAAGAAAAGGTTAAAAAATAAAGGTATTCCAGGGACTCCCGATGTATAAATTGGAGAAAAAGCCAAAGATCTTATAGCAGCTTTCAAAGTCTATAACTCTGGCTTCCTGTTACACCTGTTACCCCATCTTGTACTTTCTCTTCCTCCACTCCACTTCATCTGCATAGGCCTCTTTGGTGCTTGAACATACCAGAAATGCTATCTAAGGTAGGGCTTTTGGACTTGATATATCTCCTTTAGTGCTTGATTTACCTCCTCAAAACACACGTTCGTAGGGAAAGCTGTTTAATATTACATCCTTCCCCCGTACTCTCTCTTCCCTGTAATTGCTTTATTATTTTTTCTGTAGTATTTACCAACCACTAATATACTGTATAATTCTTTTGACTTGTCAGCCTCCTAAAAATGTAAGGCATGGGTACATGTAGGGATTTGGGTGTATTTGAATATCTTCCATATCCACAGCACCTAGAACAATGCCTGTGAAGAGTGGCCACCTTAAAAGTACTTGTTAAAAGAACTGGCTGGATGTCTTGGTTGGAGCATGGTCCCATACACCAAAAAGGTTGCGGATTTGATCCCTGGTCAGGGCACATGTGGGAGACAACAGATCAGTGTTTCTCTCTCCCTTCCTCTCTCTTTAAAAATCAAAGAGCGTATCCTCAGGTGAGGATTTTTAAAAAAAAGTACTTGTTACAGGTATAAATTTCAATCTAAGAAGTCAAGCAAAGAAATAAAGCTCAATACCATCTTTACCATTTTTTGTTACCTAAAATAATGCCAGTTTTAGTATTAAAATTGAAAAATAAATAAAATTTCCACAAAAAGAAGTAAATATTCCATGTTTAGATAATAGGTTATATTTCTTATTTGGTAATTAAATAAGATCTGTAGTATTATATTTTAAAAAGAGTTGTAATTATATTGGATCTTCTAATGTTTACTATTGAGATCTAAAAATAAAAATAAAGTATATATTGTAGTGTGCTGTTATTTGTGCTTGCTCAACTGTCATGATGACTTCTGCCTTAGAATTTGTAATCTAAGATGGCCTTGATTTGACAAAACAGCCAATGGAGCTGAGTCTATCCTGCATCTGTGTTCAAAATAAAATAGCATAAGTTTAATGATAGTGTCATTAATTTTGGTTAATTTGTTGAATGCTAGTCATTGTATTAAGTGGTTTACATTTATGTACATTCTCATTTAATCTTCAAAACACTCTAAGAAGTAAGCAATTTACAGATAAGAAAACTGAAGCTTGAAAATATGAAATAATCATTTCAGCAAATGAATGATAGATCTGAAGTGTTACATCAGGCTGCCAGATACCATGCTATATTAACCTTTACACTGTAAATCAAAGGAATAACAGAGTAAATAAAAAAAATTGGGAATAATAGATTTACACTGTAAATCAAAGGAATAAAAGGAATATTAGTTTCAGGTTCACAGCTCACTGATTAGACATATAACTTACAAAGTGATCACCCTAATAAATCTAGTTCCTAGCTGGCATACATATTTATTATAATATTATTGACCATATTCCCTATGCTGTACTTTACATCCCCGTGACTATTGTAACTACCAATTTGTGCTTCTTAATCCTTCACTTTTTTTCACCCATCCCCCAAACGTCTTCCTTCTGGCAGTTGTCAAAATGTTTTCTGTATCTATGAGTCTTTCTCTGTTTTGTTTGTTCATTTATTTTGTTCTTTAGATTCTGCATGTAAGTGAAATCATATGGTATTTGTATTTCTCTGACTTGTTTCACTCAGCACAATACCCTATAGGTCCATCCATGTTGTTGAAAATGGCAAGATATCATTCTTTTTTTTATGGCTCAGTAATAATCCATTGTATATATGTACCACTTCATCCATTTGTCTATTGATGGGCACTTATGTTGCTTCTATATTTTGTCTATTATAAATAATGCTGCAATAAACATAGAGATGAATATGTCTTTTCATTTTAGTGTTTTGGGTTTCTTTGGATAAATACCCCAAAGGGGAATTGCTGGGTCCTCCTTTGTCTCCTGTTATAGCCTTTGTTTTAAAGTCTATTTTGTCTGATGCAAGTATTGGTACCCTAGCTTTCCTTCCCATTTTCGTGAGATATCTTTTTCCATTCCTTTACTTTGAGACTGTGTGTATCTTTCAATCTAAAGTGAGTCTCTTGTACACAACATATGTAAGGGCATTGTTTTTTTATTCACTCACCCACCCTGTGTCTTTTAATTGGAACATTTACTCCATTTGCATTTACAGTAATTGCTAGATATGTATTTATTGCTATTTTATTATTCATATTTTTTATGTTTTTCTTTCTAAAGATCACTTAACGTTCCTTATAATAATGGTTTGTTGGTAATGAACTCCGTTAGCTTTTCCTTGTCTGGGAAGCTCTTCATCCATAGCTTTGATTTAAAATGATAGCTTTGCCAGGTAGAGTAATCTTGATTCTAGGTCCTTGATTTTTATTACATTGAATATGTTTTGCCAATCCCTTCTGACCTGCAAAGTTTCTGTTGAGAAATCAGATGACAGTCTTAGGGAAGTTTCCTTGTGTAGGTAACTACCTGTTTTTTTCTTGTTGCTTTTAAGAGTCTCTCTTTGTCTTTAACCCTTTTATTTTACTTATGATGTGTGTTGGTGGGGACCTCTTTGGGTTCATCTTGTTTGGGACTCTGCACTTCCTGGACTTGTATATCAGAAAGTTAGGGAAATTGTCTGACATTTTTTTTTTTTTCAAATAGATATTCAATTCCTTTCTCTCTTCTCCTTCTGGTGCCCCTGTGATGAAGTGTTGGCATCCTTAATGTTGTCCATGAGACCCCTTAAACTATCTTCACTTTTTTTAAATCATGTTTATTCTATTACAGTTGTCTCAGTTTTTCACCCTTTACTCTCCCCCACTCATCGCACCCTGCCCACTCCCAGTGTCAGTTCCCACTCTGTTGTCCATGTCCATGGGTCATTCATACGTGTTCTTTGTCTAGTCCCTTTCTCCTTCTTTCCACAATTGTCCTCTTCCCTCCCGGGCACTTACAGTCTGCTCCATGTTTCCTTGCCTGTGGTTTATTTTGCTCGTTAGTTTATTTTGTTGAATAGATTCCACTTAGAGGTGAGATCATATGGTATTTGTCTTTCACCGACTGGCTTATTTCACTTAGCATAATACTCTCCAAGTCCATCCATGTTGTTGCCAAAGCTAGGAGTTCCTTCTTACTTTTTGTTTTTTTTTTAATGCAGATCGATTTTATTTTTTAAAATGTCAAAATCCATTATAAAATGTTAAAAAATTTAAATCCATTATAAAGTCTCAGCAATTAAACGTCATACGAGCACAGAAATAATCACGTAGATCAATGAAATAAAATGAGAATTCTAGAAACAAATGAATATATCTAACAGTGTAATATATGATTAAATTGATATTTCAAATCAATGGGGAAAATAAGGCTTATTCAAAAAATAAGGTGCATGGACCACTGTTACTTGAAATAAAACAAATACAGAGGCCTATTTCACACATTATACAAGAAATATTCAGGTGAGTTAAAAATCAATATATAAAATCTAAGGAGTTTTTGGAGAAAATACAAAATAATTTTTCTTAACCTGAAGTAAAATATTCAAACCCAGAAGCTATAAAGTAAAATATTGACAATATGACTATATTAAACATTGAAGACTATATAGTAATATACATATAAAAAAAAGTTAAACAAGTAATAGAATAGGAAAGTGATTGCAACACATCTATAAAAGGGTTATAGGTTTTTTTTCTTAAGGAAAAAAGTCTACAAACATTCAATCAAAAAGTTGGATAAAGAGTACAAAAAGTCATTTACGGCTTTTTAAAAGTAGAAATAGGCAAGAAATATATAAAAACGGGTCGTTTCAACCAATAATGAAGTAACCACTAGAATAACACATCATTATCACAATCAGATTAATAAGCATTAAAAATATTGGTAATATCAAGTATTGGTGACTGTGAAAAGAAGTGTGCATTCATAGGCTTTTTCTTCATCTTCTTAAAGCAGTCCCTTTAGCATATCTTGCAGTGCTGGTTTGGTGGAGGTGTATTCTTTTAGTCTTCTTTTGTCTGGGAAGCTCCTTAGTTCGCCTTCCATTTTAATTGAGAGCCTCGCTGGGTAGAGCAGTCTCGGTTGGAGGCCTTTGCTTTTCATGACTTGGAATATTTCTTGCCATTCCCTCCTGGTTGTAGTGTTTCTGTTGAGAAGTCAGCAGCTAGCTGTACCGGGGCTCCCTGATATGTTACTACCTGTTTCTCCCTTGTTGCCTGTAGGATTCTCTGTCCTTGATATTTGCCATTTTAATGATGACGTGTCTTGGAATGGGCCTCACTGGGTTCCTTTTGAATGGGACCTTCTGTGCTTCCTGGACTTGTGTGACTTCTTCCCTCCTCACATTAGGGAAGTTTTCCATCATGACTTTTTCAAACAAGTTCTCTATCCTCTCCTCATCCTCTTCTCCTTCTGGTATCCCTATTATACAGATATTACTACATTTCAGGTTGTCCTGCATTCCCCTAAATGCCTCTTCATTCTTTCTGAGTCTTATAGGTAGGAGAATTATATTGATTATAGTGTATTTTGGAGAACACTTTTTAAACCTTGACTGTTTTTCTTTATTATAGCAGCTTCATGGAGTTTGGCCACAAGATGTTGTTGATGGAACTTGTGTAGCAGTAAATAACAAGTATCGACTAATGGCATTTGGTTGTGCAAGGTAATTGATACCGACTTCTGCATTTTAAGCATTACTGCCAAAAGTAAGGTTTTTTTTAACATAAGATTAATAAACTTGTAAACTTTGTCATCCTATTTTAATTTATGAACCAGCCTTAATATAAATCTGAAATTATTTTATTAGATTGAAACAAATCTAAAAGTCAGATTTTAAATATTATCTTGATTAGTAAAAGTGGGGTTTTCTTCACTGGCAGGAAATTAAGTAACAAGTTTAAAAAATTAAGTCAGTTAAAATACAGGTTCTTTACTGTTTAACAGGATCAGGAAGATATTTTTCTTTTTTTTAAGTAATCCTTTCTTTTTTAAGACATCAGTGTTGATATTGTCTTTGAATCAGTGAGTGTTGCCTTAGTTAAAGAGCAAAGGAAAGCTCATACATGAAATCAGTTTCTTGCTTTAATTCAAATAAATTATGTTTTAGAAGTAAAATAGAATACAAATATCTGTGTGTCTGCCGTGTACCAGGGACAGTGATAAGCACTTGGGATACATTAGAAAACAGCAAAGATACTTCACTGTCAAGCTTTTATTTTAGCTCAAGTAAAAAGATTATTCAGGGTGGGACAAAAATAGATTTACAGTTGTGAGTTGGAACCATTTATTCTGGTGCTGTTATTTATTGTGCTGTTTTTCATATGAACTGTAAACCTACTTTTGCCTCCCCCTTATCAGACACGCTAATGCTTTACAGTATGTATAGTACTCTTTAGTCTTTAAAACTTCCTTAAATATAAAATTCCATTTAACTCTAAAAATAAGACTTAGAGTTTCTATAGAACATACGTCTGTATAATCTCCAGCTACAAGTGTCAAAGTATCTTTTCAGTATAAATTTAGTAGTACATGTATAAATCACCGTTTCCATTACACTCTGAATAACCTCTGTAAAGTGAAGAATCTTCATCCTCATCACATTCCGTTTTACTGAGGAGGTAAATGTGGAAATATAAGTAATTTAACTTAGTACAAGAAAGAAGAAAAAGCATTTTCATATTCATGGATTTTATTTGGTCATGTTTTAGTTAGAATTTTAAAATTGATGTTCATGAGTACATTTTGCTTATAATTTTTGTTTTTCTTACTCTCCTGGTTCCTAACTCTCCTTGTCTCATAAAACAAGTTGAGGAAGTGTTCATTCCTTTCTTTCTCTTCTCTGTTCATCTTTGAATGTGTGGTCAAATTTGTCAGTTAAGCCATTTGAGCCTAGAATTGTCTTAATGGAAATTTTTTATATTACTGGTTTAATTTGGTTTTAATAATAGATTTCAAAAGATACGGATCTTCTGTTTCTTCTTAAGTAAATTTTGCAGTTTCTGTTTTTCTAGGAATTGTTTTTTTTTCCATATGCACTGTCAAATTTATTGGCATAAAGTTTATAATATCCTTTCTAACTTTCATATTTTAAAGTAAAAACATGCTTACAGGAAAGTGCATAATCCAAATATTTAGTTTTGTAAGTAGTTGTAATACAAACACCCATCTGTTCACAACTCGGTCAAGGAATAGAATAAATTTTACTCTTGCTACATTCTAATCACAACTTTTATCCCTTCCCTGACTAACTTAATTCTAACCAATTTTCTGTCTTTTGTAATAATAATGTCCTTGTCTTTATAATTTTACCACCCATGTATGCATTCTTAAAGAGCATAATTTAGTTTCACCTGATACTGAACTGTGTATGAATAGAATCATATTCTGTGTTATTAATCTTCCTTTTGTCAGTGTTGTGAAATTTATCCATGTTCTTTGCCAATAGCTGAAATAGATTTTTTCCAGTAACTGAAATAGTTTTCGATTAATTTATAAATAGTGTTCCAGTGTATGAATTTGTCATAATTTATCTGATTTGCTCTTAGTGGACATTTACATTATTTCTTGGCTTCCATAAAAAGCGACATTCTCTTAATAAACACTTAATACCCTCATCACACATGAGAAAATTAATGACAAGTCACTAAGATCTGATACTCAATTCATGTTGAAATTAACCATAATTTCTTTTATAGCTCCTTTATTCCAAACACAATCAATCAAAATCATGAATTATATGTGGTTATTATTTCTTTAGTTATATTTTGCCTATAACAATCCTCCTACTTTTACCCTTATTTTTATGACATTAACTTTTTTAAGAGTCCATTTCAGCTGTTTATAGAATGTCCTACATTCTGAATTTTCTTCTTTCTTCATAATAGCATTTAATTAGTTTTTCTAACACTTGTTATGACTGGAACTTTGAAGCTCGTTCTTGTTAAGCCAATTTCAGTGACTAGGAAGCTCACACATCACCATTTAGAGGAAACATACAGAGACATGAGCAGTGGCAAATGTACGGTTTCACCTCACCCGCATTCAGGGCTAGCACCAGGGGCCTACCAAGGCCAGCTCTGAGAGTCCAGGAGAGGTGTGCTAGCCCTTCCCCCAGGAGAGAGAAGGTAGAATCTTGGCCTTTAGCCTCAGTCATCTCAGTTTTCACTGGTTGGGAGAGTACCAACCCTTCTGTCATGATCCTGGGATGGGGTGTAGTTTTGTATTGTAGCTGTGTGACATAGCAAACTAGTGGCTTCTAGCTCTGACCTGCCATCGCTTCCCAGGATTAATTGCATTGAACACTAGGCTTAGCTGTCCTTAGAATTCTGTAAGAAGTCCCCTTTCTTCTAGGATGCCAGTGTGCAAGGACTCAGTCTTACAACCAGACATTTACCTTTATGTTTAAAGGTTTGTTTAGATTCTGGTTAAACATTTTTGCCATACACGATATTGTGTACTTCCTGTGGCATTATATAGCAATAATATCGACTTGTCCCTCTATAAATGTTGCTAAATTTGATCATTTATAGTGACACTAGTCATGCTATACTATAGAGATATGTTGTTTGCTTTGAGATTAGTAAGCGGTGTCTTTTAATGAAAAAATTTTCTTGCCCTGATTGGTGTGGCTCAGTTGATTGAGTATGATCCCACAAAATGAGAGGTCTCTGGTTCGATTCCCAGTCGGGGCACTTGCTTGGGTTGCAGGCCTGTCCTCAGTTGGGGCATGTGTGAGAGGGAACTGGTCAATATTTCTCTCACATATTGATGTTTCTTTCCCTCTCTTACTCCCTCTCTTCACGAACTCTCTCTAAAAAAAAATAAGTAAATAAAATCTTTAAAAATGTTTTCTTACAATGAGTGATGAGAAATTGAAAGAAAAATAATTTAAAGAGTATGGGCACTATAGAATACATAAAAGGTTAATTTTCAGTCTTTATAAATAATGACATAGCACCTACTTATATTAGAAATATTTGGACTCCACACTGACTTGTTAGCATTCAGCAACCCAGAGTTAGTACTTGACAGTTTGTTAGATGCCAAGCAAAAACGTGCTAGCCACTTGGTGTTGTCATTCAGCAAGGTGTTTGATTGGGCAGGTAGTCTCCAAAGATATATATTATAGGCATTTAGCTTCTAAGCTAGAATAACAGGTCAGATTTTCTCTCCCACCTAAAAAAAAAAAAAAAGACTGGACAAAAATATGAAACAGATGTTTTGAATTCAAGAAGTAGGACATCAGGCAAAGAAAGACAGTGATCCCTGAAAGATGAGAAACAAAATAAGAAAACTTTACAAATGGCCCAGCTTTAATTACTTTGAGAGAGTTTCCAGGCATAGCATGAGGTTGGAAGATAGAGCCCGGCAGATTCTCTGAGTTGCTTTCCTGGAAATGAGAGTCTGAGGAAACAAAAGCAGCTAAGGCTCACAGGACAGACACCAAAGAGAGAGTGACACAAAGAAGAAGAATTCCAGAGATCTATAAAGGGTCCCGTTTGAGTATTCAGCTGAAACATGGAAGATTTAAAGAAGACCCAAATCAAGCATGGCAGAAGAAAAGATTAGTTAACTTGAAGAACATGGCAAGAGAAATTATCTGAAATAAAACACATAGAGGAAAAAAAGAATTATAAATAGCATTAATGAGCTGTGGGATAAGTTCAGGTGGCCTATTATTGCAAGTATTTTATTTTGTCTCATTCCTAACCCTTGACAAGTTGGACTGCCTGGAAATGGATCCAAACTGCAGTGGGGAAACCATCTGACTTCTCCTACAACAAAGGAATGTGCATAAATGCCAGACATTCTGGCAGTCACACTCCAGTGCCATCCTAAAGTGTGCAGAAGCAGCCTTGGAGTCAAAAGTATTTTACAAACAATATTTCTGTTAATTTTTTGATCTAGAAACTCCATAAAAATGTTTTTTAAATGATTATTAAGCTCAGTTTTGAAATGTAGCCTGGAAGTAATGTAGATTTTTAGTTTTGCTTTCTCATACTTCATAAATTAGACCCTTGTAAAGATGTTTTAAATAAAATAATTGCATATGTGGTGAGTCAAGGTGGTTGAGGAGTGAGTGGAAGTCACACTGACCTCCTCCCAGGACCAATCTGGAATTATAACTAAATAGTGAAGAAATCACGTGGAACAAACAACTGAACAATAGCGAGAGAGGAGCCTTATAACCTCAAACAGACAGAAGAATCAGCTTTATCACAAACTGATAAGGAGTGCGGCAGAGACTCAAGAAGGCGGGTGGGGCGCCCACGGATGGCAGCACGAGAGGGATACTGAAACGGCCAGTTGGATCCCCCTGAGAAGGGTGGGTTCTAAACCACAAGCGGGGATCTCCAGCCTACAGCACCAGAGCCCAAAAAATACACAGATAACAGCCAGCTGTGAACAGTGGCAGGGTTGCGCTCTGCCAGACACAGGCAGCTGGAGACACAAAGAACCTTTTAAAGGGCCAGTGCCTAAATTTTTATTTGCAGCCACTTACCCTGGTCTCCGGCAACGGTGAGGGCACAGTGGGCTAGAGATACCTGAGGAGAGACTGGGAAGGAGGCTTCAGGGAGAGAACTGAGAGAAGAGCTGGCGGGATCCTGGTGCTGACTCATCCCCCATATGGCAGCAGCCATCTTGGTCAGGCAGATCACTCCCCTGAGCGGCAGCAGCATGAGAGGACACAATGGCCCCACTCCCAGGAGGGACTTAGCTCCGCCCTGTGGTGTCCGAGCTGGCCTGCTAAGTGTAGAGTGACTATATTAACAGCTAAGGGAGACAGTAGATCCCTGGAAGTCTCGAACAGACTGCCTACAGTCAGACAGGGTCCATATCTGACATCCTCAGAGGCAGATCCAGAAAGAAAACAGTGGTCTCCTACCATAGAAGTGGACACCACAAAGTCAGGAAATCAAGACAGATCAACACAAGAAGCAGAATCAAAAAAGAAGAGTCTCACAAATAATGGGAAGACAAAGAATCACCCCCCAGACAAAGGGAAAGGAGGAATCTCCAGAAAGAGAAATAAATGAAATAGAGGCAAGTAAACTATCAGATATGAGTTCAAAACAATGGTTCTAAGGAAGCTCAGTGAGCTCAGAGAGAATTACCAAAAACTACAGGGAAACTACGAGGCACTTACTGCAAACTATATCAGCATGAAAAAGGGCATAGAAGCTATCAGTAAGAGACAAGAGGAAATGAGGAGTACAATTTCTGAATTGAAGAACACAGTAGAAGGAGTCAAAAGCAGGCTAGATGAAGCTGAGGACTGAATCAGTGAGCTGGAGGATAAGGTAGAAAAAAGCTCCCAGAAAGGTCAAGAAAGTGAAAAAAGACTCAGAAAGAATGAAGAGGCATTTAGGGGAATGCAGGACAACCTGAAATGTAGTAATATCTGTATAATAGGGATACCAGAAGGAGAAGAGGATGAGGAGAGGATAGAGAACTTGTTTGAAAAAGTCATGATGGAAAACTTCCCTAATGTGAGGAGGGAAGAAGTCACACAAGTCCAGGAAGCACAGAAGGTCCCATTCAAAAGGAACCCAGTGAGGCCCATTCCAAGACACGTCATCATTAAAATGGCAAATATCAAGGACAGAGAATCCTACAGGCAACAAGGGAGAAACAGGTAGTAACATATCAGGGAGCCCCGGTACAGCTAGCTGCTGACTTCTCAACAGAAACACTACAACCAGGAGGGAATGGCAAGAAATATTCCAAGTCATGAAAAGCAAAGGCCTCCAACCGAGACTGCTCTACCCAGCGAGGCTCTCAATTAAAATGGAAGGCGAACTAAGGAGCTTCCCAGACAAAAGAAGACTAAAAGAATACACCTCCACCAAACCAGCACTGCAAGATATGCTAAAGGGACTGCTTTAAGAAGATGAAGAAAAAGCCTATGAATGCACACTTCTTTTCACAGTCACCAATACTTGATATTACCAATATTTTTAATGCTTATTAATCTGATTGTGATAATGATGTGTTATTCTAGTGGTTACTTCATTATTGGTTGAAACGACCCGTTTTTATATATTTCTTGCCTATTTCTACTTTTAAAAAGCCGTAAATGACTTTTTGTACTCTTTATCCAACTTTTTGATTGAATGTTTGTAGACTTTTTTCCTTAAGAAAAAAAACCTATAACCCTTTTATAGATGTGTTGCAATCACTTTCCTATTCTATTACTTGTTCAACTTTTTTTTATATGTATATTACTATATAGTCTTCAATGTTTAATATAGTCATATTGTCAATATTTTACTTTATAGCTTCTGGGTTTGAATATTTTACTTCAGGTTAAGAAAAATTATTTTGTATTTTCTCCAAAAACTCCTTAGATTTTATATATTGATTTTTAACTCACCTGAATATTTCTTGTATAATGTGTGAAATAGGCCTCTGTATTTGTTTTATTTCAAGTAACAGTGGTCCATGCACCTTATTTTTTGAATAAGCCTTATTTTCCCCATTGATTTGAAATATCAATTTAATCATATATTACACTGTTAGATATATTCATTTGTTTCTAGAATTCTCATTTTATTTCATTGATCTACGTGATTATTTCTGTGCTCGTATGACGTTTAATTGCTGAGACTTTATAATGGATTTAAATTTTTTAACATTTTATAATGGATTTTGACATTTTAAAAAATAAAATCGATCTGCATTAAAAAAAAAAACAAAAAGTAAGAAGGAACTCCTAGCTTTGGCAACAACATGGATGGACTTGGAGAGTATTATGCTAAGTGAAATAAGCCAGTCGGTGAAAGACAAATACCATATGATCTCACCTCTAAGTGGAATCTATTCAACAAAATAAACTAACGAGCAAAATAAACCACAGGCAAGGAAACATGGAGCAGACTGTAAGTGCCCGGATGGGAAGGGGGAAGAGGACAATTGTGGAAAGAAGGAGAAAGGGACTAGACAAAGAACACGTATGAATGACCCATGGACATGGACAACAGAGTGGGAATTGACACTGGGAGTGGGCAGGGTGCGATGAGTGGGGGAGAGTAAAGGGCGAAAAACTGAGACAACTGTAATAGAATAAACATGATTTAAAAACAAAAAATTAAAAAACTTAAGAAAATACAAAAAAATTGCATATACCATATACACAAAAGAACGTGTATCATGTGTATAGATACAGAAAGTAATATATATAAATAATAAAATGAAAGTCTAGGTAAATTACTATCTCACATGAGAGAGAGCACATTATCAGTGCTGATGAAGCCTGCTGCTTGCGCCTTTTTTAATATCCCCTTTCTCCACCAGCACAGTCACCGATCTACAGGTAGTGTACAATTTATTAGGTCTTTGTTGCATCTTTACCACAAATATATTTACTATATTTTGAATTTTTTATTGCATGGAAACAATTATATGTCTATGCTATCTGTTTTAATGCATATAACCAAATTTCACTTATTTTTAATGGTGTACAGCATCTGACTACATCAGTATACCAAAGTTCATTTTTCCTTTCTCTTCCTCTTGAACATTCAGATTTCCACATTTTGCACTTATACAAAATACTATAATGAACATTGTACATGACAGGGATATTCTGGGATATAGCCAGAGTGAAATTACTAGATTATACTAGATTTCATTTGTTCAAATTTATAAGATGACTACAAATTATTTACCAAATTGTTTTGATCTAGTTTACATTCCTACCAGCAGTTATAAGAGTTCCAATAATAATACTTTTTATATTTGTATTATTTGTCACTAAAAGTTGGTTTGTTTTTACAGTGGTTCTGTTCAGGTTTATACAATAGATAACACCACTGGAGCTATGCTGCTGTCTCATAAACTAGAGTTAACAGCAAAACAATATCCTGGTGAGTCCTCTTGTTTTCTCCTTATTTTAACATTTTTAATGTGTAGGTATGTGTCATGAATACTAATTTTAAATAAATGGTGCATGCGATAGGTCAAATAAGATTAAAACATAAAACAATACTCTATGTGATCTTAGGATTTCCATGTAACTAGAGAGACTCCCGGGATACGGCTTTTATCCCTTCATTTAGTCCTCTCTATCCCTACTTAGTTTTAGCCCCTATGTTTCTCTGGACTTTGCTCTATTCTCCGACCTGATTTCATTGTTTCTGTTACTTATCCTTCCATTCAATTTACTGATTCAACAAGTACTTACAGAGTACTTAATACAACCCAGACACTGTTGGAAATGCTGGATATACAACAATAAACAAAACAAAGGTCTCTTTCTGAACCCTTTAGTGATTTGTGAATCCTGTCCCTAAGATTAAGTTTAAAGTCTATGTCATTAGAAATGCTTTTGACTGAAACTAACAGAAAGCCCAACTTGCTGTGGCTTAAACAAATGCAGTTTATTTTCTCAAATAGCAAGAAATCCAGAGGTAAGCTGCTACTGACGTTCATTTGGCCTTTCCTTCACAAGGTAGCTCCTGAGCTCCAAACATTATGTCTGCATTTGAGTTAAGAAGAAAGGAGGAAACAAGTTATACCTTTAATTTAATTTTTATTTATTTATTTTTGTGTTGGGGAAGAGTTAGGAAGACAAAAACTTTCTTAGAAGCACCTCCATCTACTACCTGCTCCAACTGTCTTCCTTCCACTTATATCTAATTGGCCATAGTTATGTCGTGTCATTATTTTAAGGCTGTTCCAAGCACTCATGGCAGAAGTAGGCAAGGGAGAACTAGGATAGGAATTTTACCCTTTGTTATAGGAAATACCGATAGGAATTTTACCCTTTGTTATAGGAAATACCGTGCCTTGGCTGGTGTTCACTCAATGGATTGAATGCCAGCTTGATTGAGTGCCAACTTGCAAACCAAAGGATCGCTGGTTCAATTCCCAGCCAAGTCCCATGTCTCAGTTGTGGGCCAGGTTCCCAGTTGGGGGCATGTGAAAGGCAACCACACATTGATATTTCTCTCCCTCTTGTTCTCCCTCCCTTTCCCTCTCTCTGAAAATAAATAGATAACATCTTTAAAAATATACCAAAAGTTCTGTTTATTAAGTATCTATTTCTAAACAACTTAATAGGTATCTGTGTTCTTGCAACATAGTAGCATTTAAAAAATAATACACATACCTAGAAAGAAAAATATTTTTATTTTATCCTTCAGTACTGTTATTTACTAACAGGATGTATATGCCTATTGGATACTCAAAGCTTGGACTCAGATTGGGTACAGTCACTCACATTTCTTGTTCCACATTGATTTTCACACACTTCATTCACTTTTTTCAAAAATCTAAAAACCCATCTTCACAAAGATGTAACAACATCCAAATAAACATAGCACAACATAGTGTTGCAACTGTGAACTACCTGGAACTAATGGTTTACATGATGTCCAACATATATGAGGGGGGGACCTCAAAACAGAATTTATTTATAAAAAATTGTGTATTTATTCTTACACGTTTAAAGTTAAGTCAACTTCAAAGTACTCTTAATTTGATGCAATATACCTCTCAAGATGTGTTTCCCACGGTTCAAAACAGTTTTTGAACTTGTTGATTTTGATGCTTTTTAGTGCTTCTGTCATTTTTTTGTTTCACCTCTTCCACATGGGCAAAACATTTCCCTTTGAGGACTTCTTTCATCCAGGGAAACAAAAAAAAAACATTGCTTGGGATGAGGTCTGTTGAATAGGGAGGGTGGGGCATGGGGGTCATGCTGTTCCTGGTCAAAAACTGCTGAACACTCAGCACAGCTTAGGCAAGCGCGCTCATAAATCACCCAACATGAAATGGGCAAAAACGTTGAGTCTTCACAAAAAATTCACTGAAGCCAAATGCAGCCTCTCATAACAACTCCAGTCAGTACACATCCTAGAACACCAACCTAGCAGGGGAAGCCTGTGCTACAAGGCACTGGGCCTACAGAAGATAGTTCTGGGTTTTTTTGCGGCGGGGGTCCCCCCTTGAATATCACTGTATTTCTTTTGCAAATTATCTCTTGGCATCCCTTGTGAATTTTCCATGGTCCTGTGAGATACCTTGTCACACAGGCTAGGAACTGCAGTCTTATGCTTTATTTAACTACCAGATTACCTGCAGGTTCTTGAGAGTTAGTCTTTGTCTCGTGTCTTCTCTTTACCTGAAATCTCATATTTCTACATGAAGAGTATATATTTATCTTTCAAGATACAGCTTAAGTGAATTTTTTTTTTTTTTTTACTGAACTATACAGAATACTATTTCCTCTTGTGCTCCTTAAGTTTTTATCATTCCTATTCTGGAGCTTTTAAAGGTCTGCATATTGTATTTTTCTCTAAGGACAGTTATTTTTCTCTAAGAACAGAGTAATATTTTAATTGTGGTTTTTGGCCCTTCTTTTTTTTTTTTTTTATTTTAATGCATACTTACGTTGTGCTGTCCAATCAGTACGTTGCCTGCCTGCCACATGTGGCTATTTAAATTAAACTAATTGAAATTAAAGGAAATTAAAACATTATTCTGTCAATTGCAGTCACATCTAAATGTTCATAGCCACATGTAGCTAGTGGCGATGACACCAAGCAAAGATGAGACCAAGCAAAGAGAAAACGTTTACATCATTGCAGAAAGTTCTGTTGCTTGCCTCTGTTGGACAGCGCTATTTTGAGTTTTTCAGATTAACCTTTGGTTACCCACTGCCTCTCATTTTTATGGTCTTTGTTGTGTGAGAACTCTTGACTCCTTGAGTTACATAACTTGGGGCTATAAAACCTGCTTAAGATGGAGGAATACATGTATTGTCATCCTACATCTCGAACAGGAGGCAAGCTTCCTTGTTTTTTTCTGGCTCCATTAGCTGATTTTTACAGGTTACAATACTTGAAGAGTCCTTACATGATGCAGCAGCTTCCATTCTGATTCCCAGACTCATGCTGGCCTGAGGCCCCTTTTGTTATTTTTGTATATGGGATGTGAAACCCCAACTCCCTAGTCTCATCCCAACCTTCTGTTCCTGTGTTTCCAACCTTACTCCCCACTTTCCACCACGCCCTAGGCTGCCTTGGTTCAAGCATTAACCAATCTCGCTTTCAGTTTTTTCTTTTTGCTCCTGGAGGTACCCCTTTCTTTCTTGAAAGTTCCATTCTGTAACAAACTTTTAACATTTTTTTCATTATCATAATCTATGTTCATTGTAGGTAACCAGCTAGGTGAATTTCCCGTAATCCTGCCACCTGAAAACTAGGTTAAACACCACTGTATATCTCTTCAACTATATTTTAATATGCATATAATGCTTAGAAATAGATAAGCATGTTTGTACCAGTGTGCCTATATATATTTATGTAGGATAATAGGAATACTATTTAACCTATTCTTTTCAGTGAACATGAACATCTTTTCATGACAGTAAACATATTTAAACTTTTTTTCTTGCACATGGGATTACTTTTCATTTTGTAAACTTTGGTTTGAGTTCATATTGCTTGGTTTTCAATTTTTCCTGGACAAGAGTAAAGTATACTAATAAGGTATTAAGTTTCCTTTGCACGTTCCCATTTATTTTTCATCTACATAAATAAGTTATTCTTATACATGAATTATATTGGGAATTGCTAATGTGAGGATTCAAACATAGGCAAAGGAAAAAAAGTACTACTCTGCTAACCAAATCTGTCTTCTATAGGCTAAAACCTATATACCTCCCCTTTGTAGCAAATGTACTCACAGCAAAAATTTATTAATACTCAAAGTGAAAAGAATTTTAATTTTAAAGCAAGTGATACTATAGATATTTTGGAATTGTTGGAAATGTTGGCCTGTTTCATTTAACTTTACAGTAAAGAAACTTGGTTTTACAACACATTGAAATTATCTCCTTTAGTAGTTGTGTTTGGGGTTGAAAGAACGGTTATTAGTTAAAAGAAAATATGAGCACCTGGAATACAGTAAGCTGGAATAAGTAAGCTGGAGTTTACTTAATCCTAATATAATATTAAACTTCAGTTTATTTTAACTTGGATCCCTCTGATATTTGCAAATGGAGCATGAAGATAGTGGTAAAATATTATTTTACATTTTAGAACACCTTATACTTTGCAAAATACTTGAACTAACATTCACTGTTAAATCATTCAAGGGAAGTCTTATCCCAGTTTTACAGAAACTGAATCACCCAAAGCCAAAGACTTTTAAGAATACACACTCAGTTATAGTTACTCAAGATAACAGTGGCCCTAAACAACTTTCTTTTCTTATGAAAAACTTGGGCACTGAGTTTGTTCTTAGGTCTTGACTCAGGTCAAGGCTAATGTCCTTACAGTTTTTTAACCCTAAATGAGCAGGATGCATCTCATTACTTGAAGCAGAGATGCTTTTCTGCTTACTTTAACTTGAAAATATTGACTGAAACATAAGAAGTATTTCTGAAGCAATTATTTATTTTTAACTCCTCTCACACTTTCTTAACAGATATTTGGAACAAAACAGGAGCTGTTAAATTGGTCAGATGGTCTCCTGACAACAGTGTTGTAATAGTGACCTGGGAATATGGAGGACTTTCTCTATGGAGTGTGTTTGGAGCTCAGCTGATTTGTACACTTGGAGGAGATTTTGCGTGAGTCAATAAAGACAAATTTTATATAAAATAACTCCACTTTCCCTCAGATGATACATACACACACACAGAAATGTTGTGTCACACAGATACCCTTTTGCTGTATTTGGCTCTTACCCCAAAGCAATTTGTAAGCTTCAGAATTAATTTATTCAGAATGTATTGATTATTGAAACATCCATCCTCTTAAAACTTACTGTTCATTCAAAAACCATGCATTTATTTATTTAATCCCTGTTGTATATATGATAGCATGTAAATTCAAGGCCAAATATGGTTTTCTTCAAGTAGCTTTTAATAAGAGTGGTAAACCATGCATATGAGTAACAAGTAGGAAATGGAAAATTATACAGTCCCATTGGGTTAGTGTAGGTTAGTCCACTGATTGATAGAAGTAGATTGATATGTCTGCCCACTTCATAAACCACACTGAACCTCAGTCCTGACAAAATGAACACATGTTCCCAAACTGCATGATCCTATCAGGAAGTTACTTAGGAGCTGAAAGGCTGTGCCTCAGGAATGGACTCACATGTGTTAACCAGCGGTCTCATAGTTCATGCATTATGTATTTCTATTTTGAAGGAACAAAATCAATTTGATCTTTTAAAAATTAAAGCTAAATATTATATGTAAGTAGAAGACTTTTTAATTTTCTTCTATTTTAGTTATAGGTCTGATGGTACCAAAAAAGATCCTCTTAAGATCAGCTCTATGGTAAGTACTTTCTATAAAATACTGGTAGAGTGTAGAAAACTTGGATTTTTCTTTTTTTTCCTCCCCTCACATTGCTCTGATAAAATTACAAAGCTGATTTAGTCTCAGCAGAGGCTTCTATGCAGTTTTTCTTTTGAAAAAAATGTTTTTTTAATCTTTTTTTTTTAAATCAGGAGTCTGTTCAACTTTCGGTATTTGATTTTCATTTTGCTTAGATGGGCCCATCAGGCCCCTGTCATCTGATATGTGAACATCGTGCCATAGTGAAATCAGACCATTGTATTTCCTAAATACGATGGTTTTTTGTGTTCCTCACCAGCACCCACTTCTTATGACCTCCTTTCTTTTAACATAAAGTGAAATGCTCGTTGGCTCTTTTTCCTGGGGGACATGGATTTGTGCATTATCTGAGCACATTTTTAAAACTTTTCATAAATGTGTATCAAGAAAATTATAGTTATTTTCATAACAATATTTTTGTTACCTGTGTTCATGTGTTTCTTTAGAAAACAGTGAAGTGTAATCCCTGTCTTTACATAAAAACATTTTTTAACTATAGCCCCTCTGGGTACCATCTTTGTGAAATCAGTGCTTATGAGTGCTCTCTGTAGGAGGAAATTTTCTGACCTTCCGTTTCCTAAAGAATTAAAACTAACATGGTTGCCTTGAATAGTGGTTCTCAAACTTTCATCACCAAGGACCCCAGTTGATGTCTGTCCCCACTTCCACACTCTAAAATAATTTTTCGAGCAAGTACCACTACTGTAACTGCCAGTCAGTGCTTCCGAATGGCGTGCAACAACCAGTGTTATCAGCCTAAGTTACTTTAGTCACAAACTAAGACTCTAAATAAGCATTTTAGTTAGCTTGTACAACTTTTACTATGGGAAAGCAAAACTTCTGTTACCCTTTGAAATTTTGTAACGATTCTTGGAATCCCCATTACTGTTTTCTTGGCCTTGCAGATTGGAAATCACTAATATTAAAAATAAACTATCATGGAATTTAGTTACAGAATATTAAAATTGGGCTGAATGTTCCCATTTTACAGAGGAAGGAACTTATTCCCTGAAAAATCAAATAGGTTGGCCAAGGTAATAACTGCAAAGTGGTAGCCAAGTAGGAAAGAAAACCCTAGTCTCATAGCTTCCAATCTATTGTTCTTTGCTCTATACAAAACTGCACCTGTTTTGGATGTTTTTTTGTGACGCTTCAGCTGAGTAACATGAGTCTTCCGCTGTAAGGAATTTCTTAGTATTTGAGAGTCAGTTAAATTAATGAAGAAGTTACAGCAAGCAGTAGGCATTTCTTAGGATTTGGAGTTAAGATTAGTATGTCCTGTTTTCGCTCTTCTGGGTAGGGAACAGTGACGGTGGTTTCCACTGGAGATAGCTAAGATGTAGTAGATGCAGGTGTTAGTTTTAGATGTAGATTCTTGTCTGCATTGTTTGTCATAGTTTCTCTAACCTTCAGAAGTCATCAATAATGGTGTTGATTATTTTTCAGAATTTGAATATCTGAAGCTAAAAAAGAGTAACAAGAAACTTTTTATTGCTTTGATTCTCCCCCCCCCTTTTCCTTCTTTTTCCCCTTCCTTCTCTTTTCCAGAGCTGGGGCGCAGAAGGCTATCATCTATGGGTAATCAGCAGATTTGGTTCTCAAAATACTGAAATTGACTCTGAGCCCAAAAGTATTGTTAAACAGCCTGGCATTCTGCTATTTCAATTTATCAAGAGTGTACTCACTGTTAACCCTTGTATGGTAAGTGTATTTAATTAAAACTTCGGGGTTTTTCTAGTGGCTGTCATATTAGAATCCAACTCCTCCTACGATAGAGATTTGTGGAATATACTCGTAAAATTAGCATATTGTCTTCGTTTGTATATTTTTCTGAGTCTTGTATTTTTTAAAAAATTTCTATTAAATTTACATCAAAATTTTATTTCCGGGTAGGTATATTTAAAAAAATAAAAAGGATCACAAGCAACTTGAGGAAAAGCAGTGTTTACTGATTACTCGAATAACTTGAATAAAATTTAGTCCTTGTCTGAATAGCATTTCCCAAAGTTTGTTCCAGCAGGCATTACTTATAAGAAATATTAATAGCAGTTACACGGAATAAGGAAAAGTTCTATTGTCATGTAAGTGTGGAATAAAGGAGTTAAAGCTCTAGGGATTTCTTTATTGTGGGTCACCAGGGTCTTTAATATGCTAGTGTATGTTATGAAAATCCAGGAGTTGGTGTATAAAAACCAATGTTTCCCAAGCTTATGTAACTATGAATTTTTAAGGAACACCTTGAGGAACCTGCTTTGGAAAATACTGCCCTAAATTATTATGTAAATTCCTCATGTTTCATCAGTCTGAAGTAACAATATTATATATTGTTAATATGTAATAATAGTATATGTTACATGTGGGGAGTGCATATCTAAATATATGCCACCAGTGTGTTTTTAAATATTTGGTGTAATTAAAATTTATAACACATGTGCTGACCCATGTGGCTCAATTTGTAAGGCATCTTTTCGCAAAGGGAAAGGTGCTACTTTGATTTCTGATCAGGGCACATGGCTGGGTTGCGGGTTCAGTTCCTGGTCAGGGCACATACAAGAGGCAACTGATTGATGTTTCTCTCTCATATCGATCTTTCTCTCCCTCTCTTTCTCCCTCCCTTCCCCTCTCTCTAAAAAAAATAATAAATAAAATGTACAATAGATTGAGAAAGAATGTGAAAATAGCCTGAATCTTCGGTGTTGTTAGTGTAGTTGAAGAATTAAGGATCCCCAGAAAAACAAGAATAGAATATTTCTTCCTACCACCATGCCAAATAGTAATTTAAAAGCACCCTTGAGTTTTGTATGAAGTGAACATTTGTACTACAAGGGAAAGATGAGGGGCTCTCGGGTATTGATCAGTTTGATTCCAATAGCCAGTGAAGAGTCTGCCTGTGTTTGAGAACTTCTAGTTGAAAACCAGGGCATAATCACTAAAAGAAGAAACTGTCTTATTTGTAATCTGGCACAGTCCTTTGCACTAACCAAACATTTATTAAGTGATTATTGAATTGTTCTGAACCAGGACCATGGACTGAAATTACTCTTCCTCCTCCCCATGGTTTAAAAGGTCCTCCAGCATCATGTTATCCCTGTTCCTAATCCACCCCCTTCTTGCCATGTGGGCGCATGAGTGAGCACACACACACACACTGTTTAAGACATATTTTCTTACCACCCCACCACTCAGGAGATATTTTATGTGAAACTAATTTGTAAACTATAGATAATGAGTAATTGTTCAGTTTTAAGATAGAAAAGCTCTCACAGCATTGCCGTATTGGAGTAGTAATAAAAGATTCTGCTGTAGCAGTTGTAAAACCGGGCATGTTTTGGACTCTGTATGATAAAAGGACTTAAAGATTTCTTTTATACTGAGAAGTAGTCATTAAAACATTGTCCATTCCCTTTAAATATAACAATGTATGAGATCATTTTGTAGTCATGTCCTCTATGAGGAAAATCAACAGTAAAATATATGGTACATTTCCTATAATGAAACTAAATTGATGCATTTACTTACTTTCTCCTACCTAATATTGAGCTGTTTTTATTTCCTTCTTTGCCCCTCTACTTCCTTTTTCCCCTCATCTAGAGTAACCAAGAGCAAGTGTTGCTTCAAGGGGAGGATCGATTATACTTAAACTGTGGAGAGGCCTCACAAACCCAGAATCCCAGTTCTTCAGCACACTGTAAACCCAGCCGGGAAAAGAGCTCGTTTGCAGATGGCAGTTTTGAGTCTCAGAGTTTAAGCACTTTACTTGGACATCGGCATTGGCATGTGGTACAAGTAAGTCTTAAGTGACTATTGACTTAGTCCTTGGTAAGATAGTACCTGGAGCAGATTGTTCAATATTTCCTCTGTTGCTTTAGAAAACTGAGAAACTTAAACCTTTTTGACTGTCCTGTCTCTCTTCTGCTTTGCTGTGTTCTTGTTTTCTGCCTCCTTTCCACTTGATGTAGAGCATATCCCCACCTGCTTTAAGTCCATTAGTAGTGAGCAGTTTAAAAAACGGGAAGTTTGTTTTGCCCTCTTACTGAGCAAAACTGTTTATTTTACTTTCAGCGTTCGTTCTCTCTCTTTTCTTTCTGTCTTTTTTTTTTTTTTTTTTTTTTTTTGGTATAGAGGTCTGTGGCTTTGCATAGGCAAAAGTGTAGTTATTTCATGGGAAGTAACAATATTGATTTAGTGCCCTGTGCAGCAGCTGACCTTGTAGTTCTAATAAGGAAACATTGAGATTAATTACCTGACTTTAACCCAAAATTGCAGACTTGGGGTCAGTATAGAACCGTATTGTTAATAATTTTATTATTTAATCTTGTTCCAAATTATTTACTCATCCTGACACTTTAAATTAGCAGTTTCTTGTAGTAATTCTGATAAATTGGCATTTAATATTGAAAAGTCTGAATTTTCATACCAAATAAAATTAATTTAGGTAAATCAATAAATTGAAGTTTCTTGAAAATTTTTCATACACAGTTGCAGTCCTGAGAGTTTTCTTTCCCCTTTTAATACCAAGTGTCTTAGGTCCATCAGAGCCTTCTCTTGGATTAGTTTGTTTTAGTCAGTTTATTTCCGCAGTTTTTTACCTTACCTCTACATTCTATACTTTTCCCTTAGTAGCTTACTTCAGCTCCCATGTTACTTTTAGTTGACTCTGAATGAAGATAATGAGAGGCAGTAAAATGGTCATTATGTGAAAATTAAAGGAGAAACATCTCCTACATTGACGTGGTATACACTAAAATAAAATGTACTTAATAAAGTCATAAAATCAAACAATGTGCATACCATTTTATAATTAATAATTTTTAAATAAAAGTGCATCAGCTACTTCCTTAACTAAAATTTTCCACTGCTCCCTTCTCTCTTATAGCCATTTCTCTGCTATTTTCATTTCCCCATACTCTGAACTATTCATTCTACACTGACCTAGCATCAATGCCAGTTCTGCCTAGCCAGGTCTGTGTTGCCAGAGAGCCAAGTAGAGCAGAGGATCAAAGAAGGTAGGTCTGGAACTCAAAAATCCATCAGGCAATAACAAAAATTGAATTTCCTTCCAGCTCAAAAATTCAGTGATTCTGTGATTCTTAGCTGTCTGTGAAGTATCCCGTATTAGAATCCTATAACACTGATTTTACAACTTTAGATGAAGTAGGTTCTAGCATGATTCTTATGTTGTTCCGTTTTTCAGATATCTAAAATACTCAGAAAAGTGAATTTGTTTAACTCTAGCTTTTCTTGTTTTTCAGTTTCCTTAAAACTAATAAAAATAATGCCAGAGTTACACTCCCAAAACAATTAAGTTATGATAGACTCATAGAATTTTTAGAGCTGGAAGGACCTTAGAGATCATGTAGTCCAACTGGATTTTATACATGAGGAAACGGAGGCTCAGGGAAGTTAGGTGACTTGTCCAAGGTCACACAGCAGAGTAGTGTCAGACATTCTTACCATAATATAAATTAAAGTAACAGTCTAACCGATTTTAAAACCTAGATACTAAATGTTGAATGCTGCCGACCTTGAGGTGAAACCTAGAACACGCCTATTTAGCAGTGTTTTTACTTGGACTTGCCCTATGTTTTGTGTGCTGGCACTGCAGCCACATGAGCCAGTGCAGTGTTGTGGTGGTGGTTTGATAGGATGTTTACAGTGTTCGTATAATGCTAATGCTTTACCTTTCAGGCTCTTTAGCCATTAGTAGTGATTCCCTAAAGAAACATGGGTGCTTGTTTACTTCCCCCCCTTCAACATATGTTCTTACCTAGGACTAGTGCCTACATATTCCATCAGAGTGGCTTTGTTTGCATGAGTTACACTTTGTATGCTTTTTGTACAGCTTAGAATTCATCAAGTGAACTCCAACTAATTCTGCTGCTCTGTGTTCCTCATCTAGACTACTGGATGTTTTGTTTCAGTCTTCTACCTTACATTCATTAGTTTTCTGATTAGAAGATTGTATGTTATGTTTTTTTCCCTTGAACTAAAACATCACGAATACATACTTGTAAGAAGCAAGGTTAGTAACTGCTTGTAAAGATGGTGCTTTTTGTTTCTTTGTTTGTTTAATTTAGTTTTTCTAGCTATATATTTAAAAAATTTTGAAAATAGTTTGTTGACAGATGTAGGAAAAATAATAGGAAATTAAAAGCAAACACAATAGTATCCTTGTGGTTTTATGGTCTATTCCTTCTTTGATTGCATTTTAATATGCAGTAATTTGTATAATGTAAACATTTATTTCTAAAAGATACATGAATCGTTATCCAGTGTCCTGAGCTGTTGGTTTTATAGTTAACTTGACTATTTGGAAAGAGTAAACTTCACAAAATGTGGGAGATAAACACCTAATACAGTGTATTAGGCTCTACGTTAGGATGTCAGCAGAGAGGACTTTAAAAACTATATTATTTATAAACGATTTACTGTCATTCCTGTACACCAGGTGTGTACAGATCAAATCTTCTAGGAAGAGGGCTCTCACAAACTCACCAGTTACAGCCAAAAGTCGTCTAGGCAGGAGACAGGGTTTTAGCTAGATGATTTTAGAGGAAAAAAATCAGTTCTTTGAGACATTGAAGAATCCTAAAATGTTAAGAGTAGAGAATTCTGTACCTTAGCACTCAGTTTTTTAGTGGTGTGGCGTGACTTTTGTGCCCTGAGTGTGGAACCCTGATACGAGTTTCTTCATTATTTACTACCTGCCTCTTTTCCGTACTTCTTCCATTTCTTTTTATTTTTTCCTTTTTATTTATTGGGGTGACACTGGTTAATAAAACTATACAGGTTTCAGGCACAGTTCTACAACACATCTGTAGACTGTATTATGTGTTCACCATTCCAAGTCAGGTCTCCTATCACCATTTATCCCTGCAATGCCCTCCTCCTCCACCCCCGCCAAACTTCCTCCCCGCTCTCCCCTGTCCAGCAATCGCCACACTATTGTCCATTTCCCTGTGTTTTTTTTTCTTTTTTGCTCAGTCTCTCCACCTCCCAGTCTTCCATTCTCACCCCCCCGCCACCTCCACCAGAGCTGTCAGCCTACCCTGTCTATGAGGCTGTCTCTATTTTGCCTGTTCATTCTGTTTATTAGATTCCACATATGAGTGAAATCACATGGTACTTGTCTTTCTCTGACTGGCTTATTTCACTTAGCGAAATGCCCTCCAGGTCACTTCTGCCATTTCTTGTTTTCAACGTTAGGGTAGAACTCAAAGTTCAGGTGGCACAGATCAGAAAAGGTGACCTACTGGGGAAAAATAGAAGTTTTTATTCTCATATTATAGAATTTTCAAACACAGGATTGCATGAGAAATAAAGCATTTTAAACTTTGAGTTGTGAAAAGAAACCATTTGCCATTTTTGGGACCGCATACACCTTGGAGGTTAAAAGAATAAATTGTTTTTCCCTACAGATATTCATCAGAGTGTGATTGTATGATAAGACTCAATTTAGGTTGTGATGATTAGAAACGCCTCATGTTGGAATCTTCCACTTCAGCAGTGAGATCTCCACCTCATGCTTTACCCACCCAACAACAAGATACTGGGGCGGGGGTGGGGGTGTCTTTGTTTCTTTTTTGGTGTCATGAGTGGCTGGCTCAGTTATACTCCAGATCCTCCTTCATATGACTGTTTTTCTTCATCCAAAAAAAAGAATTTTGTGTATAGCCTCCTAAAACACTACTTTCAACTTGTATTTTGCATCCGATCATTACCTTAGATTGCCATTATTCTTAACTAATTACACCCATCAGAGTGAATTTTATTCATTGGCCTGAGTGGTACGGCATATCCTTTGAGATACAAGTTAAGCATTCTTCAGGCATGTACTGTGACACTGTTACCTTTCATTCTGTAGAGGCGCTTCTACAAACCAGCACTGGAGTTAAGAAATTTCTAATGTACTAAAAACTATTAATTTACTTAGAATTTAGGTGGGCATACTAGATAATAAGTGAAGTCCAACAAATGGTTTTATAAATAAACTTTGTCAAGCTTAATGCAGATGTTTTCAGAATATCATTTTTATTTGGTTTTTGTTTTGTCTTCATATTATACAAAGAACTGATGACATTTACTTGGCTTTTTAATTTGGCTTTTTTTTTTTTTTTGAATATGTAATACTTTTTCCTTGAGTAAAATGAAAGTAAATTTGAATCAACTGAAGGTTCTCTTCCAGGACCAGGAGATTCTTCCCTTATTCTATCATTCTGTTCATTTTCACCCCACATTCACCACGTGCTCATGAAAACTACTTAAGCAATAGGCTAGTAGAGAGGTCACAGGCTGTATAAAACTAGAATTTACTTAATCTACACTGATAGTTCATAGAGGATTCATTAAGGTTAAAATTCTTGTTAGAGTGATACAAAGACACCATGAATAAAAGAAGTAAGGCAGTCAACATGAGAAGCTATTTTTACTACTTACGTTGCAGATAATGAGTTAATACGTATAATATACTAAAATTTCTTATAGATGAGTAAGTTGAACACCCCAGTAAAAAATAGTAGCTTTTATACAATCTTACATGTATATGGATGTTTTCTTAGAGATAGAGTAAAAACTTATCAATGGTTATCCCTGAGAAATGATACAACAGGAGAATTTCATTTTGTACTTTGTACATTTTTATATTCAAATTATATAAGCATGTATTGCTTTTTTTAATGACAATAATTTAAAAATAATAAAAAGCAAATACCAAACTCTTGCTGGGGCTCTAATTTTATTAGGTAAGGTTGTTTTGGGGATAGTTCAGATCAGCAAGCCCAGATTGTGTTCACCTGCACAATTTTTGGCTACCCCCATGGGTGCTTCGCTAAAAACCTTTTGTCAGTCTGTGTGTACTGTGTTCAATATTTAAAACAAGTAAAAATAGTGTAGAGGAAAAAAAAAGAAAATCCTGACGTCTAGAAACTTACAATGAAATGATTAAGACAGGAGATGTGAAATATTGGCTGGCACACAAATGGTAAATTCCAAGTACCTGCTAATAATACCCATATTTGGAAACACTTTAAATGTACAAGAAAGTGTATCTCATATTGTGATGTTAATGCTGTAAGGTTAAATCCATTTCAGAAGTCTTACCAAACTGATGTGTTATTTTCTGTAGATTTCCAGCACCTATCTAGAGAGCAATTGGCCTATACGAGTGAGTATTGTTTTGTTGGTGTTAATTTTCATTGGATAGCATTTGCTGCAAGAGGCATTCTGGCAATTGAGCCTTTCAGTGGGTGCATTGATGAAAGTAAAAGTTTTAATACTGATTCCTTTGTGCATTGTTAGTGTACAACATCTTTAATTTAGCCAAATGTAAGTTGTGTATAAATATACAGATTTTTAAATTTAGCATTTTACATTTCATTTAATAATAGTCTATTTGCCTAGTGCAATATTAAGCTCTTTATATCTAATAAAGCATTTATGTTTGCAAGGAAGAGTTTTTAATTTTTTTTTAATCAGTTTTCAGCTATTGATAAGCTTGGACAGAATATTGCTGTGGTTGGCAAGTTTGGCTTTGCACATTACTCTTTACTCACCAAAAAATGGAAACTTTTTGGAAACATTACCCAGGTCAGTCTTTGAAATTAAAAACTGATTTCTTAAAGTTTAAGGGGAAAACAGGATGAAATAACTACAATGTAAATCACTGTTTACTTATTTAGAAATAAAGTCAAATATTTAAAAAATGATGCTGAGTATGTCTAAGTCCATTCTGATCAAGTACTTGATACTTGAAGAAGGATCTTGTATTGAGATAGTTGGTTTGTTTTTTAATTCTCATTAAGAACAAATATTACAATTCTTTAACTTGAGGATTTACCTCTTACAGTCCAGGTTGAGTTTATCAGATGTGACCAGAATAAATTACAACAAAATTTGAGATTCTCTGTCTTGTCTGCATGTGATATGAATATTTGGGTAGCGTACAAACAGGTGCAGTTGAATTTTGCATGAATCAAATAGAAAGAAATGAGAGGAAATTAACACTGAAAGGGCGCCTACTGTGTACCAGGCACTTGAAGATACTTTCATATATTAATGCATTGATCCTCTTAACAAACCGTTATGGCACTATTGTTAACCATTTTATAAAAGAAACTAGGATTCAGAGCCAAGCACCTGATAAATGGTAAACCAAGAATTTAAACCAAGATCCTTTAATTGAGAATAATGATGCTGCATGGTACCCAGTTATTTTGAATGATGTATTTTCTGACTTATAGAAATGCTTATTTTTTCAATAGAATGTGAATCATTACTAAAGGCCTAGAGTAATGCTTACTTGGGAGTATGAGATAGAGCAGAAATAACTTCAACTTTCGTTATCTATTTAGAATATTATTTTATTGTAATTTCTGGCAGCATAAATAAAGGTAATTTTTTTTTTTTTAATTTTCTTTTAAGGAGCAAAATATGATTGTGACAGGTGGCTTAGCCTGGTGGAATGACTTTATTGTCCTTGCATGTTATAACATAAGCGACCGTCAAGAAGAGGTAAGTTTTTTTCTTTCAAAAATAACATACTGTGATATTTTAAAGATATTAAGCACTATTTGATTTTATAGAAAAATGACATTGAAAACTTAATTTTTTTAATCAAGAACTAGAGATTTTTAGTTAAGGGGATTTTCATTTCAGATTACTACTTTAAAAATGTTTTAAAGGAATAATCAGGACTTCTGGATATATTTTTCTAATGACTTTTAGCTGTTAGACATTCTCTAAAGTTTGTAAATAGTTTCTAAAAAGTTGAAAGCAGAAAAGTTTTTAAGGGTGGCCGTCCTTAGAGATTTATTAATTTATTGATTTGTATGCTTATTTTTTGAGAAATTGCTGATCTCCTTAAATCAGGTCTAAATATTCAGATCTAAAAAGACTATTATACAGAATAGTACAGTCTCAGTTTTGATCACTTCATCTTTCAGTTTGTAGAATGAGCCTTTCTTGTCAAAATACAAATATCCATTTACCAGTAATGCTCAGATTAGTCTTTTAACTTCTCTTACTTGAAAAAACATCAGTAGATAAATAGCATGTCTAAACAGCATGGCTTTAGTCATTTCTGGTATGTGTCTTGTTTTTCCAATTTTATTTTTGTTTTCTGTAGCTGAGAGTTTACTTACGAACATCTAATCTGGACAATGCCTTTGCTCACGTCACCAAAGCACAAGCAGAGACATTGCTGCTTAGTGTCTTCCGGGACATGGTAATAGTGTTTAGAGCAGACTGTTCAATATGCCTTTACAGTATTGAAAGAAAATCTGATGGGTAAGTCCATAGCATATGATGTCACTTTCTGCTCCTGTGTTTCGTGTTTCCTCTGTAGTTTTCAGTTTTTAAAATAGTTACTCTAATTTTATGTTTAGTTTTTCTGTTTTAGGAGTTAAAAAGCAAGGAATTTAAATTAGTGATATTCATATGGTAGTTCTTCTTTAGCTACCAAAATAAGTAAATATATAAATAAGCCTGCACTTACTTCTTCAGGTAATCTTACTGGATTCATTTGAAAAAAATATATGTATATCTAATTCGGGATAGAGTGAACCATTTAGATTCTAATTTTTTCACAGCCTTTAAAACAAGTGGTTAGTAATTCCCCACGTGTTCCAGACACTTGGGAAATTTAAAGGATTTTCACAGTTTTAAGGCCTTAGGAAGCATGTCCCCAGAAGACTCATATTTTCCACTGAGCTAGATGGCCGTAGTCTGGAGCAGGAAAAACTGACAGTCCTATGTGTTGCCTGTATTCTTCTTGGCATCTGGTTGGCTTGCAGCATTTAAAACATGCCTTTTGAGTTTTACTTTGCTCTCAGGTGTTTTTTGTTTGTTTCATTTTTGAGCAGCCATGAAGTATGTATTTGGTGAAGTAGCATAGTGATTATGCAGTAAAGATAAAAATTAAGAAATCTTAGTAGCCTAGATAGACTCCATATCTTTTTCTCAACTAAATAAGCTATTTTTATAGCTTCTTCCCTAGCATTTTCTTCCCTTTCACATCTCTCTCTCTTTCTTCCTCATCTCCATGTGTTCTTTGGATGCCTCAACCTTGTCAGTCTGCTGTCTAAAGGACAGTTGGGGAAGAGGGAGCGACAGGACGACAGCATTGAGGCCTCCATAAGTGTGAAATGTAGTGGCAGTAGTAGCAGGGCATCGCGGGGAGCAGCCTCACTAACATTGTTGTTGAGGTGTGTAGGTTTTTTCTTCTTTGCCTGCCCTTATTTATTTATTTATTTTTTGCAGTCCAAATACTACTGCTGGTATTCAGGTCCTTCAGGAAGTCTCCATGTCACGTTACATTCCTCACCCTTTCCTGGTGGTATCTGTCACTCTGACGTCAGTGAGTACAGAGAATGGAATCACCCTGAAGATGCCACAGCAGGTACCATTCGTTAGGACTCTGGGGTTTTCATTTCAGTTTTTAGTTTTTTAAGTTGATATCATGAACCATTTATTTGTTCAGTAAGTAAATACTAAGTGCCTAGAATATGCCTTGTTTGTAGTTGCTGAGTAGCAGTGACAAACTAAATAAACATGTTTCTGCGCAAGAATAAAGAAATAATTACATACGTAATTATAATTGTGATGCGTGTACCAAAAAGTAGTACAGGTCACTCTACTAAGAGTGTATAACAAAAACCTGGAGTAGTCGAAGAAATCAGAGAAGATTCCTATACTGTTTAAATTGAAACCAGAAGAACAAGTCAACACTTGTTTACTTTTCTAAGAGTGGGGATTTCAGGCAGAAGGAACAGTAGTGTAAAGGTCGATAGGTCAGTAAGAGAGAATATGACATTCAGGGAACTGGAAGAATTTCAGAGTAACTGAAACATGGAATGTCAGTATATGAGTCCTATTGAAAATACAGACTTCAGACTTTATCTTAAAGTCGAAAATGTTTTAAGTTGGGCATTAATACATCTAAACTTTATAACATTTATTCTAACTATAACTGGATGTAAGGAGAGCAGCTAGGAGACCAGTGTAATGATCTAGGTGAACTGCGTTAGCGGCCCAATCTTGGGCAGTGATAAAAAGGATGGAGAGGAGTGGGATGAACATAGAGTTTAGAGGACTCCATTAGATAATCACGCAGAAAGAGAAAGGATAATGCCACAGTTGCTGGGTAAAGTATGTACTGGTGCTACCACGACCCAGGTTGCATACCTTTTACAACAAGGCTTCTTCTATTATACCAGTGATTTCCAAACTTCATGTCACTATGGAACCCATTTTCATAGGAAAATTCTATGTAGACTTGTCATCCCTGTCTGCTCTGTCTTTTGCTTCCTATTAAGTCACTTTCATTAAATGCCTTTAAAATGTAGGTCCCATCCTCTCTTCAAACTATATTTCATGGTAACCATATAGTTCTAGTTGATAGGGCAAGTTGTGATTTATGGAAGAATTCTAGGTAAAAAATGTGGAAGGATTGTAAGGGTTAAAGAATGACCTGAGGAAATAATTGATTCAGGCAGTGGTTATCATTAGGTGAAACAATCAGATGTAAGGTTGGTGGGAACTTGACAGTGAAAGGGTGAGGCGGTCCTACACAAGTGTTAGTAATAAATCTTATCATCACTGCAAGTGCGAGAACCAGATGCAGGATGCTTCCTGGGGTGATGCGACATGAAGGTCCACATACCTCTTAAATTTCCATTTTTCCTTTTCCTACCTACATCTTATTTGCTGTTTCTCATGTGTTATGGACAGATAGTCAAATATTTAATTTTCATGTCATGTGCTAAATGGGGAACTGATGATTTCAAGTAAAGTCCTTGGGCTAAAGTTGCTTGAAGATTTTGTGTTGTTTTCTTTTTAATTTCAACAGTTCATATGATTCTTATAACCTACCTGCACATGGCCTAAAGCAAAAAATGAATGACGAGTCCATGAATCTTCTGGACGCTTTTGCCATTTCTTTTATACACAATCCCATGTAATGTCTGGAAGGAATACAAAAGAGCAATTTGTATAACTGCGTATGTTGCAGGTAGACTACATAGGGTGCCTAAATGACATTGGCAGCTTGAACTCATCCTGGTAGCAAGTGTCAAAGCTGGAGCACCATCCCAAGTCTTCTGAATAGTCATCTTTTCCTTCCTAAAATTCTTTTCTTTGGTTTATGTGACATTGTGCTTCTCCTGTTTCTCTTCTTGCCTTCAAAAGCGTAGATGATAGCCCTCTGCTGTCTCATCCCTGTATACTTTGCCTCAAAAACTCACGTTTCTTTCAGCTTATCAACCTCACCTTTATGGTTATGACCTGGCATATTAGTATGTTGTTCAGTCATTCTCAACAATACTTTCACTTGAAAAATCTTAAGATTCTTTCAAATTTAATGGGCAACAAAATAAAACTCTTCAGTTTTCCTTTGCTAAATCAATTTCTCCTAACTTCCATCAGTGATAACCTCAACTTTTCTAGCACCCACCTAGATTCAATACCCGGAAATCATCTTTAATTCAGTTCTTTTTTTCTACCCTTTATGTGTAAGATATCAGTAAGCTTTTGTTTTTAAGTCAAATTGCTATTCTTCCAACTGAAGGTCTGTTACCATCCAGTATTTTTCTGATAATACCCCTAATCTTGACAGATTGTTCTCCCTTTTCCAAAAGAATTGTTCTGTCCTCTCCGTGTCATCTTCACTGTATTCTTGAATTAGAGCACCAAACCTTTTGTCTCCCCGTCCTCATCCTTCAAGCACCACCTCATCCTTAGCTATGCCACCTCGATCACTGAAGTGAACTGTCTTTTTCATGAACTTCCAAAGTTCTATTAGTTTCTCCAGGATAATTCAGTTCAGCCCTCAATTTTATTTTCATTTGTTCATTAATTGAATTGTGTTAAGCATTTCCTACCCTAGCCAGAAAGCTTCTTGTACATACACACAGAGCCTAACAGAATGGCTGAACATAGTGCATACTCAATATTGTTCATCATTTAACCTGTAAACCTTAGGAATTGAGGAGAAAATGTTGAAAATATACCTATAAGTTGGTATGCATTAAGTTTTGTTTTGTTTTTTTCAGGCTCGTGATGCAGAGAGCATTATGCTAAACCTTGCAGGACAGCTCATCATGATGCAGAGGGACAGATCGGGCCCTCAGATCCGGGAGAAGGACAGTAACCCTAACCAAAGGAAACTTGTGAGTCATGTGCAAGTCATTTAGAACATTAAGAATATATGGGCTTAGGATACAGAAATAAAAGAATTCAGGAGGAGAGTATTGTCCTGTGATTTGGAATCGGAGAAAGTACGTAAAATTAGTCTTAAGTCTCTGGGTGTTTGTGAAGGGTGAAGGATAAGGTCCCAAAATGATAAAATATTCTGTACTCCAGATGTTATTGCTTAGGTACTATTTCCAGATTCTAATAGGATAATAGTAAAAACAGGTGAAGTTCCTAGATATTTTTGTTGTTGTTTTTTGATTTAAGTAGACATACTTTGGAAGACCAGGCTACTATTATTAACTCTAATTCTAAATAAATTACTCTAATTTTCCCAAAAAGTTGAACTCTCAATTTGAAAGACTTGGGAAAGTAGTACCTAGGAACTTAACCTATAGATTTAACAGGAAAGAACTGATTTCTCTCTCTTTTTTCCAGCTGCCATTCTGTCCTCCTGTTGTACTAGCCCAGTCTGTTGAAAATGTGTGGACTACGTGTCGTGCAAATAAACAAAAGCGCCATCTTCTGGAGGCCCTCTGGCTGAGCTGTGGAGGTGCAGGCATGAAAGTCTGGCTCCCTCTCTTCCCTAGGGATCACCGCAAGCCCCATTCCTTCTTGTCCCAGCGGATCATGCTGCCTTTCCACATCAATATTTACCCCCTGGCTGTGCTGTTTGAAGATGCATTAGTCCTTGGTGCTGTCAATGACACTTTACTCTATGATTCTTTGTATACTCGGAACAGTGCTAGGGAACAGCTGGAGGTGCTCTTCCCTTTCTGTGTTGTGGAGAGAACCTCTCAGATCTACCTCCACCACATTCTGCGTCAGCTGCTGGTCAGGAATCTTGGGGAGCAAGCCTTGCTCTTAGCCCAGTCCTGTTCTGCATTACCTTACTTCCCTCACGTGCTGGAGCTCATGCTCCATGAAGTGCTGGAAGAAGAAGCTACCTCACGGGAACCCATTCCCGACCCTCTGCTTCCCACTGTGGCGAAATTTATCACCGAGTTCCCACTCTTCCTGCAGACAGTTGTTCATTGTGCCAGGAAGACTGAATATGCCCTGTGGAATTACCTTTTTGCAGCCGTTGGAAACCCCAAGGACTTGTTTGAGGAATGTTTGATGGCTCAGGATTTGGACACAGCTGCCTCTTACCTTATTATCTTACAGGTAACAGCTCTCTTCTTGTAAAGGTACAAGAATTAATGAGCTTAAATCTGGGAGGGGAAAGGAAGGCCCTGTTTTGGTACTTTGAGTGTGTTTAAGGAATTGATACAGTCCAGTTTTCTGTTCCGTCTATATCTTTCCTTTTGAAGAAAGCAGTCTTATCAAATGACAGAAAATTTCTTTGATTATCATAAATTGGCACTGCAGGGTTTTAAAAATCCTGTTTGTCAATAAATAGGCCTAAAACAGATTAATGAGTTTACAATTTTATTTTGAATAATATTATTGAATAAATGTAGTATTATGTATTACAGTACATAAAACATGTACATATTACACAAGAGTATTGAATGTTACATAAGAAACATAATAACCATTAATGGGTTTGAGTCTCCCCCACTCCCCACAGCATAATAATAGATGTTTCCCTATAGTGTGGAATTTTGCTGTCCCCTAGTGTTGCAGTTTCATTTCTTCCCTGGGTTTAGGGAACCATGGAGATAGAGCGGCTCATAGCTTCTCAGATTATTTGCAGTATAAAAGGATCCTTGTTTTCTGTGATTGTTTTTGTAGAATATGGAAGTCCCAGCAGTAAGTAGGCAACATGCCACCCTTCTGTTCAACACCGCCCTGGAGCAAGGCAAGTGGGACTTATGTCGACACATGATACGATTTCTTAAAGCTATCGGCTCTGGAGAATCTGAGACACCTCCATCCACGCCTACAGTTCAGGTTATTTGCAAAATTGCACAGCTTCTCTGGGCCATATACCCGTGTGGCATCTTTCTCTAACTGTACTGCACATTGTGTGTACTCTTAGGACCTACCCAGTTCAAGCGGTGGATTTGAGTTCTTCAGGAATCGAAGTATAAGTTTATCCCAGTCAGCTGAAAGTATACCTGCTAATAAATTCAGCTTACAGAAAACACTAAGTATGCCATCTGGTCCTTCTGGAAAAAGGTAAAAGAATAAAAAGCTGTTACTGCTTTTAGGGCATTCTGTGACACACATTACTTCGAGGCATTTGTACAGTCAGATCTCATGAAAACAACCACTTGATCCAATTGCACTTCCTTTTCCAATTTCCAAAAAGTTTAGAGACCACACAAAAGACTTCTATTTTTTCTGCCTCTAAAGTTCACTTCTTTATTCTTTGTTTAGTTTCTGCCCCTTGTAGAGTAGGTTTTGATACACCTGTTCTGAATGCAATTAACTTTAAATTACTTCTGATAATAGAATAAAAAGGAAGATAATAAAGCTGCAGAAAATCCAAAAGCCTTCTGTCAAAAGCTTTATTCTCCTTCCTAACTATACCTACCTCTTGACAGAAAGTAAAAATTTAATCCTTGTTTTAATCCTTGTGTACTTGACTCTCCTGTGACTCTTCTGATTGGAGAAGCCATTAAAACAGTCAGAGAGCAAAGAGGAAGTGTAGCTGGAGACTGAAACCTGCATCACCCATGGATGGGTCATTGCTCCCGAGAGGTTAACTGAATACACAGTGAACATTATAAAATGCAGTTTCCTCTGGTTTGTGAGGTCCTTGTATTCCTTCCTGTGTTGCATGTTCTTGGCTCTTGATTTTTCTCCTCCCTAATCCTTTTATATTGTTTGTATTGTCCGTACAGTGCCTGGCAGATAGTTGAAGCTTATTGAATATTTTTTATTGTGATGTTTAATTGCTCTTTTTTTATCACAGCCCTTAATATCACCCCCAGTCATGACATATACACAATCATGGGCTATATACAAGTAAAATGCAACCTGTAAACCATGATCAGGCAAACAGTAGCTTCTCAGCCATACCCTGAATTGAAATACAAGCCAATGCATTCTAAGTGTTCACTATGTGCTAGGTATGGTTCAAAGCATTTACATGCACAGGTCTTTTAATCCTTTCCACAACTGTAAAGGGTAGATACTGTTGCTACCCACATTGCTTAGGTGACAAAACAGAGGCCCAGAAAATAAACTTGGCTGTGTTCACACAACTAATAAGTGACAGAGCTAAGATCTGAATGCAGGCAGCCCTGCCCCAATTCTGCCTCTCACTGGAAGCCCCACATTACGGTTACCACACCAGGTCCACCACATCCATCAGCTCATGTGAGTGAGGGATGACAGATACTCAGTCAAGTTGCTGATTTCAATTTTTTTTTTTTTTGTCTGTATAACTCACACTGGAAGATTCCATTTCACTTTTCTTCTCCTTAGTTGCTTTGATCTGATTTCCACTCTCCTTTTCCTTGATCTTTTAAAATACAGCATTTGTTTGCTCCCTTGCTTTCCTTCAAGCAGTTACCACCCTTTTCCAGGTTTGGCTTTGTCTTCTGTTTTTTCCTATTCCACGTACTCATTCTACAAATATGTTTTGAGTGCCTGCTGTGTTCCAGGTATTGTTCAATGGGTTGTGGTATCACATGGAGAACACCTAAACCTTAATTTTCCTCCTTATCAGAATTAGACCTTGGATCTCTTACTTCCTTTTCAGCATTATCAGTGCTACTACAAAAAAGAAAGTGAAGCCTACCAGGAAAGATTTTTCTATAGTGTTATTGTGTTCACACTTACAGATGGAGTAAAGACAGCGACTGTGCAGAGAACATGTATATTGACATGATGCTCTGGAGACATGCTCGGCGTCTCTTAGAAGAAGTTCGGCTAAAGGACCTAGGTTGCTTTGCAGCTCAGCTGGGCTTTGAACTAATTAGCTGGCTCTGCAAGGAACGTGTCCGAGCTGCTCGGGTAGACAACTTCGTGATAGCCCTGAAGAGACTCCACAAAGATTTCCTGTGGCCCTTTCCCATCATCCCAGCCTCTTCTATCAGTTCTCCTTTCAAGAATGGAAAATTCCGAACAGGTAATACAGATTTTGTGTCACTTATAAGAGTTATATTTTACTTCCAAGTATTTAGAAGTTTTGCTATTAGTTCATATTCAAAAAAGTCTTTTCATTCCACACTCAGGAAAAGATAAAAGCCAAGTTTTTGTACACCAGTCGATCATCCACCATTTGATCAAGGATGTAAATAAAGTGAAACCTGTGTCTCAGAGACTCGTGACCTTGAAATCTAATTCATAAATCTAACCATTGTTATCTCAGATTACCAACAAGTTGAGAATTGACTGAATATAGAAGCTACCACACTTACTGTAGGAAGGAGTTTTGCAATTGATTAATCAAAAGAAACTGAATGTTATTTACCTGACAGGACTCATTCCAAAGAAATGGGAAAAAATGCATCTTTGAGAGCCCATCTTCTAAACTAGGAAAAGACAAAGTTAAACTACATTTTGAATAAAGAAAAAAGATAGTTTTTTAGTTCAGGTTTTTTTAAGGAAGACTGTTCTAATGATCTCTTAAGAAAATTCAACAAACAAAAGCCTTTTATTATGGCATTTGGAAACTTCATATCATCTCAGATCCAAGAAAAATTATTTGAAAGATGAACAGAATAAAATTTTGCCTAGTTCTAGTAAGATATGATGATATCAGATGACTATTAGATGGCATTATATAGTCAGTCCTTTCTGTTCCGGTACCACATCCCTGGTTTATGGGTGGATGATGCAGTGTAGTAGAGTAATTAGCTTTGAAATTCTAGTATTGGGAGAGTGGGGGGAAGAGTAGCTGGAAGACCAGAACTGGCAATGACTGTGCGCATCTTGAATTCCCCTTTTCCCCCTTTGTTTTGGACCTGCCTTGCAGTGGGAGAGCAGCTGTTAAAGTCTCAGTCAGCGGGCCCTTTTTCAAACCTTGAGATAGATGCTGGCATCTCTAATGTCCAACGAAGTCAGAGCTGGCTCAGCAACATTGGCCCTACCCATCAGGAGATAGACACAGCCTCATCCCATGGACCACAAATGCAAGACGCCTTTCTATCACCTTTATCTAACAAAGGTAAATGTCACTTTAAATCCTAGCTCTTCTTCACTTCCTTTGGAAGAAAGACTACGCGCACTTCGGAGAGTTTCACTCTTTTCTTTGAAGCTGTTTCTTTGAGGATTGCCCTTTAGTATTTGCTGGCAATGTGTGGACAGTCACTAGGACAAGGCCAAATTGGCCTTGACTATACTTCACCATATTTATTTTAGGCAAAATGAAACATAAAATCTTATTACAGATCAGCACTAATAGATGAACTTTTACAGTCAACTTTAATGATACAGACATACTAACTTTGAACCTCAGGTAAACAAAATTTTGTCTATTCTCATATAAAAAACTGCATTCTTCTCATAAGTATACTTGTATCATCACAAATTGTACTCAGTTATCTTTTTATTTCATTGATTTTAAAACGTGAACATTTTCTTTTTCTCTGCAACTTCCTATATAATATCCTTAATTTTGCCTCTTAGCCTTTAAAACCCAAAATACTTACTATCTGGTCATTTACCAAAAAATGTGTGCCAAACCTGTTCTTTTAGTAATGGGTAAGTTAAAAATGGAGGAATTTTTTAAGTGATTTAGACTGCTTAGGTCTATATAATTACAGGAGCCTTAAGTAGCAATTAATATATGATTTTCTGAAGTTTTCTGAATGGCCAAGTTTTATTCACCTGAAGTTTGATTTCCAGTCTTCATACTATTACCTGAGCTTCTGCTATGTATGTAGGCTTATAGATGCTGTTAATTTTTTTTGTGGTGGAATACACATAAAATTTATCACCTTAACCATTTTTATATGTACAGTTAGTAGTGTTTTCAATTCACATGGTTGTGCAACCAATCTCTAGAACTCTTTTTATCTTACAAAACTAAAACGCCCTACCCATTTAATAATAACTCTCCATTCCTGCCTCCCCCAACTACTGGCAAATAGCATTCTATTTTCTCTCTCTCTGAATTTCACTACTTTAGATACTTCATATAACTAGAATCTCAGTATTTGCCTTTTTGTAACAGGCTTATTTCACTCAGCCTAATGTTCTCAGAATTCTTCCCTGTTGTATCGTGCAGGAACATTTCTTCCTTTTTTAGGTAGAGTTCCATTGTATGTATATTCCACATTTTGTTTATCTAGCCATCTATTGATTTACACATGGGTTGCTTCCACCTTTTGGTTATTGTGAATAATGCTGCAATGAACATAGGAGTACACTCTTTGAGACCCTGCTTTCAATTCTTTGGGGTACATAAGCAGAAGTGGGATTGCCAGATCGTATGGTAATTCTTTTTAATTTTTTTTTTTTGAGGACTCATAGTATTTTCCATAGCAGCTGTACCATTTTACATGCCCACCAGTGTTGACAAGAGTTCCAGTTTCTCCATGTCCTTACCAACACTTACTTTTAAAAAAAAAAAAATTAGCCATCATAATGGACATGAGATGGTACCATTGCTTTTTTAAAAGGACTTTTTAAACATATTTCGGACATATTTCAAAAGTTTATATAATAGTGTAATGTATCCTTTGGCCCCCACACACTTCCATCACCCAGCTTCGTGACCAGATTTGTTTCATACACTTTTCCCACCTGTATTTTTGAACCAAATCCAAAATGATATATTTTATCTGCGAGTATTTCAGTATGTATCTCTAAAAGGACTCTTTTTAAAAATAGCCATACCATTATCTCTCTAAAAATTTAACAATTCCTTAATACCATAAAATAATTCAGTAAGTATTCAGATTTCCGATTGTTTCATAATTCATAATTGTCTTTCATGACTTGAATCAAGATCAAGGCTCATACATTGTGCTTGTTATGTTTTTAATTCTTTTAGTGATTGTTCCCCTCTCATTTTTTTCTCCTAATTTCTTCATTGAAGAAACTTGCCTCATGGATTTTCTCATAATGTGGATTTTGGTGATTGCATCTTCAGGTTTAGTTTAACAATTTCCTCTGTATTTCTTGTCAATTGTTCAGATTATCACTATTTTTTTAATAGGTAGTAGCATGTTTTTCCATCTAAAGGCACATAATGCTTATCTTTCTAATGACTTTTTAAAAAACATCTACTCTTAATATAGCATGGGAATTTTAGCAGTGGATGTAGTATTTTGGTTTCAAACTCTCCAAGAGTAATCAACATCTAAGAACTGCCAATATTTAAAATTAAAAAAAAAAAAATTTCTACATGAAGTTAGTTTATAACTTTTGGCACTTCTTCACCAGGTGATGAGTGCAGTATTGGTTCAGCCACCGACTTGACTGAAAGTAGCTCTATGGTGGATGGGGACTGGACAATGGTGGATGAAAATTTCTCCACACTCAGTTTAACGCAGTCAGAGCTAGAGCACATCTCCATGGAGTTGGCGAGTAAAGGGCCTCACAAATCTCAGGTCCAGCTTCGGTGAGTCTCAGAATTTTGAAAGCACAGAATGCCTACTTGGGGTATCTGGGCACATAAGGTACGGGGGCTACTGTCCTGATAATGATTGCCATTCTGAACATCTATAGATTCTGGGTAGCTCCATTATCTCCTTCTCAGTTATCTTGTTTCTTTGTAGGTATTTGCTACACATCTTCATGGAGGCAGGATGTCTGGACTGGTGCATTGTCATAGGCTTGATTCTTAGAGAATCCTCAGTAATAAACCAGATTTTGGTTATTATACAGACTACAGAGGTAGATGGAGAGATGTTACAGAACATAAAGACAGGGCTGCATGCGGTGGACCGATGGGCTTCTACAGACTGGTAAGTCCTGGTTTCCTCGGGCTTTCTTGGCTGTTCTTTCACATTAAGGCTTAGCTCTGGTTCATTTATATGGAGATTTTTATGTCGGTCAACATAAAAATGCTTTCATATATTCATTTTTAAGACCATTTTCTTTAGTTACTTTTCTGTACCAAACATTGAAATAGTGTCCAGTGAGATAGTGTTGGTCATTTTAAAGTGGGAGCGTGTGTCACTGACTTCTGTATAGATGATCTTAGAATTAAGACTGGAGCTTGGAATTTATAGTCCTGTGGAATTAAAGATAATAACCTAAAAATGTCTACTTGAAAAGATGAAAACTTAAAGTCCATGTAAATTTAACATCCCATGGCAATTAATAGAAAGCCCCAAGTTAAGAGTAGTAGGTGGTAATAAAACTTTTAATAGGATGATCTAGAATATTAAAAAAAGTAGTGGATAAAGTTAGAGCCTTGGGTTCTAGCCCTTTGTCACCAATTATGTGTGGATTTGGGGTCTTCCCTTACTTGGATCTAATTTTCCTTAATTGATAAATGCATTTATGTTCTCTGAAATTTTTTTCAAGTCTAAATTCCTGTCAGTCCTTACATTGTGGAATATGATTTTTAATTATAATACTACATAATTTGCTCCTAGTGCTCAGAAATTTAAGACTAACGCTAATGCTGTATGCAGCCCCCTCTATGCTGGCCAGGACACATAAGAAACCTTCCCTTCCTACCTCCTTGTGCTCTCGTCTCTCCCCATAATCTTTCACTGACTTTACTGTATCAGTGTTTAGTAGGAATTTATCCGTAACACTCTACGGAGCCTTTTGAAAACAGCAGATGAAAACTAATTTCCTTTTTCCTCTACTTAGTCCTGGATATAAGCCATTTTTGAACATCATTAAGCCACAACTGCAGAAGCTCAGTGAGATAACAGAAGAGCAGGTCCAACCTGAAGCCTTCCAGCCCGTAACTGTGGGTAAGACTCCTGAACAGACTAGCCCCCGGGCAGAGGAGAGCAGGGCCTGCTCAGGCCACGGAAGCCTCCCCCAGGGTGAGGTTGGAGGTAACAGCCTGGTCAGCCGGAAAGAGGAGGACACAACCCGAGCAGAGGAGGACGAACCTTTACAGGATGGGACTTACGACTGTTCTGTGTCCTAATGAGAGTGGGGTGCCGTCACCACGGGCAGTATTAATTACTTAGCAGCAGCATGTGTTCAACTGAGGACACTGTGACCTAGTTGATTTAACCAGGGAGAGCTCAGCTCAGAAATTCTGATAAGGTATTAAATTTTAACTAACTCTCCTCTAAGAAATCTGACTTCATAAAAATGTGGTATCAGGCTAACTCATCTTTCATAAAATTTTTTTAAGCTTCAATAGAAATAAAGAATACTGTACAGATGTACATGAGAATATTTTGGTTTTATTCTTAAAGGTTGGTAACTCTTAAACCATAGGGATTGTTTTGCCCAGATGAGCTTACTTTTTCACTAACATATAGCTTACCTGTTTTCTGGTTCAGCGTGTGTCTAGACTGCTTTTTAAAAATAAACGCTAAGGTGCTTGCTGTAGTTCATCAGGTACCTGAGCCACCTGTAATGCTCCCTTGGATCGAGAGCACTGGGTTCTAACTGGGCCTCCTGCCTTGGCATAGCACATGCCAGTGTGAGGGAGATGTGCCCCCGGCTGTTCCTGCCTGCTAAGCCCCAGTCCTGAACTGATGGGAGATGTCTTCCTGAGTTGGTGTGCGCACTTGATTCCTGCTAGGTCAGTGCAGGCGGAGGTCTGAGGGGTTCTTATTAATTATGCTCTTAGATACCACTAAACTGTTTTATATCAAAGAACTTTATCTTTTTTGTGAATACTCTCGTGTAAATATACTCAAAGACACTGTTCATATTTTAAGGCTTGTACTATAACTTAGAAGGTTTTATGCTGGATTCTGCATGCCTATATATACTCACTCTTGGAATAAAGACAGGGCTTGCTCTTCTTTCCAAATTCAAGCAGTCTTCATAGAGGAAGACAGGTGTATTGGCTTGGTCATAAAGTAACAGAAATGGTCACGCTGATCATGAAATGAAACAGGTTTTGTGCAAATTAATGTAGTTTCTTATTTATTTGCTTTTGTAAATTGAATAAAAATGGAGTTTTATGTAAATAGACTGCTGAATCCTGTATCATTACGGCTAACTAAAAATTAGTATGTATAGAATGCATTCTTCATTGTAATTTTTAAAATATTTTATGTATTTCTAGATGACTTAAATTTTAGTTTTCATACATTATGAAAACTGCATTCTCCTTCACATATCCACTGTATGTACTTCTAATTACCTTATAACAGTATTAATTTAGATAGCTTTGTTTGTACTGTGCAATTTGAACAAAGGAATGCAATGTTATTTTTTACAAAAACTTATTTTTATAATAACAATGTATTTGATGTGGACCAACTTCATACCACTATGTAAAACAGCCTCTCTTTTCATAGTGCAATTACAGTTTAGAACTAAAACTTGGTCCTCTATCCTTGTTTTTTAAAAGTGAATGGCTAGATTTAGTTGCCCTAGCCATGTTTCCTTTGACGGGAAACTGAAAACCATTTTGAAATTGCTTAGTTCAAAATTCATCAAACTGTTTTAAATTATTGGGTTTGGTAATTTACTATCATTTACTTTTTACATTACAAGTGCAATAATTTCACATACTGAATCTCCCCAGTGGGTGGAATATGTGATTATTGATACCTGGTCCTTCTGGTGCTACTTTTATTTAAACTTTTGTTTTTAAACCACCTTTCCCTGAATCTTAAGATAGAAAATGTTTCCCGTGTGAGTACATGCAGCTCAACAAGAAACTAAGCTGAAATTTCTTCTCCTGTCCTGGTCCACTAGGAGAAGAGCTAGCATTACTTTTGTGCTTGGTGTGAATATTCAGTCAATAAAAATGATTTACCATGGTAAACAGCTGTGATCTTTTCAAACATCCTAATGTGCTGTTGTGTTCATCTTGCATTCTTGAAAGCATGGATCACTAAGGCAGCTGTGTTTCTGTGGTTAATGCCATAAATGAAGTCTTCTAGAAGATACTTGGTTTTCAACTAGTAGGAGGAATGAGTGGGCCCCAAGGCAAAAAAAAAAAAAGGCAAGTTCACAGAAAATTTCTCTGATAATTTGTTATATACTTTAATTTTTATAGCTAAATCTGCTGTGTCTATTTTGCCTTGCTTGGTTCACATCTCAACTGTTTAAGCCATAATTTTAACCAATGAATTTAAAAATTCAGTATATTCAAAGTTTATATTTGCTAATACCAAAACAAGATCTTTTGGGGGTAGAGTCAGCCTCTGCTTGTAATTAAAGTTGCTGCTGCTTCTGTAATGTGTTTTTTTTTTTAACTTGGTAAAGGGCAATAAAACCATTACATTTATGGTTTTCACTTTGTATTCACCATCTCAGGTTAACAGCAAAAGTATATGTGTAATAAAAGCCACAAAAATATCCTTTTGGTTATAAAATTCCACCTCTTAGAATTTTTCTTATGAAATAACTTACAAATTCAGATTTAATATTTACTTATATACACAATTTAGACTAGGAGTATCAAGAGCTGGCAGCATCCTAGATGCCTACAGTCCATGTTGATGACATGGAGAATGTTTAAAATATAGTGAAAAAAAGATAAAAAATCATGCATACATATGACTTCCACCAAACAAAACTTTTTATGTAAAAATGTAGAGACCAGGCATCATCTCTAAGAGGTGGGATTAAAACTTATTTTGATTTTTTCATATATCTAAACCTGCTGTGTCTATGCACTTGCCTATTCTGGATATTTCATATAAGTGGAAACATGTAATATGTAGCTTTTTCTGTCTGGCTTCTTTCACTTAGCATGATGTTCAGCTCAGTATATCAGTAGTTCATTCCTTTTTAAGGCTGGATATACTGTACTTATTTATCCATTCTTTAAGGGATTGGATGGCTTCCACTTTTTGACTATTGTATGTACAAGTAGTTTTTGTGTGACATGATTTCAGTTCTGTCTTGGAGATGCTGAGTCATAAGATAATTTTTGTGAAACTGACTAACTGTATCCCATAGTGCCTGTGCCATTGTTTTTAAATTCCTACTTGTAGTGGAGGAGGGTTCCAGTTTCTACCATCAGCACTTTTAATTGTTGTATTTTTTTGTTATAGCCCTCTGCGTTAATGTATGAAATGGTATCTCATAGCTTTGCATTTTCCTTATGACTGTCTTCCCATGATTATTAGTCATTTTTATGTCTTTGGATAAAAATATTCACATCCTTTGCCCATTTCACAGTTGGGTCATTTATCTTTCTGTTAATGTGCAAGAGTTTTTATGTGTTTTGGATACTAGACCTCTATCAGATACAGGTTTCCTCCACTATCTGAAAGTAGAGCATGCCTATGAAACCTTTGTAAGCCAAAATGGCATAAAGTGAAGAATATCCTCTGCTTTCTGAAAGTTTGTGTTATGGCACTTGGCTTTTTTGAAAGACTTTTTGAAAACTGTTAGTACCAGTTTTCATAAAAGCAAAAAATAAAATCCTTAGGATTTCTTCTAGTTAGAAGTAACATTGCCAATGGACTAATGCCAAGGTTTTCTTCTAAGATTTTTATAGTTCTAAGTCCTACATTTTGGTCTTTGTTCTATTCTCAGTTATGTGTATATTCAGTGTCCTAGAACCATTTACTGAAGATTTTTTTCAGGACTAATTATACCACATTAATCTACATCTACTCTTAATGCCAGCACCACACTGTCTTGATTATTGTTACAACTTTATAGTAAGTTTTCAAAGTGTGAGTATTAAGTATCTCTCAAGATTGTTTTAGCTGTTCTGGGTCCCTTGAACTTCCATAGAAAATTCTGATACAAATTGTATTCAATCTGTAGATCAATTTGAAAGATATTGCTGTCTTAATATTAAGCCTGCTAATCTTGAACATGGTCTTTCTTTAAGCAACGTTTATAGTTTGCAGTATAAAAATTTTGTACTTTCATTAAGCTTATTTTTAAGTATTTTATTCTTGAATTGTTAATATATAGAAATAGTTCATTTCTGTATATTAATATTGGATCCTACAATGCTGCTGAATTTACTTATTAATTGGAATATTTTTGTGGATGCCTCTTGCCAAACCACCCCAGCTAGAATCTCCAGTACAATATTCAGTATAAGTGGAAGTACTGGATATCCTTGTCGTCTTTCTGATCTTAGAGGAAAAGCAGCATTCAGTCTTTCATCACAAATTATTTTTTTAACTGGTTACCTTCAACTGAGGGAGTTCTCACCTATTATTAGTTGTGCTGACAACACCTAAAACCTTTTCATAATTTAAAAAAAACTTTTTAGCATCTGTTGAGATGGATCATATGGTAGTTGTCCTTTATTTTATTAATGATATATTGCATTGATTTTTCAGGTGTTAAACCAACTTTGCATCCTTGAGATAAATCTCACTTGTTGTTAATAGGAGCAAACTTGGAGAAATTATCAACATATTTTTAGAAATCAATTGATGTATCAGAAATATGTATTGATGTATCTCAAAACTGGCTAGGATATTTTTAAAATAAAAACTGACATAAGGAGGCATTAAGTGCATTTTGGCTTTATTAGCCATAAATTTGGGAAAGTGTATTAGGAATGTCATTCAGCTGTTTCACCTTGTACTGAACTGTTTTCAAGGAAACTGACTCATGAATTTAAGTAATTTGCACACAGATGTGGGTACTGTGTGTTGGGGAGGAGTGGTGCCTCTCCTTGTGTAGAGATTGAAATGAGCTCTCTGGCTGAAAGAGTTTTTCTAAACTTCCCTCCTATATTACCCAACAAAAGAACATTTTTATTAGCCCTTCAGTGATTTTCTTCACCAATGGATATGATTTAAAACTTCTCAATATGCTGACGTTCAACACTTACCAAATAATGTCATTAATTTCTGTAAAATTCTGACGCACAACCTCATTCCACAGCAAAACGGATTCCAGTTGAAGTAAATATTTTTATGTTGATTCTTTGCTCACATGACACATATAGGTCTTTTAATATTTCAAGTCCACAGAGCCTTTTAAATTTATAACTTTAAAAACTTCAAATATGTGGATAAAGGAGAACACAATAAAGATCTGTTTTTCTGTTAAAGATACTAACTAGTAGATTAAAAAAGTTTATTTTGGTAACATTTTAAGGCAACAGTCCTCAAGTCAGCAAACCAGTGAAAAGAAATGGACATTCTTCCTGAGTAAGCAGGCGGTTTATGCCCCCCCCCCCCCCCCATCGGTGGTAACATTTTAGGAATCCTATCCTGCTTATTTACATCTGCTAAACTGTGGAAACACACACTTCATACAACAATCATTTTTTGGTCCAACCATGTAAATTTTAAGAACGAATTCCTTCAAAATCCCAATTCTTTACACTTTCCCTGTGCTACTTACATTTGTAGGAAATGATGTGTTTTAGAATTTGAAAAGACCCTTTTAGAAATGAGTTATTCAAATGACCCAGATACTCAAAAAAAAAGAAAACAAAAATTCTTTAATCTCAGAGGCTGCTGATCTGACAGTGGTATGCTTACCAACAGAGCTGTGAATACTGGAGTTACTTAATCATTTCTGCACTAAAACAATCTTCCAGAATATTAAGCATGCCCAGAGACCAGTGAGCATCTTTTTAAGACCTTGCATGGTATGTAAGTTTTATAATGCTAAAGAAAACAAAAGAGAATCATTTACATGTGAGGATGTAATTCAAAGGCAAAATGAAAACCATGATTATTCCTGAAAATATCACAAGGAACCATTTGTAATTCATACAGTGTCCTTCTACAAAACTTGGAGGGCTATGAGTAATTTCTGGTGATCAATTTCAGTTTGCTCACAGAGGCAAATATATGCTTGTACAGTCATCCCTTAGGATCTACAGGGCGGGGAGTTACAGCATCTGTGTGGATACCAAAATCCATGAATGCTTGAGTTCCTTATATAAAATAGCATAGTATTTGCATATAGCTTACATACATCCTCCTCTAAATCATTTCTACTTTACTTATAATACAATGTAAATACCATGTGTAGTTACACTATATTTTTTAGGGAAGAACTAGGGGAAAAGCCTACATGTTCAATACAGATGGAACCATGGTAGGCCTAACTAAGTAGTACACGTCAGCAACAGCATAACTTTTTTCCCTGAATATTCTCCGTCTGTGTATGTGGAACCTACAAATATGGAGGACTGACTGTACTTTGAAATTCATTGAGATACTACTTTTTCTAACTTTTCCTCCACAACTGATTCTATACAAGCTGCACTATAAACATTTCCATCTTTATTACCACCTGACATTAATGTGGCAGGAGCCAGGCACTTGAAGCTAATAATGTATGGTTTTACAAAGTCAAAAATAAATAAAAGCAACAGCTCAAGCGTCCATGCACGTCATAGCCAGCACGTTACCCTTCAGCTCGGCTGCAGCCCTCATGTGTAGGCCCAGGCAGGTTGAACAGAGTCATGAATTAGGCAATATGATTAAGAAATCACCTTGTGTGTATCACATGAGCAGCTTCAAGAATTTCCTCCCGTGATGTACACTTAACTATACTCTCTGTTCAAATGGATCCAAATGTGAATTTTCAAATTTTTTACTACAGCTTTTCTTTAAAATGTTGGGGGGGGGGGGTATGCTTGCAAAACTCAGAATTTGTCCAACTCAGAATTAGTGCAACTTTTTACGTTTCTTAACAGAAAAAAATGAAGCAAGCAACATTTACCACCGAACTCCCCAAGCCCTTCCACTGCTGGAGCCAAGAATCCATCAGGCCTCACAAGCTACACAGCCATCTTCTTCAAAATCAAAAGCACCTATAAGGCCTAGGACTGCCATTATGCAGGATCTGAACCCCAATAACTATAGGTAGCGGGGTCTTGTTCCAGTACAAGCCACAAGCTCAACTTTCGAAACAGCCAGCTATGCTGGACAGCAAGTTACTGAGAAACCAATCTGTTCAGCTGGCTGGAAACAGGCAAAAACAAGGGCCCAGTGCATCAATAAAAGTATGCTTTTAAGGATTAACCTTGGATAACGGAAAACTCCCTACAAAACAAAGAGAACAATATTTATAAAATGCTTAGCCACCATGGCAACTCAGTGCTCGGAAGAAGGAAGTTAAGGTCATGTACTGACACAACACTGAACCAAAAGAACCAGTGAAAACCCAGAGGGTATATATAGCTGGACAAATGCTCATCTTTCTTAAATTGGTCAGGTGGAGCAGGGGTACATGTTTCAGAGGGATAGAGGCATTGAAACAACTTCATAATGATGGACCTCAGTGACCACTTGTCAGAAGGGCTAGGTGCACTAACTCAGCACAGGTTTCCACATCAGGGGTCTTGGGCTTCACCACAGAGACATTAAGCACACTCAGCTCTCAGCCCAGACTGGGACCTCAAAAGCCCAATGGTTCTTCCCACTCCATTTGGAACTAGCTTTCTAACGACCTACAGTTAAATCTCAAGGGGAATCATTACTACAGCGATTGATAATTTACCCACCACTGACACAACAAATGGTCTTGGGCTTTAATTGGAAATGTCATTTGTCTCATTAACAATGGGCCTGTAGTACTTTCAATGTCTTTTATGATCCTAAGGGAACAAATGCTCTAGTGGTTTGTTGGCTTTTGTCCTTAAGGTCATATAAAATGACACGGTGGTGTAGTGGCAATACCCACATGTGCTTAAGTGCCAGAAAACTGGCATTTTCAAGTGTCAAAAAGGTCATGTATCACTACCCCACGGCATAATCATTATAGTGCTTAACCCTGAAGAGTGTTAGTCCACAAAGCTCTTTGAACATATGCTCATTAAAATTCATTGACTTACATTACAAATATTCACATAGCATAAGGAGAAAACATGTCATATGAAGTATCCCCCTGGACACTTACTTTGAACTCCTTCACAAGGTTAAAACACATAGAGACTGTAGGTGCACACCCAGGCAGAGGGAAATGTCCAATCTGGGAACTTCTCTTTCAGAGCGTCCAGCTGGGAGGATCTCTTGTTTTCCCCAGAAAGATAGTGGGCAGCAATGGCCACAGTGACTATTCCCTCCGGCTGTTCTTCCAAGACCTGGCAGAGAAAATAGTTAAGTTTTCTAGCTCTTTGAAGGCAGAATACTGATCCTAAGTATTTGATACTTGCCAAATACCACCTGGGAACCTGACCAATGGTAACAGCAATGCTGGGAAATTCCCACCTGTACTTCTATCCAGAACTGCCATGCAGAGGCTTGAAGTCCATGGGAGTAAAACACAAAGTAGTCCCCTCCTTTACTTGTGACTGGAGTGCCACTGCCAAGAGACCACTGGGAAAGTGTTGACCCTTTGTGAGTTCGAACATAGAATGACATATGGCTTGGTCCTGTAACATAAATGGAAGATCAGTTACAACTATATTTTTAAAAGCATCGACAAGAAAAGCAATTAAGTTATCACCCAAACCAGACTATAGATTTCATGCCTTTTATCACTTTAAAGACACTCACTGCAAACCTAATGGAGGTTGGCCAGTTTGGACTTTTAGTGCATATCAACAAGGGTGAGTGAGGAGGTGCAGCACGAAAGCCACAGGCTTCACCGGGAGGAACCCCGGGTTGAGGTCTTGGCCCCATCACAAGAGCACTGAAGGGAGCCTTTCTTCAGACAGCTACAGAATAAGCTTCATCTAACCAAAGATAACTGCAAAAACTATAGCAAAAGATACTGGGAATTTTAATATATCCAAATATATTACTAAGACAAATATTGAAGTATGAGAGGGAAGACTAATGTACAAATGCTGCACATAACAAGAGGGAAAGAGGAAAGTGGAGTAAACACACTGTTGTATAGGCTGAGAGAGAATGCCATTAAAACCTAACACACAGGGAAAAGTTAAATAGCAGGTGATCAAAACAAAAATAAAACAAGTGCCAGAAAATATTTCTTGAAGGTCAAAAAAGATACCACAGAAAAAGGACTACAACAAATAAAGCAAGCATTAGTCACAAAAATAAATGTGAATGGGCCTGACTCAGTCACTAAAAGAAAAATGTTTTCCACTTGGCTTACAAAGCTGACCTAATATTCAAGGAACATACTTAAAGAGATTCAGAAAAGGTAAAAATAAAGGTGTGAACAGAAATAATTCAGTCAAGTGGACACAATTTAAAAAAACCTCTGATGTCAGAAGAAAATTCAAGACAAAAAGCACTAAAAGCTGTAATTCACATAAAAATTGTTAATTCTGTACACCAAATTAGCAACTACTTTATGAAGCAAAACTATAGGAGATGCAAGGTATATACATAGAAATATAAGAGACTGTAATATTCCATCACTAGAAAACATCAATTGAACAAAAAACTGACATAAAAGACCTGAACAAAATGATCAGTTTAGTAGACTATGTAATATATGTATCAAACTTTACATGATAATACAGGATATATCATCTCAAGTAGGCATAAAACATTCATAAAAATCTTAGGTCACAAAAAAATATCAAAGTTCTATAAAATTGAGATTATAAATAACAGATCAAAATTCAATAAAACTTGAAATAATCAACAAAACAGCTTTCTACCTGGAAATCAATTAGAAGGTCTATTTAAGGCTCATGGGTAAAAGAGGAAATAGAAACAAAAATTACAGAAATGTTTTTAAATAAAAGAAATACTACACATACCAGAAACTATTGGATACAGGTAAAAACAGTGATGAGGAAAATCCACAGCGATAAGCCTTTTTTTTTTCAGTAAAAAAAGAATAAAATGACAAAAAAGGACAACAAAGTAAACAAAAAGAAAGCACAAGTTAGGAAATACTATCAGAAACCAATGAAATGGAGAATAGAACACAACGCCTTCCTTAAACAATCAAAAGTTATTTTTAATTAAGATGGGCAGGCTGGGCAAAGAGGGAAACATTGGGACAACTGCAGCATAATACCAATAAAAAAGTTAAGACAACCGCTAGCTAACTTGATTAGTAAAGAGGTGGCAGGGGAAGGCGTAACAAACCAAGTATGCAAAAAGAGAAATAAGAATAGTAATTTAAACAGAAGTTTGTAAATCACACGTGACTACTTTGCAGACCTCTACATTAGTAACTTCGAAAACCCAGATGAAATGGATACTTTTCTAGGAAAACACAGCTGACCTACACTTAAAGCTTAGAATGCTTAAGCAGACCAGTTACCTTAGAAGAAGTTGTTAAGCTACTGCACAAAAAAGCACCAGGCCTACGTGGTTTCAGAGAGAAATTCAAGCCAACTTTTCAACCAAATAGTTACAATGCTCCATAAACTGCTCCAAAGCAGTGAAAATTAAGGAAAACTTACCGACTGGTTTCATGATGTACACTTACAATGTTTTTACATTTATAATGCGTAACACTGATACCTAAATCTGACAGGTACAAAACACACACATGAACCAGTATCATTCATGAGTACTGACGCATAATTTCTAAAAATATCAGCAAACATCCAACATCACAGTAAGAAAAAATTAGGCCATGACCTGATGGGTTATGCCATATTAAAATATCCAAGGAAGAAAACACCTATGATTATAGGTGACTTAAAAAAAGCCTTTCACGAAATTAAAAACCATTCTTTATAAAAACACTAGAAATGACAACTAATGAATGCTTGCTTAACATGATAAATAATCACCCTTAGTCCTGAGGCTATCGTACATAATGGGAAAACACTAGAGACTTTTGTACTGATACCAAGAAGGCAAGAATGCTACTATTTCAACAACTGTACACTATGCTAAAAGTATTAGCCATTTATACAAATCAGAGTCATAAGAACTAGTAAAGAAGAAGAAAAACTACATTTGCAGTTGATGTGCAATAGTCAACAAGTTATACGTGAGTTCTGCTTGTGTATAGCTGTCAGGCTCAGAATGGTTTATATGTTTTTAAAGAGTGATTAACAAAAAAATAACCTGCAGAGACATACAGCAAAGCCTGAAATATTTACTATCTGGCCTTTTAAAGTTTGGCAATTCCTGGTATATCTGGAGAACGCTAGGGTATCATGATTAACTTAAAAAATAAAAGATTCAGCCCTGGCTGGTGTGGTTCAGTGGATTAAGTGCCAACCTGTGAACCAAAAGGTCACTGGTTCAACTCCCAGTCAGGGCACATGCCTGGGTTGGAGGCCAAGTCCCTAGTTGGGGGCATGCAAGAGGCAACTGATCAATGTACTCACATTGATGTTTTTCTCTCCCTCTCTCCTTCCCTTCTCCTCTCTCTAAAAGTGAATAAGTAAAATCAATCAATCAGCCTGCCCTGGCCAGGTAAGTCACTTGGTTAGAGTGTAGTCCCAATATGCTGAAGTTGCAGGTCCAATTCCCAGCCAGGGCATACATGGGAATCAACCAATGAATGCATAAAGAGGTGGAACAACAAGTTGATGTTTCTCTCTCTCAAATAAATAATTTAAACAATAATAAAAATAAACAATTCAGTAAGGTAACAAAATATAAAACTGACATACAAAGGTCATTTTATTAACGTAACAAAGTATTAATATAACAAGTTAAAAGACACACTGGTAGAGGAAACGCCAATTATAATAGCAACAAAACCTAGATGAGAAAAATTTTAAAACAGTCTTGATAGACACAAAAGTAGTAAGTAAATAAATAAAAAGACAGTCCAAAGTAATAAGTACATAAATAAAAAGACAGTCCAAGTTCATGGATAGGGAGACTCAACATTATAATGTCGGCTCTCCTTAATTTATAAGTGTATCGTATCCCCCAAATACCAATTAGCAGTAGGTTTAATATTAGACTTAATACTAAAGTTCATATGGAAAAACAAACATGTAAAATTAGCAAGGAAAACACTGAAAAACAAAAACTACAAAAGATCTTAACTGACCCAATTACTAATCTATAAAGCTTCTATAAAGTGTGGTAACTGGTGCAAAAACATACACATATAGAGTCAATTTTATTTTTCTGATTTTTTGACATCTGTAATCACAAAACACAGGGCAGAGGGTGTGCACCTTGCCTGCCAGGAACCTGTATTTTACTGCAATTCTCCAAACTGCATAAAGGATAGAGAAAGGTTTGGATTTGTGTGTGTGCATGTGTGCTTCCTCTTCACAGGCTGATGATTAAATGAAATTAGAAGTACTTATCGCATGAACAAGAAAACCAGTAAGAGCAAGATAAATTCATTTCTAATTACATTTTAAAACCCTAGTGAACAAAAGTATTCACCTGCAGAAGTGTCAGTGAAGGCATTTAATTCCCATAAGTACTTCATTCCATTGGTTAACTACTAAAAACCCTGACCTCTACCCTCATACACAAAAATTAATTCAAGATGGATCATAGGCCTAAACATAAAAACTAAAGCTATAAAGTTTCTAAAATAAAACACTCTATCTGTGTGACCTCTAGATAGGCAAGATTTTTTGGCAAGGACATAGCACTAATTCTGAAAGAAAAACCTGATAAACTGGACTTCAAAAAAAAACGTAAAACTGCACATCAGCTGTGCTCTCCTTGGGGGCACGCTCATTCAAATCTCCTTTTCAATTAATTTTTTTCCTCCCAAATTCTAAGGATCTCCACAGGACTTGCAGCCAGGGGAGCAATGGCCAGCAGCAGCTTTTCCTGAGCTAACCCCCTCATTCTGTCTCCAAGGCCCCCTTTTCTCTGATTGTCCGGTGAGCCAATGGCCGCCTCGCCCAGGGTCTCCTGTTGCTGCTTCAATCCTAAGCCCTTGTTTCATTTTCCCAGGCTTTGGGGATGTTTCTGTGACCACAAATACGCCATAGGAACTTAACTTTTGTTTATATCAATTAGCCTATGGTACAACTGCTTTTGTTATAAGTCATTTAACTTAAAGTCAGTTTCCAAGAACCAACCTACAACATTAAGTGAGGACATACTGTATTAAAATTACAGCACAAATCAATGACATTAAAACAGGGTATCAACAGAGAAAAATCAATGAAATAAAACACTGTTCTTTTGGAAAGATCAATAAAATTGATAAGTCTCTAGCCAGGCTAAGAAAAAAGAGAAGACATAAATTACTAATCTCAGGAATGAAAAAAGAGGTAATCACTACAGAACCCATGGACAGTAAACGAATAATAAAAGAATATTATGAACTAACTCTGCCCACAAACTTGGTAACCCAGATGAAACAGGTCAATTCCTTCAAAGACAACCTGCCAAAAGCCACACAAGAAGAAATATTCCAAATAGTCCTATATTTATAAAAGAAACTGAATCAGCCCCAGCTGGTGTTGCTCTATGGATTGAGTGCTGGCCTACAAGCCAAAGGGTCACCACTTCAATTCCCAGTCAAGCACATGCCTGGATTGCAGGCCAGGTCCCCCATTAGGGGGCGCACAAGAGGCAACCACACATTGATGTTTCTCTCCCTCCCCCCTCGCCAAAAGTAAATTAAAAAAATATTTTTAAAAAATTTGAGCCAATAATTAATGACTTTGCAAAACAGAAAAAACAAAACAAACCAAATCAGCTTCTGGTAGGCTCGCTGGTGAATTCTACCAAACATTTAAAGAAGAAATTATACCAATTCTCTGCAATATCTTCAGAAGATAGGAGCAGAGAGAATACTTCTATCTAATTCTATGAGGCCAGCATTACCCTAATACCAAACACACAAAAATGTTACAACTTATAAACCAGTCTCTCTCATGAATATAGATGCAAAAATTCTCAATATGAGCAAATCACATTCAACAACGCATAAAAAATTATAAACTATAACCAAGTGGGATGTATTCATTATGCAAAATTAGTAAGTTCAACATGTGAAAATTAATGTAATCCATCACATCAACAGACTAAAGAAGAAAAATTACATGATTATATTAACAGAAAAGCATTTGACAAAATCCAACATCCATTTACAATAAACACTCTCAGCAAACTAAAAAGAGATGGGGACTTTCTCGCCCTGATAAGAACATCTACAGAAAATCTACGGTTAATCTCATACTCAGTAAGAAACTAGAAGCTTTCTCATTAAATCAGAAACAAGGCAAAGATGTCCCTTCTTACTACTCCTTTTTGAAATCATACTGGGAGTCCTGGTTAATGCAGTAAGGCGAGAAAATGATATAAAGTGTATAAAGACTGGGAAGGAAAAAATAAAACTTTGTTTGCAGATGACTTGATCATGTATGTGTAGGAAATTCAAAAGAATCAACAAAAAACTTGAGCTAATAAACAATTACAGCATGATTGTAAGGTATAAGGGTAATATACAAAAGTCGGTTTCTTTCCTAAATACCATCAGTGAACAACACTATTCACAGTAGTACCCCCCAAAATGAAATACTTAGGTATAAATCTATTTGAGGAAAACTACAAAACTCTGGTAAAAGGAATCAAACAAGATATAAATAGACATCCTATGTCATGGAGAGGAAGAGTCCAATTGTAAAGATGTCATTTTCCCCAACAGTCTATAGAGTCAATCCAACTCCAATCAAAACTCCAGAAAGTTATTTCATCGATATCAACACACTGGAATGTGGAGAGACAAAAGATAAACAATATACTGAAGAAAAATAAAGTTATTGGGGACTGATTCTGCCCAACCCCTACAGCTATAGTAATCAAGGCAATGCAGTAATGGCAAAAGAATAGAGAAATAGAAAAGTAGAACAGAATAAAGAGCCCAGATATGGAACCGCACAAATATAATCAGCAGAGGCTTCACAAAGAAACAGGTAATTCAATGGTAACACGATAGTCTACAACAAACAGTACTAGAACTTGAAATCCACATGCAAAAGAAATGAATCTAGACACAGACCTCATATCTTTCACAAAAATTAACTCAAAATGTAGGCCTAAATGTAAAACACAAAACTAAAAAACTTCTAGAAGATAACACTGGAGAAAATTTAGAGACATTGGATTTGGCAGTGATTTTTAGATACAATACCAAAAGCATGATCCATGAAAGAAAAACTGATTTAAGTTGGACTTCACTAAATTTAAAAGTTATGTTCTGTGAAAAACATTATTAAAAGAATAAAAGGCAGGCAAGCCAGACTAGGAGAAAATACTTGTAAAGCACTTATCTATCTGATAAAGGATTTATATCCATATATACAAAGAATTCTTAAATTTCAACAATAAGAAAACAAACAACCCAATTAATAAACAGACAAAAGATCAGGACACCTCACCAAAGAAGATATACAGAAGAGCATATGTAAAGATGTTAACTATCATGTATCATTAGGGAACTGCAGATTAAAACAATGAGCTAGCACTGCCTGTCTCCCAGAACAGCTAAAATCTGAAACACTAAAAGCACCAAAAGCTGTTGAGGATGCAGAGCAACAGGAACTCTCATTCATTGCTGGTAAGAAAGGAAAATGGTACAGCCACTCTGGACACAGTTTGGCAGTTTCTTACAAAGGTAAATAGAGGCTTACCATACCATCCAGCAATTGCACTCCTAGGTAGTTATCCAAGTAAGTTGAAAAACCTACATCTACACAAAAACCTGCACACAAATATTTATAGGGGCTTACTTCATAATTGTCAAAAACTGGAAGCGACCATGTTCTTCAGCAGGTGAATGGATACACTGTGGTACATTCATAATGTTATTTGGCAATTAAAAAAAAAAGCTATCAAGCCTCTAAAAGACATGAAGGTACCTTAAATGCATATTGCTAAATGAAAGAAGCCAATCTAAAAAGGCTACACTCCTGTACGAGTCAAGCTATATGATATTCTGAAAATGGCAAAACAATAAAGACATTAAAAAGATCAGTGATTGCCAGGGGGAGTGGGAAGGAGAGAGGGATGAATAAGTGGAGCACAGGTGGGTTTTAGGGCAGTGAATCTACTCTGTATGACACTGTAACGGTGGATACATTTGTCAAAACTCACAGAACTATACAACACAAAGAGTAAAACTGAACCTTAAAGTAAACTGAGGACATTAGTTAACAATCATGTGTCAATACTGGCTCATCATTTACAAGAAATGTATCACACTAATACAAGATGTTAATAATAGGGAAAGCTGAGAGGGTGGGAGAGGGGGGAACTCCACTTCATGCTCAATTTTTCTGTAAACTTAAAACTTCTCTCTATATAAAGTCTGTTAAATTTGCTTTAAAAAATCCTAATCAGCTGTACTTGCTTCTAGAAACACTAAGCTGCTGGTCACTGTTATAAATTTGAGGGAAGAGGTACATGCTTATTAAAAATTTTAAGAACTGAAGACAAAAAGAGAAAACTCCTATGACTCACCTGAGGCTTCAAAGGTCAGCCGTATAGAATCCCAGTGTGTCTGTTCTTTGGATACAAGTTTGAAATGAACAGGTTCTCTTGGAGAAACTTCTGAGGCAGGAAGGTACCAATTTTTCCTATTTGAAAAGGAATTCAATATATCAATAATATTTAGGATGGTTGTGTTCAGAATATATGAAACACATATTGGGGCATGAAAATAAACTGATCGATATTATTGCTAATTCCTCTGAAGCCCAGATTATTGCAGAATAAAACCTTCCCAAAGAATAAAGGACCCAAGGTGATTTTGATTCCACTACCCAAACTATTTTTTCTCATCTAATCTTCACTGACAAACAATAAAAACTTCCCAGAAATGAAACAATTTGAACTTGATGCTTAATTGCTGTTAGATTAGTTCAGAGGGCTACCCTTTCTAACTACTGAGATTTCTAAAGGAAAAACTTTGTAAATTTGAATAAAGCAAAACTATACTTCCAAGTGGCTCATCCCACTAAAGAAACAGAACTTTTGCAGTGATAGAAAAAAAAGAATATAAATGGCACTTGATTTCTCTGTTAACCAGTTTAAATAATGAAGTGCTGCTACAGTGACAGGACCTGAGAACAAACTAAATCCCTACTAAAGCAGAAAAGTAGTGAACCAACCTGATCAGAAAGTGCACTGGAAGATACCACGGAAAACCACAGAGGGGTGCGTTCTCCTCACAGTGAGCTCGGATGGTGTCATTGATCTCCGGAATGTGAGGTGTTATATGAGACATTCCAGTGTAATCAAACCCATTGATCCATATTCCAGAGTCCCGTTTAACCACTTTTCCATCCAAGTCATGAAATGTTCTTGTCATATGCTAAAAAGAGCAAGACTAATGAGAAAACTACTGTTTCAACCCTCTCACCCACATCCTCACCCCAGACTAACAAAAATGAGTAAGCCTGACCAGACCAAGAAATGAGGTGGCTGTGGAGCAACAGGGACCCTCATATACTGCTGGTGGGAGTGCATGCTGGCACAATTACTTTAGGAAACTGTGTAGCATTACCTAATAAAGTTAACATGCACATACCCTTCAAGCCAGCAATCCCACTCCGGAATATGTACCTTAGAAAAACTTTTGCTAAGTACAAGAGTGTTGACTCAATAGCATTACCCATCTTAGCAAGAACTGCAAACAACCCAAATGTCTCCTAACAGGAGAGTGGGCAGACAAACTGGAGCACCATCCTACAACAAAAGTCTATTCAGCAACGAAAAATAATGTACTACAGCAACAGAAATCAACGTGGAAGATTCTCACATGCTCTTGAGCAAAAGAATATTTAGAGTATGGCTTTACCTATAAGAAGTTCAAAAACAGGCAAACTATACATTGTTTTTTAGGGATTCATACATATATGGTAAAATAAAAGTAAGGTAATGATTAACTCCAAACTTCAAGATAGTGGGTGATTACTTCTTTGGGGGATGAGGAGAGGTAGAGGGACAGAAAGAGTTGGATCAAGAAGGAACACTTGAGTTTTCTTAGATACTGCTAATGTTCTTTCTTTTAAACTCAATGATGGACTGTTTTATTAGTTTGTTTTATTATTTTTTACAAATATATTTTATTGTTTTATTTTTACAAATATATATTTAAATTTCATATAAAAATTTTGAACACCATGAACACTAAACTCCTTTTAGATGAGAACTTAAAACAAGTAGTATATACATGTACAACAAACTTCCGTTTCAGTGTTACAGATGCAGAGAAAAACAGGAATCACAGCTTACTGCTAGATGACAGACTTGTGCCTAACAGATGAAAAGGTACCATGTTCCATCTGGAATAGCTTTATTAACAACAGAAAGCAGTCTGAAGAATATCAAAGAGGAAAAGAAAAAGGACTGCAGAGGGCAGGGGTTGGTAAACTATAGCTGACAGGCCAAATGGCCCACTACCAGTTGTATAAATAAAGCTTTATTGGAACACGGCCATATTCATTTGCTTAGGCATTGTCTATGGCTGCTTTCATTCTGTAAAAACAGCAGCTGTGACAGAGAACACATGGCTGGAAGATCTTAAAATATTTATTATCTGGCCCTATACAGGAAAAGTTCACCAACTTCTGGCATTGAGGAAGAAGCAAACCCCACAACCAACCAAAATAGAGGTTTTAAAAAATAAAACTATGGCTTTTCCTAAATATTACTGATGGAATCAACTATAAAAATTAGCAAGACACTGTTTTACACCTAAAACTAATAAAATATTGTATGTTAACTATAATTTAAAGTTTTTTTAAATTAACGATCATGGCAAACATTAAATCTCCTAAAAACTAGCTGTCCTTTGCCAAAGGTTTTGCAAATTGTAAAATGTCACATAAATTCTATCACTATGCGCCGTGGCCAGGTTGCTCAGTTGGTTGGGGCATCATCCTATACACCAAAAGGTTGCGGGGTTTTATCCCTTGCAAGGTCACATATGGGAGACAACTGACTGATATTTCTCACAGTAATGTTTCTCTCTCTCTTTCCCTTCTCCTCCCCCACACCGCTGCTCTTTAAAATCAATAAACATATCATCATGTGAGGACTTTTTTAAAAAAGTATATCACTATGTCATTCAGGAATACAAACAATGAATAGCAGGCCCTTTTCAAAATGTGCTCTCTGATATTTAAGTTCGAATATTATCACTCATTCAGGTCCTTGAATAATTCTCTAGGTTGTGACCCCTGGCGTTTTTGCAGGGCCAGCCCACAACCTCTAACAGAGGAGGTGGCTGGAAATAAAACAAGTCCTTTTTCCTGCTTTACCGTACCAGTTCTAAAACGTTTGCAAAAGAACTTGAAATCTAAGAAAGTTCTAAATCTCATTTTATTAAACCCTTTTTAAATTGTTTTCCTTGTCACATATTACTTTGAGCATTACCTAAGATCAATTTTACTAGCATTTTAAAATATCTATTTTATTTTGCCAGTTTATAGTTCAGATTTTTACTGGTCTGCAGACATTTTTAAAATCTGTACTCCTAAAAGCTCATTACTCCATGATACATATTTCCTCATTTTTCAAAATAGGTGCATTTTTACAATTTGAACACTAATAAAAAAAAAAACAAGCAGATATCTCTAATTTGATCCCTTGGAGAAGTATGTCCAGCTGGTAAGAATGCCTCTTGATGGGCAATCTTTTCCTCATTGTCTTACACAAAATGGTCAAGTACAACTAAATAGGTCTACAACAGAAATGTCAGTTGGTTTTCCTGTTGACTAGTGAAGCTCAAAACACACAAAGCTTTCCTCTCCAGAATTTCAAATAGCTCAGGCAAAACTGCTCTTACCTGAAGAAACACTCTCTTTGGCTTTGGACTGGCAGGATTGGAGCTGTATGGGAAAAAAGTTCCACTGCACACAAGGGAAAATGTAACTGTACATACCAACGTTAAAGTTAGCATGGTTTTTTTCGTGCTTTTGGCAAGGTAGATAAAGTTAATCTAAAACACAAAACACAAAAATAGCAAAATTACAATTGGCAGAAGAGTGGCTTTAACTGACTTTATTTTCTAGCAGGTATTATCTGACAGATAATGAAGAAAATCAGCAAGTGCCAACACCCAGTAAACAAAACACTAATTATAAGGGATTTCCATCACAAGTTGGAACCTAGATAAATGAGAAATGCCCACATCTGCCATGATGGTGTCTTTTTGACAGGTGGCCAGACAGCAACAGGGAAAAAAAGAAACTGAAACAGTGTCTCTGCTCAGTTGGCAAAGAGACTAGAGGATACAGATCCAGCACCAAACCATCATCTTATTTCCTATTTTACCAATGAGCTGTTAACACTGCATAGCAGACTATCTAACTACCAAAATCATGACATCAGACTTCTATTAAAGAAACAGAGGCAAGCTTTTAAGCATAAGATGGCCTGTTTCAATAAAACTCACATTTCACTCATAATGCTTTTATACTGTGCCATGATGTTGGATTCATCTAAACTAGCATTTAGATGTACTTTCTAGACTTTGCCTGTGTTCCTGCATGTGAGGAAAAATGGCAAATACAAAGTAGTACTGTCCCTCCCCTTCAACGCCAAGTTCACCAAAGCCAACAACAATTAAAACAACAAATCTGAAGTTGGGCAAGAAAAGCATCTCAGTCTCAATGTGGGCAACCAGAACATCCTAGATATGTTTATTAATTGTAATGAAATCACTGAATTAGAAGTTGTAGGGGGCACACATGAGTAAAATCCCTTAGGGGTGCTGAAGGAGCTACTTTGAGAAACCACGATCTAATTCCAGCTCCCCCTTTTGCCTTCTCCCTCTTATCATCCACCCTCTAGGGCCAATAAGTAGAAAAGAACATTAAATATGAAAATATTTTTGAGATGAAAATAGAAAAATGAAGCAAATATTCATAACCTACTATATACACTACTATATAAAGTTAAAAAATTTTGGATCTACAGTGTAACAATATCCCAACCAGTACAATCTCCAGCAAAACAATACTGGTCTTAGGTAAAAGATCTTATATTTTTACACTGGGAGAAAAGAAGTAAGTTCCCAAGGACTCAAGACAGTGAGTTAACAAAACACAATTTGCTACCCTCCTTTAATCAATATAACCACAACAGCCCCAGCACAGGACAACCCCCCCAAAAAACCTGTTTAACTGATCACTTGTATTTAATTGCTTTCTAGCAAATATATTTAATAAATCCCCAAGGATTAAAAAAAAAGGCTCTCTGAAATAAGCACTGTGGTTCAATTCTCCATAATCCAAAGAGACTGAGCTCACTTTACTAATAAACCACTATCTTTAACACTGCTACACATAAGATATTATAATGAGAATAAGCCACAGCATCAAAGAGCAGCAGAGCTATTTCACATAATGAAAATTAAATGAGGTTTTAAAGTGTTCCAAGACACACTCTCTGAAAGTTTTCCCAATAAAATAGATAATATACTTTAACCCTCTTTCTTGGTTTCCAAGATTCCATGCTTTGCGGTCATTTTCAGTTTCTACAGGGAAGTTCTCAAGAGTTCATTTTGAATCCTTCCATATGCAACAGAGTTGAAATGCCCATTCACTGACTATGACTTAAATACTCTGGGAGGTCCAGTTCATAACTTAGCCAACTCTAGGTTAGAATCTAATTTACATATGACAAAATTCCACCATCTTTAATCCTCACAACAGCAAACCTATCTAGTAACAAGTACAGAGGATTTAAAGGGTTAATATATAAACAAAAATAAGTAAACCCTAAGGCAACAAGGAATATTTTAGGATTTTTCCACCTACCGCAGCAAATACCTGTAAGGACTTAATCACTGTATTAAAGGTAAAAATAGCTGTATGCTCCAATTTCTTGTAGGACTAGCAAAACTGACCTCAAAAGTAGTGTGCATATGAATCAATCTACAGGACTATTTATGCCGTTGCATGTACATCTATATATTGGATATTTAAGGGACTTCCATGGGTAATGCTGTTCTTGCATGTGGTGTTCTCACCTGCTCTCTCTAGATGCTAACCTCCTCCACATAAGATGCCCTTCACTTTATCAATATGAAAAAGCTCACTATCATTTCCATGGAGGAAGGAATGATAATTAAGCCAAAACTACCGTTTCTATTTGGTCCCCTAGCCTCAAATTTCAGAGTGTACCTATACATGTTCAGTAACTATTTCTTGTTCTTAAAAAGTCCAGTGAAAAGTGCCACACAACAGAGACCTGCATCTGCATCTGCATCTGCTAGAGGGGCCAGGCCAGAGTCCTGAGTCCCGGAGAGTGTTTACACCATGCCAAGGGCAGAACTCTGCTTGGAGCTTGCTCTAACAAATGGGAGCCTGGCTGTTAACCCTGCATCGTATCTGTTCTTCCCTCTGGAGAGCCCCAGGGAAGAAAAACGGTGGTAGCAAAGGTAGGACTCTCCCCGAAGGCAGAACACCAATAAAACAAAATGACAAACCTGTGATACTCTTTCATTACTTGCTAAATAAAGACATTTTGGGTGTCATAAGTGTACATCACACATCATTCAAGGAGACAAACTCAGTTAATGAACTTTGCTGTGTTAGCAGTAAGGTAGTTTACTGACAATGGAAAAAGCCTCATCAGAGTTAGTCTTCCTTCATTAGCTCAACTGCACTAATAAAACTACTATGTATTTAGTATCACTGGCCTCTAATTAGTAAATTCAAAACACACTATTAGGAATCATTCTAGCTGTGACTTCAGCATGGCGGTGTTGACAGATTTGGATCTGCGAGCAGGCTCTGATCTGAAGGCACTGAGAGGGCTCGTGGAGAATGCTGCTCACCTTGGCTATGCCGTTGTTGCCATCAATCACGTTGTTGAATTTAAAGAAAAAAAACAGGAAATTGAAAAACCAACAGCCGTTTCAGAACTCTTTACAACCTTGCCAACTGTACAGGGAAAATCAAGACTGATAAAAATTTTAACTAGACTGACAATTACTGTTTCGGATCCAGCTCACTGCAACATTTTGAGAGCAACTTCTTCAAGAGCCTAACTGTACGATATTGTTGCAGTTTTTCCAAAGACAGAAAAACTTTTTCATGTTGCTTGTACACATTTAGATGTGGATTTAGTCTGCATAACTGTAACAGAAAAACTACCATTTTAATTCAAAAGACCTCCAATTAATGTGGCAATTGACCGAGGCGTGTGCTTTGAACTTGTCTACAGTCCTGCTATCAAAGATTCCATAATAAGAAGGTACACGATTTCCAGTGCCCTCAGTTTGATGCAGGTCTGCAAAGGAAAGAATGTAATTCTATCTAGTGCTGCAGAAAGGCCTTTAGAAATAAGAGGACCGTATGACATTGCAAACTTAGGGCTGCTGTTTGGACTCTCTTAGAGTGACACCAAGGCTGCGGTGTCCACCAACTGCCAAGCAGCGCTTCTCCACGGAGAAACTAGGAAAACTGCTTTTGGAATTATTTCCACAGTGAAGAAATCTCGGCCATCAGAAGGAAATGATGATTCTCTTCCAGCTTGCAAAAAAACGAAGAGTGAAGACTGAAAAGAATCTCTCAGTCTCTGTCAACACTCCCTTCTTCCCTTTTATAGTCCATCAGCCACAACAGAAATGAAACCTTTGTATGATTTGCTATTTTCACGTGAAGCTAGAAATCGGTAGTCTCTAAAAACGATTTTATATTCAAGCCATTGAACTAACAGACAAACCTGGTGAAGCGTTTAGGGGGAAAAAAAAAGACTCCGCTTAATAAATTCAGGTACTATAAGATAAAAAGAGTCTAGTGTATACTCTTTGTGTAAGTGATAAAACACCAGGTATAAATTAGAAGATGTTCTGATATTTCAAAAGACTTTAAAAATGTTCTTTGTTCATTGAAAAACTCATGCTTTTCTGCTTGATACACATTGTTTTTTCAATCTTACTACTCAAGGAGTGGTTATTTTTGAGACTTAAAACTTATATTATGGGATTGGGTTTTAGTTGATCTATTCTCGTTGTAAGCCTCTGTTTTATTACGTTCATCAAGTCAAAGTTTTTTCTAAAAGGACTTGCTATAAAATTTGTAGAAGGAGAAGGAAAGTGCACCTAAAATCACACTTGGCCGCCTCCTCTGCTGCTTCTTACCTCCATGATGTCCTTGAGATACGATTCCCTCCTTTGACGTGGACGCCCCTGAAAATCTAATACTGATTTTTCCTAATAGTTATATTAAGAATATCAAAGCATTAGACTTAACCAACTTTAGAAATAATTTTTTAAGAGGAGGATTATTATATTAGGTAGGAATAGCCTTTTTGGCAAATATATGTATTTTTGCTATTGATATCAATAATTCTTTAACTGAGAAAAAGGACAAAGTCAGAGAAAAAATCATTTCAAAAAGAAAACTTTGTACCATTCTCACTTATGAATATAGATACTTAAATAAAATACTGGTAAAGAGAAACCATTAAAATAGTATACCATGACATGGTGAGATTTATTCTAGGAATCTAAGAATATTTCAGTTCTTTTTAATATACTATACTTTATACTATTAATGTGTCAAGTGAGAAAAATCAGAATTATCTTAATAGATGCTAACAGGACATTTGAAAAAATTTGAAATCTACTCCACATTTAAAAATTAAGCAAGAATAAAAACCCTTAGCAAAACAAAAGACTATTTCTCTCTCTCTCTCTCTCTCACATACACAGACACATATGTTCCATATATATTTATATATTGTATATATTAACCATGTTGGTTCTAAAAATAAAGCATTTTTCACAGACAAAAAAAAAGGAATCGTTCTAAAAATTCACTACAATAGATTAAAACATGATTAACAATTAATAAGTAAATAAAAATAAAAATTCATCACCAAGCAATCTCTACCAGTCCTCACTTGGTAAGCATTCTGCAAATTCACATTCAGGTAGTTTGAAAAATTATTTGAAAAGAGGTGTAATCAGAGTATTTGGGAGGATGAGGAAGCAAAAATAGTAACAACAAAAACCCCATTCTACATTTTCTTACCATATCAAACCCATAATCTATACAACCACTCACTATTTCTTTTGCTTAAGAATTTCTCATTATATTGCCCTGGCTGGTGTAGCTCAGTGGATTGAATGCCAGCCTGCAAAACCAAAGGGTCACTGGTTCGATTCCCAGACAGGGCACATGCCTGGGTTGCAGGCCAGGTCCCCAGCTGGGGGTGTGTGAGAGGCAACCAACCAATGCTTTTCTTGCACATAAATGTTTCTATCCCTCTCTTTCTCCCACCTTTCTCCTCTCTCTAAAAAACTAAATAAAATTTTTAAAAAATTCCTCATTATAAGCAATACTGTTTCATACATACCTTTGCAAAAAGATTTCATTATGTGTTAAGTGTTAGGCATATTCATTAATTTCTTTTTGCTGCCTTCAAGAATTGAAAACAAACTCAAGTGGGATTTATTGTACCGTCATGTGCCACTTAACAATGGGGATGCATTCTAAGAGACTGTCATTAGGCGATTTCACCATTGTGCAACCTAATCACATAGTTATATAAAAAATAAAGAAGAAAATTTAAAAATATTTTTTTCCTTACAAAGTAAGAGGAGAGAATCATCGTACAACCAGCCAAAATGGAAGCCAGCACAACATCAGGTGGGATTTCCGAACCGCTCCTCCCAAGGATAGGAGTAAACATCTCAAATACTGCCCAGATGAGGTACAATGAATAAAGGTAAGGAATAAACATCCCCAGAAGGTAAAAGGCAATAAATTTTCCTCGGGCACCTAGGAAAGAGAGAAAAAAAAACAACCCACAAATCTCTGAAACTCTACAATGAAGTACAGATTTTCATAGTACTGGTGTAACTTGGCACCTAACAAATTAGGTTAGATCTGACTTGCCCTTTTGATATGTTATCTTGTGAGATAAAACACTCAGAGAGGCTAAAGTACAAATAAGAATTAAACAAAATACATAAGTAACTCTGAAGTACAAATAAGAATTAAACAAAATACATAAGTAACTTATGTATTTTGTTTAATTCTTATTTGTACTTTAGCCTCTCTGAGTTCATAAACATGAAAATAGAATGGAGTATCCTGTATGAGATAAAAATCTGCTGAATCTGAAAAATTTTTTTAAAAACTTAGAAAGCTTTCCCAAAAAGACTTTTTTAAAAAATAGCCCCTGGAAACCTTATATTATGTATTTTAAGGTATTTTCCCATTAGTATCAAAACGAAAAATACCCTACCATGCTGCTTAAAGTCCTTGTCCACGCAAAGCTTTGTGAGCAATGGAAACGCCACCCAGACAGCACTAATAAATGCTGAGCAAAGTCCTTGATAAGTGAGAGCTATAAGGGAACCACAGTGCACAAACAGTGCGATGTCAAAAAACACTTCTCCAAGATACTGGTCACTGGCATTCTGAAAGAAAGAAAAATACACAAGTAGTCTCATTCACAGGCCATTTATAAAGATATTCTGTTGTAATATAATTTCCACTGCTCAAAGGAGTTATACATTTTGTTTTAAGTAGGGTCTATATTTTAGACAAATCTACCTCCTGTCATAAAGTAATAAATTCAAACTGCTGCACAGGAAAGAAGAATTTAACGAGATGGGAGTAAAAACATCATTACTTATATATAATTTGTGCTTTTCATCCACTAGGCTATAAGTAAACTTGGGAAATTTTATAAAATAGAAAAAAGGAATCTCCTAAAAACATGCATCTCTGTAAACTTTCCTATTTATACAACTTCCAAAGAATTTCAGGCAAACCAGAGAAGTGACCTGTGAAAGACAGTACAGTCAACCCTCCTTATCTGTGGTACTGCATCAGGTGGATTCAACCAACCACAGATATGGAAAATATTGTTCAATGTGACATTGTTGCTAACATATACTGAACATGCACTGATTTTTTTCCCCTTGTTTATTCCCTAAACAATACAGTATAACCACTATTTACATAGCATTTGTATTGTACTAGGCATTGTAAGTAATGTAGAGGTGATTTAAAAATATAGAGGAGAATATGCTCAGGTTATGGGAAATACTACGTCATTCTCTGAGAATTTTGGTATCCAAGGAGGTCTGGAGGCCAATGCACCAGGGCACTGAGGGATGACTGTATAAACTGCTGCAGTGCCACCTACAGCAAACACATTTAAAGCAAATGGCCATCTGTGATTTTGCTAGATTTCTGAGTCTTTTCTATTTCCATCTGGTCTTGCGGGACAGCAATTTTCAATTGGCTTGCTGCAAGAATTTTTAAGACATGCAATGCTGATTATTTAGTCAGAGGCAACTGACCTCTTCTCCCTTTGACTGTGAAATAAAAAAATGACAACAGCCAACACAACAATAGCCATCTGGTGTGAATGAATCAAAATTATACCTATTTTTTCTTTTGTCATATGGGCAAAAAGTATATTTTTCAGTGTGCCACAGAATTTTAGTAATTAGTTTATGTGTGCCATAAGATGAAAGCAGAGTGTTAATCAGGAGACATGTTTTTTTAAAAGAGAAAAACAATTCTTAGGACTCAATTTGAAGTTGAATGCCATTCGGATATTAAAAACAAAGATCTCAGCAATGAAAACTGGAAATGTTTTACATTAAGTTGCCAAGTTATCAAAAAGCTGAAGATCAAAAAAAAAAAACCCTCAAATCTCCTTCCTTTCTCCCCACCTCTGATCCTTTTCCCCTCTGCCCATTCCGACTCATTCTATACCCTGTTATCACAGTTTTCATACTAAACCACCAACTGTCTCACTCTCTATCCTGCTTAGAAAATTTTACTGGTGGCCCCATTGATTTTTAGGGTCACCCTCCAACTTCGCCCTGGACAGTTATTGTGCTGTCAACCTTGTCTTCACCAGACTGAACTGTTTATTGACTGTGACCCAAATACATCTTGTACATTCACACCTCTGACTGCCCATCAACCTGTTCGCTACCTGGCAAACTTCTACTCATGTTTCAAAAGCACAGTTCAAGCGGCACTACCATGGAGCCTTCCTGACTCCCACAAACAAAACTCATCTCTCCTGGCTCTGTATTCCTACAGCACTGTGAATATATCACTCTTTGTCATTTCACCCCAATAGACCGTAATCACTGTCATTTCCCCATCTTCCCAAATAAAACTGTAAGCTCCTCAAAGAAAGAGGCCACATCCTTATGAATCTGTATCAGCAGGACTTAGCACGGTACCAGGCCAACTGGGTACTCAAAGCATATTTGTGAAATGAAAACGAAACACATTATTCTTTTAATTGTGCTTTCAGCCCAAAGCTTTATGATTGGACAACTGAAATTAGTCAAAGTAAATGCTGATGTGTACTGTGTAGTTAAGCCTACAACGGTTGCATCTGTACTGAACTAAGAATTCTTATCTCCACCTCTCCGCCTCACTCCCCACATCAACAATAATGAACCATACTCTGGTTACATACTATTGTACTAAAAATAAGCATGTGAAATTGAGCCCCATGGTATAATTATTTTGGAAGCTGAAGCCACTAAGATACAAATATTACCTCAACCCTAAATACACAGCTAACCTCAGAGAACCTTTCTCCAATAGGGCCTGCTAACATGGAAGGGTTCCTCAGACCATATCCCAACACTAACTGAAACTAAGACCAAACATCAGGTACCAAAGATATCTTTATAGAAGGACACTGGATTTTAGTCTTCCATGTCTCCCTTCTAATCTCTATCAGAGCATATCAAAGAAAGAGGTGTACATTGGCTATCCGGAAAATAATGGAGCTAAGGCAGACTTTACCTTTAACTCAGAAAAATCAGAAACCATGGCTCGCTCTCTCACAGTAATTTATTTTTAGTCCTGTTATTTCAACCCTAATTCCTAATTTTATTTTTACCAAATAAATGCATACAGTTAAAACCATAACAATATGGCGATATTGTCTAAATCAGCATAAGTCATTTTGGAACTCTAGTCTCTTCCCTCCTTTTTTCCTTAGCAATGTGTCTTTAATCCCCATACCATTTACGCATGCTGTCAGAATCTACGCAAACCACAAACAGGTTAAAAGCAGTAAAGGAAAAAGAAGAGAAAACTTTAAGTGCAGCTTTAGGTACAATATGTTTTCAGGCAGCAAATACTTACTGCGTGTTAGTGCTATGCATCAGACACTGCCTAAGCACAGAAGATAATGAACAAAGCACTCCCTGCCCTCATGGAGCCTACAGTCCAATGGAAAACAAAGCTATTCAAACAAATTATTAGGTGAGCACAGGGAGGGCTGGTAGATTCAAGCGCATGGTTACAAAAATTGCAGCAGATTCAGCAAAGGCCACAAGGCTACGCTAACAAGCCTTGCTGTTGCCATCACCCCAAACACCATTTACAGCTTTGTAACCTCATCTGACGTCCGCAAGAAAACCCTCAGATTAAGAAGCCTTTCAGAAATTTAACACAGTTCTGGGAGCCGGTTTTCTATAACCATGCCAAACAATCTCTGATAGCTCAAAAGGCCAAATACAGTCATGTTCCACATAATGACAAGAACAGACCACATACATACGATGGTGATTCCATACTATTATAATGGAGCTGAAAAATTCCTGTCACCTAGTGACATCTTAGCCATCATAATGTTGCGATGCATTACAATGGGTTTGTGGTGATGTTGCACAGCCATTCTATAAAAGTATAGCACTTAAAATTACAGTAGTAGGCTATACCATCTAGGTTTGTGTAAGTGCACTAGACGATGTTTGCACAATGATGAAATTGCCTAATGACACATCTAGAATGTATCCCCATTGTTAAGTGGCACATGACTGTACAATGAACCCCACTTGAGTTTGTTTTCAATCCTTGAAGGCAGAAAAAAGAAATCAACAAATATGCCTAACACTTACCACATAATAAAATCTTTTTGCGAGAGTATGTATGAATATTATTTTGGCTGCAGCAGCAGTTCCATAAAGACAAACGGAGACATAGAAATGGTTATACCATGAGAGAGACTGTCCAATCAGAGAGATGAACACTGCTATAATGAGGACAGTGACCAGGCTAGTGAACCAGCTTATCAGAGTGATGCCAAGTCCACAGAAGAAGTCCTTCACGTAGTTAGCTGCTAATAAAGAGAAAACACAATGTGGAGACCACCTCTTTATTAAAGAATTTCATAACCAATCAGTAGAGTTAGGGGGGCAAATGTTAAAACAGGGAATTTGCCACTGTAACTGAAAAATATTGAAATGTCCTAGGGGTAAGGTTTGTTAAATGCTGGAATAGGGAAGTTATCAATGAATAATATTCAAGTAACATTTACTAAGAGTCTGTGGGTATTAAAGACTCAAAGAGCTAGGTCTTCCAGGAATAGTTCAGATATAGTCTTGACTGGGATAGTGCATAGTCTTAATCTTTATCACCTTTGTGATGTTTTGTGTATCAAAATATCAGGAAGAATGGAAAACAAAGTTCCACATAAAATCTTGCAAAAAGAAGCTATCACAGGAAAAGCAGAAGCACAGGAAAATGGTGATAAAGGATTAAATTAGCTGCTGAGTATTTTATCTAGTAACAGCACATACCAGCCAAAACTATACAACATTTCAAGCAAAAGGGGAACAATTTAACTAGAAGAGGTTCATTTATACTTCAGAACAGTGTGCTATTTGTCTGTAATATAGACAAGATGTTTATAATAGGACTTTTCACTAAAAGTTAATCTGTACAAACCATTTTCTAATAGCTCCTATGTGGTACTTCTATGGAGTGCTTAAGCACATAAAATTGCCTGCTTCTCCAAGACTAAAAATATAATGAGCATATTAATCTGATATTCATTTAGAAATTTCTTACAATATAAATCAAATAGTATTTTTCTGAGGATTTTTAACTTCTTGGAAAGATATAAGCAAACTGAGTAAAAAAATTTTAGGCAAATTCTATATACCATGCCAGTACTGCAGTTTTGGGGGATAATACTTACTCTTGTGTCTGGGCTGCAACAATTTTTTGCCCAGGTACAAAACAGCAGCCATTACCACCATGCAGTTGATTATGGAGCCAACACGAGAGGGGTAGGCAATGACAAATAGGCCAAGCACATCAAAGAAGACCATGTTCCCATGTCGATACTTAGAAGAAGAAACCAACATATCAGATGTAGCTAGATATTTAAGAACTGCTAAAATGTTGTCACCTATTAGTAAAGAAAAAAAAAAAGATAAAGTTGAATAAACTATCCAGTGTCTGAGTAAAGAAATACCTAAAAAGAATGAGAACAGAAATAGCTTTGTACCATCTCATTGCTCTCCCCTACTTTTCTTACTAAATTTTTCAAATAACTTCCAAACCCCTACTCCATTTCCTCTCCAATTAGAAACTCAGCCAACTGGCCTTCATCTTTCCCATCTATTAGAACTAGTCTCTGATCAATTGTACTCTCACTGATAACAAATTCAATGGCTGTTTCTTAGTGTCTACTCATTTACTATGTATTTAATGTAGCAGACACTGCTCTGAATACCAAAATTCAGTGGTGAGCCAAAAGACAAAGGTCACTTATGAAGCTCATGGACACCAAACAAGTTATTATACAAGTTATTAAGAATTAATAAGGAATGTCAACTAATAAGGAGAGGTATTAGAGTCCCCCAGGAATATATCATGGGAGACTAATGGAGTTTGAAAAGTCAGAGAAGCAACCCTGAGGAGTGATATTTATAGCTTGCTATAACAGGGAGCAATGTCCAGACTGAGAACTGTGTAGATGAAGGCCCTGAGGAGGGAAAGTTCCAAACAGGGAAACAAAAGTGATGAATGACCCCTGGCCTGCATGGCTCCTTTGGTTGGCGCACTGTCCCATAACCAAAAGGTTGCAGGTTCGATTCCTTGTCAGGACACATACCTAGGTTGTGGGTTCAATCCCAGTTGGGGTGCTTACGAAAGGCAACCACCAATGTTTCTTTCCCTTCCTCTCTCTCTTCCTCTCTCTAAAAGCAATTTAAAAATGTTCCTGGGCCCTGGCTGCTGTGGCTCAGTGGACTGAGTGCTGGCCCACAGACTGTAAAGTCACTGGTTTATTCCCAGTCAGGACACATGCCTGGGTTGCAGCCCAGGTCCCCGGCTGGGGGTGTGTAAGAGGCAATCGATCCATGTATCTCTCGCACACTGACGTTCCTCTCCCTCTCTTTCTCCCCCCGCCCCCCTCCCTAAAAGTAAATACATAAAATCCTTTTTTTTAATGTTCTTCGGTGAAAATAAAAATAAATTTTTTTAAAAAGTCACACCCTGACTGATGTGGCTCAGTGGGTTAGGCAGCATCCCGCAAACCAAAAGGAAGCTGGTTCAATTCCCAGTCAGAGAACATGCCAAGGCAGAAGGCCAGATCCCCAGTTGGGGGTGTGCAGGAGGCAACCAACTGATGAACCTCTCAATGCATCGATACTTCTCTCCCTCTCTCCTTCCCTTCTGCTTTCTCTAAAAATAAATTTTAAAAATCTTTTTTTTAAAAAAAGTCATGAATGAGGAGAGAGACTATTCAGCAATGATGGGAAAAGTCATCATCAGGCAGAACCTGACACACAGAGGTCTATAATGAATTCTTGTTGCATCAATAAATAAATGAATGGGTTTGAGCTTTAACACAGCAGCCATAAAAGGCCTTGAATGACTGGTGTTTCTTCCTGTTGCTCATTCCATCCTTGACTTTCTCTTCTTTTCACTTAAGACACCACACTGTCTTTCACTGGCCTCTCTGTCTGCCTAAAAATGTTTTCCCAAAAGCTCAGGTTTAGTTCTCCACCTTCGCTTTGCTATTCCAAAAAACCATTTCCATTCTCTAAACTCTTTGTGGTAGCCTCTATGACCTTCATTCCCAAACTCATATACCAAGTTTTGCCAAAAGCTCTAACACTGTACCTATATTTCCATCTGGTTGGTTCATAGCACCCCTCCATCTTACATGGCTGACAGAGTTTGCAGTCTCCTTTTCCTTTCCCTTGCTGCTCTGGGTGAGGATCGCCTTCTCACATACCTATTACAGTTCATGGCATCATCTTCCCCTAGCCAGTTAGGCTTTATACTTTGCGATCACCTTTGCTGTCATTCATCTGATTCATCCTTTCTGCATAACTTGTCTTGTGGAATTTACATTCAAAATGTATCTAATTTTCCATCCCTCTCTTTTGCTTTCTATCTTTTGTCAACACCACAGTCTAGGTCTTCATCATTCCACACTTAAATTATTGTCTCCTGGCTTAAATTACCTGACTCATGGCTCCCCCCACTTTCCACCATCCATTCCAGACGGTATCATGAAACTAACAGGCTGTAAAGCTATCATTTGCTCATGTACTCAGGCTCTAATGATCCCTTATTTTTACAGCATCTTCTTGCTGATTTTAAAACCCCTCTCTACAATTTCCTCCACCCTTACACTTCTACCTCATTTCCCTCTATTTCTCAAAATATAATTTCCATTAGATTGTAGTCTGACAATCTACTCACCAACAGCCCTCCACACACACAAACACACCCTACCCATGCTGTGCTTTTACTTGGAACACACTCTCCACTGGGCCAAACCCTACCAACTCTTTAAGGCTCAGCATCAGACTCACCTCCCCTGATTACTCCACATCTCTTTGGAAAGCACTTTTAACTCCCTTGCCCCTGTGCTGTCCTGACACCTGTCCTACAACCCTCTCACCTGCTCTCACTACCCAACCTTGGATCAATGTAAGCTTTCTACACCTGGGATGAGCTGCCCTAAAGTGCTGGTGTCACCTCCAATGTATAGCTTACATTTTGGCTACGCTCTCACTGCTCAGCAGTCCTATCATAACCCTGAGTCAACTCCTTTTCCAATTACCCACAATGAATAGTCCTTTGCTCTTATTTGCTAAATCAGACTTCAAGGCTAAACTTGAAGCCCTCATATCTCTAACTCCAAAGCACCAGCTCATTCATACCATACACAACCTCCCTAATGCTCAAGCAACAAAATATTTATACATTTATAGGTCATCCCTAATGTTCCATCTTACCATATAAGAAAAGGCTGCAGTAGAATACCAACCTGCTCTCTGAATGGAATCTGTTCGAATTCTGTCTGCTGTGTCATACTTGGTGTGATAAATGTATCCATTCTCAATAAAAGCTAAGTCTATTCCTAAAACATACACAAAAGAAAAAAGTCATTTTGTTTTAAAGATCAAACTTGTTTTAGGTCTATTTGTTTAATGTTTTAAGTTCCTAAAAGACAAAATGTCAAAGCAGTGGCATGGTTGCTTTGTCACATTTATGGATGAAATTTTCTTCCAAATTATCAGAGAATCTATAGCTGGGTACATAATTCAGTAATAATGAATAAGGAACTATACTACTGCACAAGGAGGCATTACAAGTCGCACAGCAAGGAATAGGAATATTGAGCTTGGGAGGTCATGAAAACTTTGCCATCTATGTATTTGCCAGGCCAAAGCGAAATTTTAAATTCAAATAAGCTGTACAAGTCACAAAGAATGTAGGCAAAGCAAAATAAAAATGAAGTCAAAGACCCCTGAACAATCTGTTACCACCATCTTTTGGGAACGAACTGACATTCTCCCATTCTTCTGTCACACTGTGGGACAAGACGACATGTTGTAGAAAAGGCAAGCATTTAAACTAGAGCTTTAAAAAAAGGAAAATATCAGGAACTTAGTTTCAGTGAGTCAGAATACACAGCTCTTCCACAGAGAATTTTCTTGCAGAAAAATACTGTCTACTCACAAACTTCCAAAATGTAAAACTTGCTATTAATTAAGCATAGCCCATAATAACTGACAAAATACCTGGAATGTTCCCAAAATCCCTGTAGATACGGAAGTCAGTATCTGAAGGAATGATGCCACTCTGAAAAACCTCCTGAGCCACCACAGAAGCAAAAGGGTGTTTAGCTGCTGAAACATAAGCCTGGACCAACCAAGGGTTTTCAGGACCTGAAATGAAACAAGACAACATAAGGTTAATATGCAAATTTTTTCAACATACTAATTGTTTAAACCTGAAATAGTTACTGTGGTGGTTTGGGAAGAGAGGTCCAAGGTTGTTTTTTAAATCACTTTTTTCTGTATTTTCCAATACTCCTCTAGGAAATGTGAACGGCTTTTAGAATGAAAAATAACCTTTCAGAAAATAAAATTATTTTTAATTATAAACACTATAAAAAGATTAAGTCTAAAAAAAATCACTCAAAAGTTCACCATCCTAAGATAACTATTATCATTTTCATATTTTCAATTTTTCAAAAAATTTATGTGTGCATGTAGTTATACTCATAGGGTATATATACTCTGTACATTGTTCTTTCATTTAACATTATATTAAATGCATATTCCTATGTTGCTAGGTATTATAATGGCCATTTTAATAACTGTATAACACTGAATATACAATAAAGTTCCTTATTACTATTATTTATAGTTTTTATCATTACTAATAATTCTGCACTTCATGCATGTATGGCTATTTTCAAATATGACAACTATTTTCTTTAGGATAGTGAGATAAATAGTATTATTGTTCCTAATCATTCACTCTTCCCCCACCCCATTTAATCTGTAATGCCTCCCTGTGGAAGCTGCACTTACACTTCCTCACTCTGTTCACTGCAGGTGGGGCCACATGAATTACTTTGGCAAATAGATTATGAATGGGAGAGATATGAACCTCAACAGAGAAGACTTGTAGGAGCCATCATATGGTCCATCCCTCTCTTAAGCTTTGGCCATGAGATCAATACATCCATGATTGGCAACCCCAGAATGAATAAGACACATGGAACATAGTAACTATGGAACATAACTGCTGCTATCCAGGAACCAAATGTAACTTGAGCAAGAAATAAGCCTTTGCTATTTATTTTAACCCACTGAGGCTCAGGGGTTGTTTGTTACAACAAAATTCAGCAAAAAGTTAACTAGTGTAGACAAAGTAATTATATTTCAGAGAATCTAAGACTATTAACACTTTTATAACCTTATAAACAGATAATCCAACTGCTTTCCTGAAGGGAAAAAAATGTGTCACACAATTGGGGGAAGGAGTAGAGAAACACTATGGAACCAGTTACCCAGGTGACCCAGATACTGTAGTTACCAGACACAAAATTTAAAATAATTATATTAATATGTTAAAAACACAGATAAGAATTTCACCAGACAAGTGCAAACTATTTTAAAAAATCAGTCAAATGGAAACCCTAGAACTGAAAATCACAATAACGGATGTTAAAATTTTAATAGATGGTTTAACACAAGGTTAAACACAGCAAAAGAAAGAATTAAAGATCAACAGAATTAAAGCATAGAAAGAAAACAAGGATGAAAAATATGGAAATAAGTATGAGAGGCATATGGGATACAGTAAAAAGGTCTAATATATGACTAACTGGAGACAGAAGGGGCAGAAGCAATGTTTAAAGAGATAACAGCCAATAATTTTCCCAAACTGACAGAAATCATCAAAGTGTGAATTCAAAGAGCACAAACCCCAAACAAAGTAAAGATAAAGAAAAAAACACTTAGCACCAAGATCATTGCTTTTGAAAACCATTATCCACTAAAAAGAGTAGGCCTCTTCTGAGAAATGCTAGTTCCAGAACTGGGACTAAGAAAATACAAAATGAGTCAGGACATCTTGTGCTAGATAGTAAAACAGTGCTTAAAGGAACACATCAGAGAAACGTCAAAAGGTCTCAGAAACCAGTTGAAGGGACTATTTTGGGCCTAAATGGAAAAATTCATGCATGAAACTGAAAGTAACAGAGTATGTAATTTATAAAATAAAATAAAAATACATGAAATACTGAAATAAATAAAGAATAGGAAGCATTTCTTCGAGAGTTCCAACTATTAACCACAGATGGAATGTCAGAACTAGAAAACTGAGCATCTGGCTATCAACTTCAACTGGTCTACCGACCACAGAGCATTGTCCATTGAGAAATCTCCAGCATGAAACTTCACAAGCCACTACTGACACATTCAATCAGTCACAGTACCTTCTCCATACACTGCACAAATCATTTTTTGTGTTTGTTACGTTTTTACCTTTATTGAAATAATTTAGCAAAATATGCCAAAAACACTATGTATTTTCTTCCCATCTTCAATATTAAAATGGCTACACAAAAATTCACCAATTTTGATGTTTTTTTAAATGCAGTTATGACAGTTGTCACAATACAATCTAACAAAATTGTTTCAAACCAAATGAACTTTTGGGCCAACCTAAGATGAAACAAACCTGGTCAAAGAAAATTCATAAGTCTAGGATTTTGCAGGGAAAAGGTGCAGGATTCTGCCTTTTCTTTACAATATACTTTGTGTCTCAAATGACTCTTCCAGTTTCATTATTAACCATATCAATATTCTTCTTCATTATGCTTACTATACATGCTTTACATGCATTATGTTATTTAATCTTCACAAATCCACTTTACAAAACAAAGACATTGAGATTTAAGTAATTTTCCCTAACATTAGGAGGGTGATAGAGGTATCTGGTATTTAAAGTTTGCGTTCTTGAACACTATGAAATACTGCTCTCCCTTTCATCATGGCAAATTATATGGTTAATGACGAATTACAAGAATTCATAGATTCACTGTGATTTCTTGGCTAACCGCAGTCAGGTTTTGCTAAACAGAGACCAAATACAAAAGGGGGAGAAAATTTCTATAGCTGTAGAGTAAATTCTCATAATTTGAAATTATTAGCTATATATTTGATGGGCTGGTCATACAAAAGAAACTTCAGGCTACAAAGTAGCTAAGCCAATAATCCACAGAGGAAAAAGTAAAACAAACAAAGCCCAGACGTTCAGAACAGCAACAAAAAACTGCAAAAAGTGTTATTTACTTATCCAAAGTTCTTCCTAATTGAGATGGTCATTTATTACAGTATTTGCATATATGGAAAAAGAAACGTTGCTTCGTAAAGAAAAAAGTTTTTCACATATCCCCTAAAAAGGTCTGACAATTTGAAAATCGATGAACTGAACACTAAAACTAAATGAATTTCTGAAAACTACAGGAAAAGTAAAAATATATTTTGTAGCTTGTTTAATTTCACTTCTTGTCCTAACCCTGAAATGAGATAATGTGATATCACCCAATGCAATGGGAAAAGAACAGTCTCTTCAAAAAACGGTGTTGAGAAAACTGCACTGTAACAGGCAAAAGAATAAAAACTAGACCACTATTTTATACCGTACACAAAAATTAACTCAAAATGGATTAAAGACTTAAAGACTTCAATGTTAAGACCTGAAATCATAAAATTCCTAGAAGAAAAAAAAATATGCAGTAAGCTCCTTGACATTGTTGTTGGCAATAATTTTTTGGATTTAACACAAAAAGCAAAGGCAACAAAAGCAAAAACAAGCAAGCAGGAATACATTAAATTCAAAAGGAGCAAAAGAAGCCATCAACAAAATAAAAAGGCAACCCACTGACTGAGAGAAATCACATGCAAATCGTGTATCTGATAAGAGGTTAATATTCAAAGCATATAAAGAACTCATACAACTTAACAGTAAAGAACAAAAAAAAAAACCTATGAAAAAATGAGCAGAAAATATGACTAGACACTTTTTCAAAGACATACAGATGGCAAATGGGTAAATGAAAAAGTAGTCAACTTCACTAATCATCAGGAAAATGCAAATCAAAACCATAATGAAATATCACCACACATGTTAGAATGGCTATTACCAAAAAGATAAGAAATAAGAAGTGTTGGTGGGGGTACAGAAAAAGGGAATCCTTGTGTACTGTTGGTGGGAATGTACACATATACATACGCCTATATTGCTGTATTCAGTTTGCTAATATTTTATTTAGGATTTTTCAATCTAAGTATGTCACCTATCTACCAAAAGTATCTACAAAAGTTGAATGTGCACATCTTATGATTCAGTAATTCCAGTCAGAAATGTGCATATATGCATATGTGTACCAAAAGATATTTACAGGAATGTTAAGACCTGAGATGGTGGTGGAGCAGATGAAAGTTACACTGTCCTCCCAGGTCCAAATTGGAATTACAACTAAATTAGAGAACAATCAACCTGAATAACCAACTAAGATTAGCTTAACAGAAGTCTTATAACCAAGGATTTACGGAAGTCACATTGCAGCTGGTAGGAAGAGCAGAGACATTAAAACGGCTGGCCCTGCACCCATGGGTGGCAGCTGAGAATTCGGAGGGATGTCTCAGGTGCAAAGGACCCCCTCAGGAACATGAGGCCTCAACCCCACACCAAACTCCCCAGCCAGGAGAACCAGAGCCATAAAGAGGAGTCCACATAACATCTGGCTGTGAAAATCAGTGGGGATTCTGTCTGCCATGTAGAGACAGGAGTCTCAAGAACCCAGGCGCCCTCTTAAAAAACCAGCACACAAAATCTCATTTGTGGCCACTCACCCTGGGCTCCAGCAGAGAGAGAACAGACTGTACTAGTCTCAGGTAAGGCTGGGTTGTGTAGCTCCAGGGAGAGAACTAAAGGGACAGCAACCAGGGTCTCTGTGCTGAGTCCTTCTCCCACACCACAGACACCATCTCTCCTAGGTCTAGCACCCCACTCCATCTGGCCTCAGCCTAGAGGAATGCACTGGCCCCACCTACCCAACTCCCTGTCACTCGACCCTGCTGAGTGCACATTCTGTGATGAGTCAGCTGTCTGGACCCTTGGTGCAGACATTCTTGGGGGGCTCTTGAAGGTGAACTCATGGATTGCTAGAGACCCAGCTGTGGGCTCAGGCAAGGTCCATTCCCCTGTCCCCTCACCTGACTGGCACCTCCCTCCCATAAATCTCCACTAGCCCCATCTTCCCAAATAGCAGTGACCCTGCTACGCCAAGCTTATACTCTGCAAAGGAGTCAGCTGGATGTGGCCAGTTTGCACCCTTAGTGCAGCCTCTCTTGGAAGGCTCTCA